GTGGAGTAATTCGGAATATTTGGCCTCGGTAGCGTGGTTGGGTGGGCCACTAGCTTGTGCGGGCCACTAACTTGTGGATTACGTTAACTAGTTAGAGTCGGAGGAGGGGTTCTGGGTAGACGCAATGATATAAAGACGACGAAGATGATCCAAAGACCAGAGGTACTCTTAGGGAAAACTGATCTCACCAGAGTCCATTTCCGCGTTTGAACCTACCTTTGTAGGCATAGTTACAGGGTTTTAACTAACTAAACTGAGCTGTGACTAAGCAAACCTGAGTTTGTGGCTAAGCGGCTCGGTATGACCCACTAACAATGTGCGGTCAATACCTACACAATCACTCATCCGTCTACAAAGTATAAACCCATCAGAGGCACAAGCAGCCTAGAAATTATGTTTCATCCAGCTTGTGACGTCCCGTGCACGGTAGGAATCTCAAACGCGTAAGGACTGACCTCTCCCTGTGCACTGTCGACTGCTAATGCCTCTAGGACCGGCCCAGTGACAACATGAGAACCTTTCTCAAGCCTATGGCTATCTAGCCCCTCGCTTTGGCTACCAGACTCCTCAATGACGTCCGACACATAGCTAGTCTCACGCACTTGTGTAAATGCAACCCAAGCTAGAGACGGAATGGAAGCGAAGAAAAGTCCGGTATTGATCGCACAGGCCGCATCATAATCAACGTCCAATGCTGATACAACGAACCCAAAAGTCGACCCTACGCAGCCGACTGTGTTAATGACGGCCGCCAAAAACGATGTCTCATTCAGATCATTGGTCAGAGTACCTGAGAGCCAGTATTGATACGTGGTGATTCTGTGCGACATCAGCAATATGTCTTCAGCGCCAGCGCATTCGGAGCGAATGGGACTAAACGGCGTGCAACTTACAAGGGATCCGAAGCGCCCCACAGAGTGAACAGAAACGCACCGAGACCGTACCCATCGTTAGCCCAGTCCAACGTCGGCTTCGTCTTCGTGTAATGCGCCTGAAGAGCTTGGCCGAGAATCCATGACGTCCCCGACGTGACTAAGACGATGCCAAATCCAATCTTTGCGCGTGTCTTGCGCGAAAATCGTGTCCAGTCGAGGACCTGGCCCATAAGCAACGCGGACAGTAGACCAACGAGATAAAAAGAGTGGAGTTGAGAGCGCGCGCTCGCACGGTGAAGTAGGCGAAGTTGAACTGCCACTGATAAGACAAGAACCACTGCGAATAGAGGTAGAGTGGGAAGAGCGATAGTAGAGCCGGACGCTTGAGTATCTTTTTCAAGACGCTGAATTCCTTTAGGATGGAGGGTTGCTTCGTTAAGACGACTTTGCGGCCGTCGGTGCGCTGGACACGCGAGGCGGAGGGGAGGAGGAGGGCGAAGGGGAAGCCGAGGGTCATGATGGTCATGAGGACGATGTAGGTTGCATTACTGACAGAGCCGCGCCAGGACTTCTCGAGGTTGAGGGCTAGGCTTATGATGCCGCCAATCGAGGCTCCGAGGGCTTGCAGGCCGAATTTTACGGACACTGATCGGAGTTAGCATGTTGATTTGAGGAGAAAGGGTTAATGGAGCACTTGCTGGCTACTCCTTTCCGGTTCTCCTCTGAGTACCCTAGCAAGATGGCGCCGCTCGCAACCCACAGAAACGCGGCTGAAATACCAAGCAGCGCTGCTCCGAAAAGAAGCAGCCAGTTCGTCCCGAAGCGATCATTACAGTACAGCCCGGCTGTATAGGGCGTATACCCCAGAGTCCCAATCTAAATCTCTCCGGTCAGCTTCTCAATGAACCCAAAGCTACACGAACCAACTTACCAGCAGGGCATATTTCGGCGTGATGCGGTTAGCCACCGCACCTACAATTGGACTAAAGACAGCGAGTACTCCAAACACTATAGCGTTGGCAGCATTTGAGATGTCCGGGCTTGCGCCACCTCCTGCACCCATACCATTGAGAGCGCCGAAGATACCGGGACAGGTGAAGGCGGTGGCTGCGACGCAGAAAGTCGCGAATATGGTGGATTTGTGCCACTGCACTGGGAATTTCTCGTCAACAACCATGTTGAAGATGCAAAAAAAGAGACGTTAAGAGCCAAAATTCATTTCTGTCTCAACCGTGCCATTGGGTTCGTGGTTGAAACCTACTCCCGTTGTCTTTATGAAGGCCAGCACATGGTCTAGACTTGCATTACTCGCCATAGTAAAAACGTATAAACGCACCCACTTCTCGTCATGCTCTAGCATCTGGGAACATACACTGGACTGTAGACCATTCCGTTCTCCATAGGGCGGCACTTTTCCGTATAGTTCGTAAGTGGCTATAAATCGTGTGAGTGGGGCCGAGAGAAGGCTGCAGTCTGCCGAGCCCTGTGGAAGCTTAATGGGACCTGGTGCAACTCAATCTTCCAATGACCAAGACACCCTCTGGAACTCGAGGGATGGTGGCAGATTGATAGGCTACTGGAAAATGATTCGCTGGTCGGAAGCAAGACTCCACTGCACTGATTCGCCACTGTAAGGTTTAATGGCGTGCCCAATCCAGATCTTAACACGGAAGCTTCATACGCAGAAAACACAGAGGAAAACAAAACGTGCACAGCAGCGATTGGCGAATTCAATCGGAGCAACAATCCCGTGAAGTATGGCGGTCCGAGCTTCGGGATATTGTGGGAGCCATACCAACGCGCCACTATTATGGGGTGCTTTTTCGTGCTTCCTCGGTGTACGAACACACATTCAAGACCCGGATACTCGGCTTCAGCGATTTTTAATGAGGTTTGTCTTCGATACTTCTTAGGAAAATGTCCCGAACGAGTCAAGCAAACGCAAGAGCGGTGATTTAGCTGCAAACGCCTAAGCTTTGTCGAAGTCCCTATTCTAAGGTTACCATAAAACTACCCTTCAACAGCACGCAGCGGGGCTAGCCCCATCCACAGTCATGCCAATCTCCAACCTCCCCTCCGCGAACCTAAAAATTGCAATCATAGGCGCCGGTCCCGCCGGCCTCGGCGCCCTGATCACCCTCTCTATCCTCCCCTTCGTAACAGCAACCATCTACGAAAAGAAAGACGAGGTATCAGAAATCGGTGCCGGAATCAGCATACAGCCGAACACATGGCGAATGCTAGAGCACATGGGTGCCGCAGAAGTCCTACAAAATTCCCCGTTCCATCGGGCAGCGGATGGGCATTCCACACAGCATCGGTGCGTCAAACACCAGCAAGAACCTTACCAAACCGGACTAGGGCTCTGACGAACTCTCCACCCCAGAAATGGAAGAACCGGAAAGTTGATAAGCGCCCAATTCGACTCCGCGGGCACGCCTCTTGCACACCACCACGCACGCTGCCATCGCGGCGTCCTCCAGTCCGCCTTGCGCTCGCGCGTCGACCCCGAGCGCGTCAAAACGGCGCATAGACTCACGCAGATCACGCACCTCCCAAGCCACCGCATCCACCTCGCCTTCGCCAACGGCGTCACAGATGAGGTAGACCTCCTCATCGGCGCAGACGGCATCCGCTCCGTCGTTCGCGAAGTCGCCTTTCCGGAGCATCGCATCGCGTACACGGGCCGGACTTCCTACCGCACCCTTGTTCGTGCGCAAGATGTGGCGGTAGTCAAAGGAATGGGAAACGAGAAAGAGGCAGTGGCATTCTGGCATGCGCCGGGGGGGAGGTGGGCGTATACGTGTAATCTCAGCGGCGGCGTGTTTGAGATTACGACGATGGTGAGGGAAGAGGCGGAGGGGGTGGAGAGGGTGAGTTGGGGACAGGACGTAGCGGCTGAGAAGATGCTCGAGCATTTTGCGGTATGTTTGTTTTTTGTTTTTTGAAGTCGAGAGTGTGTGTAGGACTGGTTGACGAAGTCGCCATGACTGACTGATTGACGATCAGGACTTCCACAAACCGGTAAGGGAGGTGTTGAAGCTTGCGGAGAAGGTGCAGCAGTATGCCCTCTTCGCTGGCCCTCGATTACCCAAAGTACATTCCGGGGCCATCGCGCTGATAGGCGATGCATCACACCCCCTCTCGGGCGCTTTCGGAAACGGTGCCGGGTTCGCTCTTGAGGATGCTTACGTCGTTTCACAATCTCTCTTATGGGCGCACGAGCGAAACAAAGCGATACCAGAGGCTCTGCAGCTCTTTGATAGAGTTAGGTCGCCGCATTATGAGAGGCTTTATGCTATTTTGGATGGGTATGGTACGAAAGCGAAACAACTTGAGAATCCAAATTTACATTTGAGCTTCGATGAAGAGGTGGCGGTTTTAGTGACGAGCAACTGGTCGGGGGTGAACAATTGGATGCACTATTATAATGTAAGTTTGATATGATTTTTTGGATAGAGGGAGTCTGCTAATTAGAGGTTAGGTTGCAGAAGCGTTCAGTGATATAATCGAGGCTTTAGATAAGGATGCGGAAGAAAGCACTGGAAAGAAAGATGTGGCTAAGGAGAGAGCGAGCAGTTCATTACGTGGGAATCTAGAAAACTTGGTCGTCGAGCAAGCTAGATTATAGTGTAGCGTAACAGGGCACGCTGGGGACCATTCCTACTAGTCCTGACCAGATTGATACCACAATAGTATGGTTGGCTAATATGGAGACGATGAAATTCGAAGTGCCCATAGACTCCTTTAAGTTCAACTAGTAACTGGAGATACGCCCGCTAAATATTCAGAATTGGGCCTTAGATTCGGCTGGTCGCTAAGGATTCAGCTGGTCGCTTCATATTCGGCTGGCCGATCATCTGGCCCAAATCCAGGCCATGCGCAAATATGGTCTAGTTAATCTTGTCTAAAATAGAGGACCTGGAAGCCGGCTACTCTATGGGTTCACGTGCTATCTGATTCAGCAGTAAGGCTTAGGTAGATAGAGGCTTAGCATGATTAGTCTTGAGGCATAAACATGGTCTAGATACAAGATATGGCACGAAGAAGAAGGAAAGAGAGGACAAGGAGCGAGGGTGTGCTAGCTGTGACGCCCACTTCTGTTCGAACTCTATTTCGCGTAGAGTGGGCTTCAAATTCTGACAAGAATAATACCGTGTATACTAGTTTCTACAAGCGTACTTAGGAAAAATTGTACTCTTAAATAGGTTCATCCATAGCCTCCCATGCGCCCTTTACATTCCGGACAACACGATACATTTCTAGCTCATCCTGTGGTGCTTTCCATCTTCCTCCAGGCTGGCTCTCCCTGGAACTGGCAGCCGTTGCAACATCAGCGTCAGATTCACCAGGCTGGACCTTGCTTACGACCCAGCAGACATTCATTTTCTGCCGTTCTTGCCGCGGGAGTGTCTCTAAAGTAGCATCATAGGATGTGAAAACCATGCTCGGGCCGTCAACATCGAAAGTAAATACCAGCTGTAATCGAGATTCTTCCACCTCTTGCGGTCAGTCAGGCGGATTGGAGATTCCAATGGATTCGAGTACCCATGTCTTCCTCCGCAGAGCAGAGGACGCTGGCACAATGTCTCTGGCGTCGGTCCAGTATCTTGTGTGTTCCCCTTACCCCATAGCCATCGTAAAGTACCCATGGCGTTCGTAAGTCTTATGCCATCTCGATGTCCAGATTGGATTACTGAGGGCCATTGATGGTCTGAATAAGTTTTTGCAATCGAAGTCCCTCGTCAGACGTGAGGCTACATAATTCCCAACCCACAAGTAGCCGTCTTGCATAAGATGATCAATGATCCATAGCTGGTGGAAGGTTGCCGTGTCACTGCCATCTAGTTCCATTCAGGATTTGAAGTTATTAGACCCAACATCTTCCATATCGAGGACCTCGAAAATGTCAACATAGCTTCGAGTTTTATGCCCATTTTCTTTTCTTTTCTTTTTTTTTGAGGAGGACAAACTCCGATCGAATGGGCTGCCAAAGACTTTTCTAATTTAACTAGTTCTTTGAAGATGGGGAAAAAGATCAGACCAACAACGTCAAGTGAACGATGGCTTCCGCTGCCATTTTGTGAGCAGAGGTTGCGGGCATTCCCCAGTATGGTCTGTCGATCATCCTTTTGGGTAAGAGAAACCAGCTTCAAGGTACTCTCCGGGCCAAAAATGTCGAAGGTGTATCTCCCAGGGTATCTAGGGTCTTCCTCGATTGAAAAGGTCTTAGTCCTTGTTCTGCGCGGACTCCACACTTCGATCCCAACGCTCCCTCGAGTCGTGGCTGCGACTGGGCGGCAGGATGTTGACCTCGCTGTCGTGGCTTAATGTCTTGAGCGTAACGTTGTCGCGCGGAGTAGACCGCCAGTGGGAGTCGCGCGGTTGCTCATTACTTTGCCCACTGTTCCTGTTGGAGTAGGGGTACGACTGGTCCGTCTGTCCCCGAAGGCATTGGACAAGGCGGTTCAGAATCGAGAATTCGACTCGAAGCTTTACACCGTACACGCACGGCCGGAAAGCGCCTGCGACGAAGTATTGATTGGACACGGAAAGGCCGAGGAGCGCGATGTCTAGACTCACGACGAGAACATTGGTCCAAATGAGATGATTCATTACAGCTCTGATGTTCTTTTTGGTATCCCCAATGGTGGCTCGATTCTGGAGGACGTGTCGTGTTGCGACAATGTACAGCAAGGAGATGATGACCTCTTGTACGAAGAAGACGGTGACTTGAGTTTTGTCCCAGATGAAGTAGAACCTCACGAGATCTGGTCGTGTGGCGTCTTGCAGCCCGATGCCGAAGCCCATTGTGGGGAAAGAGATGAAGACGGTGGTGAAGATGATCATGTAGAGCACGTAGCGAGCGTGGTCGGGATTCCACACGACGAGGTTGAGGCGCGAGTAGAGGACCACGGACTGCGGGACCACCATCATCCACCAACTGACTTCAAGGAGAGAATGGGCCAGGTAAGAAGACTCGTTATGGAGGGGTCCCCATGCGCTGAGGACCTAGAGTGGGGCTGTCAGGTCAAGTGTCTACGCTGGAGAGGCACGCGCCTTGGGAGCAGACTTACCACGAACAGCGGCTGGGTCAATACGCCCAACGAAGCTACGCAACAGGCCCAGAAGTACAGCCCCTTCTTGTGCATGACGGGCATCCACAACAGGCGGACGCCCAGCTCCACACAAAGGTACCATGAGATGCCCCAGAACGCAGCCATGGTCATAGAAACCGGCATGGGAATCGAGCCCATGGTGTGGTGAGTGGATGTTGACGACGGCGGGTGCACAGCAAAGCGCGACAACGGGCAAGAGACGCAGTGCAGGTGGACAATCAGAGGGGCGCATCCGATTAATGTCTGGCGAGCTCCCCCCAACCACCTGCGCATCCATGCCGTCTGCCCTCGCCGGATGGCGGGACCGGGAGGCGGGACGGGGATGCGCTGCAAGATATACAATCTGAGGGATTCCGCCTGTTTTACCCCGGCTGTTCGCCCAAAAAGAGCTCAAGCACGCACCTGCGAACAGGGCGGCAGGCATGGTACGAGATTAAATGGGACAGTCCAGAATCAGTGGAGGAGCGACACTTTTCAAGGCATCCAGCTCCACAACGTAGACAGCATAGATGAAGAAAGTTATCGCATGCTCTCCCACCCTACGCGCATTCCTCTCTTTAATCTTAGCAAAATCGATCAATGCTGTAGTGCAGAAGAATCCATGTTGTTGAGGTTCGGGTTACTCGGCGAGTGTCCCATTTAATCTGTTACCATGCCTGGCGGACGTCTCACGCGACTCTGAAACGAATGTGGCGGGGCGGGGGCTGTATTGGATGTGATGAGGCCGGCAGGCCGGTCTCCTGAATTGCTGGCTTTGCAGGACATGCCCGCCTCTCCGCTCGATTGCAATCACGACCACCTCGAAGGATTTAGGAGGATGTGGAAGGATTTTGAAGGCTTCAGCCTTCAGCCTCCAGCCTCCAGCCTCCAGCCTCCAGCCTCCAGCCTCCAGCCTCCAGCCTTCAGCCTTCAGTCTTCAGCCATCCGCCTGTTGGTCTGATACCTTTGTATGTACATACCTACGATACGGTCGCACCCTTCAAGAATTCAGGAGGATTTAGAAGAATTCAGCCAGCCGCCTCTTAGTCTACTGCCTTTGCACTTCGTACATACTTCGTACATGCAGTCGCCCACTGGTGCGGAGTGCGGACTGCAACCGTCTTGCCTACTCCGGCCAAGTTTTCTCGTATTGCGCCACGTCCGCGCGAAGCTAGGAAATATCTCCAATCTCATGTCTCGACTGCGAAGGATCTCCCAGCTTCAGGAACTTGCCGCACGTGACGGTCTCAATGCTGCAAAACTTGACCGGACCGGAGTAGGCTGAAACTCGAGGCTTCGACACAATGCTCTCTCGGCTGGTGAGAGCAGTGGCCATTGGCGCCCTGCTGCCATTCAGGGTCGTGGACGCAGCCAAGACGAAGAAGTTGATCATCGACACCGACATCTTCAGCGGTGTCGAGTGAGTGTACCTTTGCTTTCTTCCTCCATTCGTACTCATGCTTCCCGCAGCGATACAACCGCGCTGCTCCTCGCCGCAACACTCCCTCACGCCGAGATCCTCGCCGTCAATGTCAACACCGCATCCTCCTACTCTGCCCTCGCCGTGTCCGCCATTATCGGGCATTATGGCTACCCAGAGGTGCCAATTGGTCTCCCCAGGCCGTTCACCGATGAGCCCTTCTTCGATAACTTCGGCTTTATCCGCGGCGAGTATTGCAGCAAGGTGGGCTACCACTATTCCAACGGCTCATTGCCGTGGGGCACTGCCAACAACGCATGGGACCCCGTGGCTCTCTACCGCAAGACATTGGCCGAACAAGAGGACCAGAGCGTGACCGTCGTCAGCATCGGCTTCTTTCAGAACGTGCGCCGCACTCCCTACCTCGCCCCCCCTCGACAGAGCTAACATGCGCTCTATCCCCAGCTCGCCGGCCTCCTCAACTCCACTAGCGACAAATACTCGCCTCTCTCCGGCCCCGACCTCGTCAAAGCGAAAGTCGCCGAGCTCGTAGTCATGGGCGGCCAATACCCCTCCGGCGCCGAGTTCAACTTTTTCGGTGGCACCCCGCTCAATACTGCACAGGTTGTCAACACCTGGCCGACCGCCATCACGTTCTCTGGCGACAATGTCAATGTGCAGGAGGGCGCGCGACTGACGCGGGAGGCGCCCTCGACGGACCCGGTCGCTGCGGCATACAAGTGGTCTATTGGATACAACACCAATTGGCAAACATGGGATCCATTCGCGGTCTTGTATGCAATCAACGGACTGGACAAGCTGTTCGAGGCGCAAGGCAAGGGAGGGCACAACCATGTCTTTCCGAACGGATCGAACGCATGGGTCTACGACAATACGAAGAAGAACCAACAGTGGTTGAAGTTTAAAGTCAGTAATGTTACGGCTGCGAACGAGCTGGAAACTCTGTGCCTGCAAGGAGTGAAGAAGTGGGCATGATAGGTGTGCTGTACGGCACATGGCCTGGTATGCTGGTACCAGCGTGGTTACTAAACCGGCGGCCGGCTCAACTAGAGAGCAGATTGATTGGGTTGTTATATATAGAATGAAGCTTGTTTGATTGGATTGATTAGAATTTTGGTTTGAACAGTTTAATCCGGATTGGCAAATAAGTGAATAACAATCGCGCTAAGGCCCTCACCGTGTCTTAACAAGTCAATGGAATCACGGCGTTCTGCCGCCCCGAGGTTCCGGCAGCAGAGGCGGGAGAACACGTATTGCTAGCCTCATCAACCACGGCCCTAGCCCCCCTCTAGCACTCCACCATGACGAGATGAGCTTAAACGGACAACGGGAGTCGATTTCTACGGGTCGAATTACGTTTGAAGCAAATCATTAGGTCTTCTAGGCCTCAAAAATGCGCCCCACTTTGGTACTCCGCGCGACGTTCCCAAGGGACATCCTGAGCCCCCTCTCACCTTGAACCTCACCACCATGGTACTCTCACGTTGCCCTCTACTATGGGGCACTCCGTAGCCTCATCTATAGGCGTAGTGAGCTTATATAACGAAGTTATACCCATAAAAATCTATAAAAATCATGTCCGTATGCGCCCTTTCCGATTTGTATACATCCTTTCCGATTCGTATATATCCTTTCCGATTTATATACACCAATCGGATCAATCGGATCAATCTCGCTTGAGATTTGATTGGCTAGAGGATTGATTGATTGGATTATCCAGAGTCTATACTAATATACCGGCCGTCAATCCGATTCAGGATTGGCCGGTTTACTAACCACGCTGGCTGGTACTACGTAAGAGAGGACAAAGTATCTATTACTATTATCTTCTTATTAAAAGTCTACTGCAGTATTTCGTATTACCGGTGTCTATATTATAAAGGAAGGCTTTAATCGCTGTGTCCGCCTAGACATAATGCTACTTCAAACAGCGATTTACCTTGTTTATGGATTATAGGCAGTACTTAATGCTAGTATATCTAGAACAAGTTTAACATATGCTACTGCAGATCTATAGGGAACTCATCCTACTATTGGTGCTGCGATCTTGCCCCTTTTAACTTGCGGATTAAGACTAAGGATGTAATGCTCTTAGTGCAAGCAGCAAACTTGACATTGGACTAAAGAAACGCAGTTGGCTAATACTGTCACCATTTAGCTAGCACTGGCCGCTATAGAGTCTAATAATTATGCTATTAGAGCTGCTGGACGTTAAAGTGGTGAACTAGTTAGACTCGGATGCCGGACTAAAGACCTCTCTCTGCCCTGCGCACTCGTCTTGGTGGTCCGGCGCCATGAGACAGTATTGCTTGTGCGTGTCTAATTCAGACCGGAGCTGTGCAGTCTAGGCATATAGATCCCTCACCAGGTGTTTTGGAGTGGACTGTTACCTTACATTAATCTGAGGATAACACATTCCGCCTATAGCTTCTCACGAAGAGAGCAGGCATCGCTCTCGCCTGGACTCGGGAGGCACTAATATAAACCATGAGCTTTGGTCTCTGCGCGTTATCAAGGCATAGATTCAGCTTACTTTTACTTTTCTTCCGTCGGCAACTAATGCATGCTAGCTGTCTAGGCTCGCGCCGCGAGGGATTGAGATCTGGTCGCGCAACGTTGCGGGCTTATGCCTCAGAAGCTATGGCTTCGATGGGTGCTAGGCGCGAATTTACCCACGCTTACTTGAGTGCGACTGGGGCGAGGTATGTTCTTCCATGGTGGTGGGTTTGGGAATGAAGAAGTTGAGTTTATGGTTAATTACCACAAGTTAGACTAGCTACCCCGAATTCGCAGATCCCCGCACCCTATGATCTTACTCTATAACCCTAGAAAGCGAACGCCGTAACTTAAAGGAACATCTTTTACAGTTTAAGGGTTGGCCGAAACTCTCACATAGGTAGGTTTGGCGTTCACTATATTTAGATTGGTTAACGGACCTTGGAGAGTAAGGTGAGTTGAAGGTGAGCACCCTGACCTGTAGCGGTGCGGCTCGAGCAGAGACTGAGCTGGAGTTGAGGTAATGTTGCTGATGAAGTGGGGAATGCGGCGCTAAGTAAATATGAGATGAGAGGAGATCAGTTGATCGAAGGTATGCGCAATGATACATAAACGACGAAGATGATCCAAAGGTTCACGAGCTGAGGTAATGAAGACCTGAATCTGATACGCTCATGTGCAATGCTTTTCCTATCTATCATGACCGCATTCGATGCCGCGACTTCCTACACGCGGAGCCACGTAAGTAATCCTGAACGCCAGTCTCATGACTGTCCGGTATCATAACGCCAACCACAAGCCAGAAGCCCCTGAAATAGCTCGGTAGAACAAGACACATCCACAAACAGATCAACGTCTGCTTGTCTTGCCCATACCGCGCTTGCCAGTCACTAAATGCTTCACCAGAGAACCCGTGGTATGCCTATCAGCCTCTCCCTGTCTGGCGAACCTGTTCATCTTCTTCTGGCCGAGCTTCTGCAGCCTCTCCGCCTTCGTGCGCGCCACCTCATCCGTGACACCATCATCCCTCCTGTTCGTGCTCTGGCTCCTGCCACGGCTCTTGGCCCGCTCGAAGGCGGACATGCCCGACTTAGGTGTGTCAACGTCCATCGCATCTCCATCAGCTTCGGATCGTCCCCTGGCCGTGCTCCTACCCCGGCTCTGGCTTCGCGCGCGTACAGCAAGAGATGAGGTATCGTGGCCAAGAGACTCGAGGTGGGCATTCATCTTGGATAGTTTCACAGCCTTCGCTGATCTGGGGATAACCGCGCGATTCTTGAGACTCTTCCTCATCTTGTTTTCGTTTCGGATGAGTATCCTTTTCTCTCGAATGAGCTCGGCCTTGTATCGGATCTCAGCCTCCTCGACGTCTTCCAAATCGTCGTCTGAGGCGTAGTAGCCTTCTGCCTCCAGCTTCTCTTCCTCTTCTTCCAAAGCGGCTAATTTGGCCTCGATTTCGGGATCTATGTAATCGTACACGTCTAGAGACATTTGTTAGTAATCCATTGCTGAAAGGATACATCAAGATCCTGAACTCACTCTTTCCATCGAATACTTCGGGTACGCGATCTTCTTTCCAGTCATCATTCTCGAGTAGATAGTTCTTGCGCAGGTTGATATTGTAGACACCAGCGCCACCATTCTCTTCCTCGATGTCTCGTTCCAGCTGGGGTCGGTTGGGATCGTCCTTCTCGTATCTGATCTTGTTCTTGGCGGCGTCCGGAATGAACACCTCACGGGTGACACCACCAATGGGTTGCGCAACGTGAATTCTCCTCAGCAGATCTCCAAGTCGTCCATTTGGCTCCCCGGAGCTGTTTGTCCCAGCTTTCAGCTTCTCCGCGTTCCGCACAGCAAGCAGGCGATCGCAGACAGCATTTCGTACGTTCATTACACCTTCGGTAGTCGTGCAAGAGAGTTGAAGCATCTCAACTTCTCCAGATTTGAGCATGCCCTGTAGCTGTTCTTGTGTCTCGGCATCCAGATCTTCCGGGCGAGTGACGTCGATCTTGTTGATGACGACGTACACCACCTTATTGGAGAAGAGTGGTTTTATCGAGTGGAAGAGAGCGATCTGTGCTGCAACTGAATATCCACACTGCTCCGATAGATCCATGAAATACATGATAGCGCTCCGTAAATGAGCAATGGCGGTGATGCTCTGCATTTCAATGGTGTTCATCTCTTCCAACGGATGGTCGAGAATTCCCGGGGTGTCGATGGCCTGGAATCGAAGCATCTTGTAGTCGAAATGGCCCACAAAAAGTGATTTGGTCGTGAAAGCGTACGGCTGTACGTCGACATCGGCGCGGGAAACGCTCTTCAGGAACGAACTCTTGCCCACATTGGGGTAGCCGCAGATCAAGAGCGTACGAGTGTTGGGGTCGATCGAGGGCAGACGGCCCAAATGTTGTCGCACCTGTTCCAAATACACTAGCGGATCCTTAAGCCTCTTCGTGATTGTAGCCATCCTACCCAACGCAGCGCGCTTCAGCTGCTTGCACTGGTATAGGGATTGTCCATACTTCAGCAGGCGCACGTAGTCGCGAGCCACGGCCTCGATCAGCGATTTTGCGGTCGACAGCTGTCCGAGAGAAATGCGAAAATGGTCTGCATCGTATAACGTGTTGAGGAGATCGCGGTGGAAAGGGTGGATATCATTGAGCTTCGGGAAAGCCTCGAGAGTCGCTCCGAGTCGGTCGCCAAAGGTTTCGGCGGTGTATTTGACTTTTCGGGTGTAGAATGAACGAATTCTCGAGATTCTTGAGGCTGTTAGTTTGGAGTATAGAATCAAATGAGCCCAATGTGCCTACTTGAAGCCGGCTCTGATCTGGGTGGGTAGACGCCTCTGAGTGCGGCTCAAGACGATATCGAGGAATTCTTGACTCGTCGGAATGACGGGAATGTCCTTGAACTGGGCAATGTTAGCGGCATGAAATGCGAATGATAGAGTCGCCTCATACGGTAGTCTTCATAGCTGCGATTACCGGTCTGAGGACGCGAGGGTGGATGAGAGGTTGTGGAGGGGGACGGCGGCTTCACCCACTTGAAAATCTAAAAATTCGCCCTCTCCAAGATGCCAAGATTTCTCTCGGCCAGAGGTTTTGCCGATCTCCGGTCCCATCTTATCTTCCCCATCTCAACTACATGTCTTCCATCGTCGCTGTCCCATTGTTATTTTCAACGTCCCCTCGCCAGCTGGATCGGATTCCCGCTTTCCCCTCCGCTTGATGCTTGTGTCATTGACGATCAACTATGGCAATTGGGCATCCGTATTATCCAGACCCCCCGCGATTTTAACCGCAAGCGGCCAGACCTCGTTCGAGCTCGTTGGACCGGCGCCTCTTTCCTTTGTCTCGGTTTCTGTCTTCAAATTCTCGTCAGATCTCAGTCTTGGCGATGTCTCCTCCAGATGTAAATACAGAATCAATTCACGAAGACCTCACTCTTCACTTACCGCAACACTTGACCGAACACGTTATTCGACACTTCATGTCGTCGCATTGCCGTCGCACGGATTGCAGATGGCTCTCCTTGTCAAACCTCACGAACTACACAGGTGCCCCGCCATTGCTCCCGGATGCAGATATTTCAGGTATAGGAGTGAGGACGGCAAAATAGACCCGCTGTTGGTGTATGCTGACTACGGCAGGCCATCCTCGGGTTCTCGATAACATCATACCTAACTCTATTGCTGCTTATCGTTAACTATGCCTTCGTGTTCGACCCTCACAGATGGGGCGAGAATGGCAGGAGATATACGAATCCGCTGGATTTGAAGCTGCTAGGCTTCATACGGAATGGCGTCAGGTGGAGACCTTCTAGAAGGCTTGAATATTCGCTGGAAAGGGCGAGTCCACGAACTATTCTTACTGAAAACTCTAAATCCAACTAACAGAACTGAATAGTCCGTCTTGATTCTCAGCGATACCCAACTCGTCACCGGGCTTGCGATCCTATCGAGCGGCTACTCTCAGTTAAACTGTGGCATCTCAGCGTATCAGTAAGATTTTGCTTTCCGGAAATGGCATTCTTCCACACAAGAAAGCTATTTCATTGGGGAGAGCGATTGCTAACATTCTCTCAGCTGGCAAATCATGGTCTACGTCGCATGGTTCGCCTCTTTTTCCTTCATCAGCGCAATGACCTTTCTCCAAGCCTTCTTCCAAGCCAATCATAGCCTGAGGATTATTCGAGTCTGCTTCATGTTTGTCCTCGCCACCATGTTGATCGTTGCTCTCCTCCCGACCGGCAGCCAGAATTGGATGGATCTTGCATGCAAAGAAGGCGAAGGTTGTTTCTTTCCTTCCCTGCAAGCAAAATGCTACTACCGCCAAATGATCACAAACAAGTTCGACAATGGGCATACCAAGATATACTCCATGGTTGTGTCTATTTTGGTTGTCAGCCTGAGTTACATCAACTGTGGTGTCAAGATGTTTGATCCGACATCTGCAGTCACCAGGCGATACATTCGAGTCTGGCCTGGAAGACAGATCAAACGCGTTCTTCGCAGGATGGTTAGGTCGTCGGAGAAGAGCATGTGGGCCAATATTATTCTACGACTACCCTACTTGGCACTATATTCAGCCTTCACAAGTGCTCGCGCGCTGTGTGATACCGTAGAATCAATGCTTGGAGAGGTATGTTTCCTGACGGTAACTAGTCGGTATCATGTTAAGACGTGATTCAGATTCTATGGCTATCCTTCGCCATCGCATGGGGCACCATCAAAGTCTGGACAACTCGCACTTCCTCGCATTACGACTCTCGTGGCTTCAACACCAACGCAAATCCAGACGTTCTATCAGAGGATTCCTGGTCATTTGGCCAAACCCTCCCCCTAATTCTCCTCCTCTTACCCGTGCTATCAATGGCCCAGGTCTACTTTGGTGAGTCTCTACAGCAATGCACTTACATGTTCACCAAGCTGAGAACCTTAGCAGACAAGGACACCCGAATCCTCGAAGCGTCAAACAACGAGAATTGGATCCGCGAAACCGGTATCCGTGACCCCGAGAAGACGCCCACGCCCTGTGGCCCCAGGCCACCTGCCTCAGTCTCTCTATCCTCTGTCTCCATCGGCCACGCTGCCGGCGCCAGGACGTACGATGCTCATAACACGCCCAAGCACCCCAGCACCGCCATCGATGACAGGACTCTCGACAGCACATGCGCGTGTCCTATAGCCCGCTGCACCCACCACCCCTCTGCTTGCTCGTCCCCACAACCGTCTCTCCACTCTTCTTCATCACGTTCTTCTTTATCACGTGCCACCTCCCCTTCCCTATCTCCCTCATTCGCTCCCTCCCCCACCCACGCACCCTTCCCCACCTACCTAGACCCCGACACCAACCCATACGACCTACCTTTCTACACCGACCATCTCACCCTCTGGCTCCTCCAACTCTGTTTCCTCGCCGCCTTCATCCTCTGGCTGCTCAACGCCACCGAGAATATCCTGGGCATAAGTTTCTTCTTCCGCAATCGGCTGTTCATTATCTGGATCTTTGGGATTCTGCCGAGTAGTCTGTTTCTACATTTGGCGTTTTGGATGCTAGGCGGGTGGGCATGGGAGGGGGTGAGAGGGGAGAGGGTATGGCGGTGGTGGGTGGGAAAAAGATCTGAGGGGAGAAGGGAAAGATGGAGGAGGGTAGGGAAGGGGGTGTATGCGGTGCTTAGGGCGGGACTGGTGGCGGGGCTGGTGACGTATACATTTTTGCTGAGCTTTGAGGCCGGGGGGCCGGAGGCGTTGGTTATTAGTCTTGAGGATTTGGGGTAGATTAATTTGGGCTGGGGTTTCTGGTGTTGCTCTTGAAGTAGAGAGAGGGGACAGTGGTCTGCATCGTCTGGACCGTCCGCGCGCTGAACGAGTTATACGTATTCTTATTAAAGGCTTGCGATTATTTAGTCTTGGGAGGCTGATAGTCGTTTACGAATTACTATTCCACACTCATTTCTTGATCCTACAACGTCTCCACAGCACCCAGCGGTGCTGATATCTATATCTAGGAAGATATCGCTGCGTGATACTCCAAAACCACACACCGGCAACCAACATCCGTAAGTGTCTCTATTTTACAGTGAATAAATAAGTTCCGTGAGGGGCGAGGTCGAGTGAAGAAAGACGCTAAAGTTAGGACGTGTGCCATGCAATAAACCAAAACCCAGCACCCCGTAACCGTCCCATTCCCATCTGACATCGTCTGAGATTACCGAACCATCTAGCCAGCCAGCCGTCCGCAGCTCGGATTTTTCGTCTATGTCTCGAAGAACACTTGTCGCGTAACCTAGTCACCACTCAATTAGCCCTCCCGTTCCTCTCATCTCTCCTCATCAGACGGATACAAACTTACCGCCCACGCCCCCGCCACACTCGCCACAATCCCCCCACTAATCCCCATCGCCTTGAGCCCCCGCGTACTCTTAAACACCATCCCGCTCACCGCGCCCGCCAGCACGCTGTTCGTCGCGTCGTGCTTCCCGCGATAGTGCCCAATCGTCGAGTTCACCCCGTTGTACACCATCGCGACTACCCCCGCGCTATTCCCCAGGAACGGCCCGCGCCGCGTCACCGCGTTGAGCACGCCGTTCAGCCGTAGCCGCGGGCTGGCGGAGACGCTGGTTTTCTGCAGGCCCTCGGCGAGGCCCCATGCGCCCCCGATTGTCAGCGCGGACAGGTAGGTCACGCCGGTGCCGTAGCAGAGGTCATCGCTCCAGCCGCGCGAGGGGAGCGCGCTGCGCGCGCCGGGGAGGTCGGAGAGGACGCTGTCTTCGAGGGTGAGGTAGTCGAGGGTGTCTTGGTTTAGGCCGGCGAGGGGGTGCAGTAGCGATGGGTCGGTGAGGAAGGAGGAGATGTCGGTCGCGGCGGTGGAGGGGTCGAAGGGGGTCGGGGAGAAGGAGTCCCGGCTGGAGAGCTCGCCGCTGGGGGAGCTGTCGGAGGTTGTTGTGGGTGGGGAGGTGGATTTACGGCCGGTTAGGGTGTCCCATCTGTGGAGGCGGTTAGTTTTCGAGTTTTAGGGGAGTGCGTAAGGGGGATGCGACGGACATCGTCATTGTGTCGGCTGTGGTTGTGGTTTGTGAGGATGGGGAGATAGGACCGAGAGCTGGTGGCGGCGCAATCGGCAGCGAGGTCGCGAGTGGAAACGGCGGGAATAAAGGTATGGGAGAAGCAGTATAGAAAAGGTGCTGCGGCCGTACGAGGCGAGCTGATAGACGATAATGGGGGCGCGAGGTGGTGAATTGATGGCGGTAGTGATAATTTTCTGAGCGAGGAGTGACGACCGGCGAGATTGGTGCACGGGCCACGTTTTCGGCCCGGATAATCGGCGAATTCTTCCGGCCTCTCCTTCAATCCATTCGTCTTGCGAAACTCACGATCATCATCGTCACTTTTAGTCTTATTGGTTTCTATCATGCTTCAATCATTCCAATTAGTTTATAACAAAGTTTCATAAATACTATGAGTGTCTCGAGTAGTGCACGGAAATTCGATATGCCTCGCAATCTTCCCATTCTGGGCCTTCCCAACCATCAGCCCTTCGGCCTATCGAAAGCACCCTACCTCTCGGGTATCTACACGGCAGACCGACAAAAGATCCACTATCATAGGCCACTCGTTCCGCGAAAATCTGCCTTTCTCCTGCTTCCCATCTTCCACGTCGTTCAATCTCGAGTTCGCGGTGCTCTTGCGTGGCAGTACAATCCTGCGCTGAGCTAAGGAATACACCCCTTCGTAAGGCTCCGCTTGCAGTGACATTTCTTTTACCTGACGTTCGAGGGATCGATTTTGGGCAACCAAATGCTCATTTTGAGCCTTCAGGCCCCTAGACAAGCGGCGCTGGTCTTCGACGGTTTGCTCCACCTGTCTCTTCATGTCTCTACGCAACGCTTCCATGGAATGCAAGACCTTTCTGTTATCTTTGGGCGACGTCAGCCAATCTGTCTCTGAATTTGAACCCAATGCTATACTTACTTTCCTTGTTAGCAGCTTCTATTTCCTCAAGAATGGCCGCCAAATCATGTCGTTGCTGCTCGAGAAGCCTAACGAGCTCTTCATTGATAGAAAGTCCTGCTGCGGTCTCGATCAATGTCTTCTGGTCCATGATCACTTCCTCTTGAATCCTGAGCATGAAAGGTCCGTTGTTCACCATGCTCAAGATTATCCTCTCTGCTGACGCCTTACCGTTATCGTAACGGTATGTGGAAGCACCGGCAGCTATGGTAGGACTCCAAAATGTCCCTTCTACCTTAAGCTCATCTGCTTTCTTTTATCCTTTCTGCGGGTCAACTGTGTCCCACATACTCGTCACCAGCGCGACATTTCCACACCACAGAGTTTGCGGAATAGTCTGAGGTTGTTCGTACCTCCTTCCATTCTCTTCTTGTTTATGTCATGGAGATAGATTAAACCCGACAAAAGCATACCCTTATGGAGAGATGCAGTCATTCAGCGAACAATCTCTTCCAAGACATCGACGTCATTCCTTGTGTCGTCGCCGAAGCCAGGTGTGTCGACTAAGGTGATCTCGTGCCGACCCACTCGGCATGAGACTTCTTGGACCTCTGTCGTACCTGATGATGTCAGATATTTATCTACAAGCACAAGAAAAGTATCCACGGCAACGTACAGGACTTCAACCCATCGCCAACCTTCATCTGCTCCCCGGACACCTTTTGGATGAAGGAAGATTTTCCACTGCCAGTCATTCCACAGACCGCGATGACGACTCTTTCGGGGGTTCGATGCCTTTGATTTAGGCCATTCGGCCTTGAATATTCTGGCTCGCGTGACGAGGACTCCTGCGATGGAGACCTTTCTCGCGGTCGCTGATTCCCTGGTGGTCCACGGTACGGCCTTGGCAAACGTCTTCGGCGTTCTTGCTGTCGAAACATCCTGAGAAGAGTGAGCTAGAATTGGAGGCACACCGGAGAAATTTAGTGCGGGGGTACACCCGCAAGTCGATTCACGAACTGAGAAGAAGAAGAAGAATAAGAAGGATGAGCGGTCAGCCCTTAGGTTGGAAAAGGCTCTGCCGGGACCGCCTAGACTGCCCCAAGTTGGAGAGGCGTTTTCAGATCAGAACCTCGAGGACCTATGAGCTGTTCCTGCATGCGACATGTAAGGCTGAACATCTTCACATCTCGTTGGTGGGCCGGCGAGGCTGAAGTTGTTGAATCATAGCGATTTTATTCTTCATTGTCTACCAACGCATTAGCTGCTGCTTGCTGAATACCGTTGAGACGCCATTAGCTGTCCTGAATCCAATCAAACACATGTTGTTGAATTTTACATGGCGCGGTCAGCGGTCACGTGATGCACACATAGCCCAGGTAGTGCGCGGAGACATGCAACGTCGTTATTCGTTAATACCAAAGACGCCTTTTCTACACCGCTCGAAGGCCTTGAAACCCGAATGGAGATATTGCTACTCTTCATAGCCCTAGCCTTAAGCGGCCAAAATCTAGGGTGAGTTCGGGCGTCTCGAGGCGATTAGTCCCTTCACGGCCGTTCAGATCCGGATATGCTTAAGCCTAATCGTATCTGGAGCGGATACTTTCGCGCCCATCATGTCGAATTGGACCAAAAAGAGCCGATTCCCTTCGAGCAAAGCCGGATCTTGGTTTTGACAAGAGCCAAATCCGTGGTTTGGAGAAGGGTTAAACTGACTAGACCACCTCAGACGGTGACATCTACCAATTCAGTTGCGAAAAACAGATCTCAAATGAGATGATACCCAAGTACGACTATTGGATGGCTATCGAGGCGCCATGATTCCATGATGGAAGAGTATGCACAGATCTACGATAAAGCGTCGTCACTCGTATCTGATCACAGAGAGACATAATATAAGCTTGCGGAGTTTTTATGCCGCCTCACAAAGCCATCCCGGTTTTTGTTGCGTATAGTCCGTCCAGCGATGCGGTCGACACAGTGGCTGTTTGCCGTAGCTAGGCGTGGTATCGGGTTGGTCAAATTGAAAGACTTCCGCATCATAAAATTCTGCGTGCATTCCTTGATACACGCCCCGCTAGAAAAGTGTAATCGGACCTAAAGAAAGGCACTGAAAAACACCGAAGAACTCATAACTCGTAGCTGAGAGACACGTCTTTCCTATCACAGAAGATGGGTGAGCCTACGTTCAGCTAAGCCACCGCCATCTTCGAATAACTCCCGTGATTGGATACTCCTACATGAGAGAATCCTTGGCGAAGTATCACCCCAGAATCTGCGCTTCCACTTCTCAGCCGCGAGATCGTTTAGCCTTTTATTTCACAGCTTGTTAGTTGACCAGTCAAGTTCGCGGCATATATTGGAGCATCGTTATCCACATCGTGGTTCAGAGCCTCAACTGGGAGTTTCTGGTATATATCGCCTTCTCCGGATTCTCTGGGACCAGCCGCTTGGCCGACGTTGTCTACTTTTTCGTAGTGTGATAGGAAGGATCGTTGTTACGTCGTCCTCCAAAGTCTCAATCGGGATCATCTTAAGACTTGGACCAGGCGCTCGGCCGACGTTCTCTAATTTTCGCGATGTCGGACGTAGAGAACATGTCCCTTTCGTCCCCACCTTCTTTATCTCCCTTAGACTTAGATCCTGGACGGATATGGGACGAACATTTCCCGTCACGACACCTAGAATTCAACGAGAAACGGCAAATTCCATTCGAGGAGGGCCGTGTGTTAGGTCGAGGCGGCGTCGGCATCGTACACCAAACCACTTCCACGGAGTTGGCTTAGCCTGGAAACGAACCTACACCAGAGTCATCGGCGAGAGGCAGCTGAACGAGATGAAAATCCTACGCCAGATGCGGCGCGAAAAGCATCAGCATATTGTTGAGCTCGTGGGATCGTACGTTCGTCGCGCAGGCAAGGCTGGAGGCATCCACGAATTGGGCTTGCTGATTTGGCCCGTGGCCTACTGTGACCTCGGTACACTCCTTCTGGAACTGGATAAAATGAACAACCTACTGAGTAGACTTTTCGTCTCGCCCAACGACAGAGAAAGCATAGAGAGTACTAATTTCCTGGCGGGCCTAATGAGAAAGAACCCGTCGCGGCCCCGAGGGGAGACATGCCGAGACTCCCTTAAGCGATTCAGTCGAGCTATCGGCTGCATTGCTCATGCTCTCGAGTTCCTTCACGCCAAAGGGATAAGACACCGAGACCTAAAGCCTGATCAAATTCTCATCTCACGTGATGGGCTTTGGGTGACTGACTTTGGGTGGTCTAAAGATATTTCCAATCTGAGCACCAGTGTATCCGCCAATGGAGAAACCATCAACAGGAAATACATCTCCCCCGAAAGAGCTCAAACGCAACCTACAGGCTGGTCTGAAGACATCTTTGCCCTTGGATGCACATATCTACAGATGGCGTATGTGCTTACCAATTTGCCTCTACAGCAGCTAGAGGACCTTCGCACTTGCGCAGACCGCTCTTTCCAAGCAAATCTGGAGAATTTGGGCAAATGGGTAGCTCCGTTGAGACTAAAATCTAAGAGATTCTTGGTTTTAGCGTTCTTGATTGAGCAGACTCTCATCAGCGAGCCGGATCGCCGTCCTAAAGCGAGGGAAGTCGTCGCTATCCTGGAGGCCTGCAACAACATGTCCTTATCTAGTTGGGATTGTCAAATTTTTGGCGATTGTTGTAGCGACACCTCAATGCCTACTACATACTCCGGAGATCTGCTGGAAGTTCTGGAGAGAACTGTAGGCGGCGACAATAACCTAAACACGTATGACGCGGCTTGGGAGATACTGCACCGGCAATATAGACTCTCATGTAGAGCAGTCGAAAAGCTCCAGGATACCTTGTGCCGGAATGATCTAGAGATTGGAGATCTAGGCGTCAAGATGCACGACCTCGAAGCATCGACGCAAAAGCAGATAGAGGATTTGCAAGAACAATTACGGGCTTCGAAGGCACAACAAGCTCATACGAGCGAGATGCACAAGATTAAAAGGGACCATGACGATAAGACGAAATCCATGATGGAGCAATATGACGCCCAGATTGAATCTTGGCGTGAAAGAATTTTTGGGCCTCAACAGTCAGCAGCGGCGAGTCTTGACTGATTACTTCCGAAGTGATCCTTTGGGCTCTCATAAAAAAAAATTCGGTGCCATAAATCGAAATATAGCGATGATAGTACCGGCTCCGGAAAATTCCACGCATTACCAATACCTTGCAGATCAAACTTCAGCTCACATCCTCTAGGATAAAGCAGAATGTACTCTGAGTCCGCTGGAGAAATGACACAGACCCGGAAACCAACTTTCACCGACGTCCTTCATCCCTCCTTTAGATTTAGGGTGTTGGAGTCTTCCAGTTGGAAGTTTCAGCTCCAGCAGGATACAAGAAGCCAGACATAGTTGTCCTTATACCCCCCTAAAACACATATTTTACAAACTACCCAGACCTTCAATACCTCTTGGCCAATGTATCTAAAGCGGCCTCCGGCAGACCACATGCATTTTGGGAGCTCAATATTCACGTGTCATTATATTAACCGAGATCTCCAAATCTCTGGCGGCTGCTGTATGTTCGACGACACCAGACGACTGCTTAATCTCCACCCATGCCGTCAAACCGCTGCGCCCGAAATCAGATCTCCGAATCGAGGACTGCATGCCACTCCCCAGCAATGCCAGGAGGATGTCCAGCGAACGAGGACAATTGAGCATTGATATCACGTATACCGCCCTCCGAACCCTCATAGTCCTTCCCTGTGGCTTTCCTAGTGTAGGTGTGATGCCAGAGTACCCCGGCGGCGTGAAGAGAACGGCAATCCGGACGTCATGTTCCACGGCTTCTATTCACTGCAAGACAATCGAGCTATTCAACGCGTGCAACGTTGTGTTGATTACTGTGAAAAGCTCTGCGCAGCAGCTAGTCAGCTGTTGGACGATATGTCGTACCTAGCGATAGCTGCGTATAGTCGAGTACTACGGCTCATATAGCACTCGCATGATATTACGCCACGAATGCTATTCTGGAGGGTTCCGGTGGTGGGAGAGAGGGCGCAGATTGGTGTGAAGCTAGGGTTTCTAGGAAACGTTATAAGCGTGACTACCTATGTGCTTTGGAGTCAGTAGTACTTCGGACCGTTCAACCCAAAGTCAAACTAGTAGATGAAACGGCACCGCATGAACGGTGCAACCTTAGTGACGAATCGGTGAACGTTTTAGTTGGTACATAGCGCCTAATTTCCTTACTAATTGAACGACGAAAAAGAAGAGAGAGGGTAGAGAAGATAAGGGATATTCTAAGAGAGAGGTCTGCTAACACGCCTTGGATAAGTGTGATGAAGGTGAAACTCGAATCTTCTGGATTGGTATTAAGGATTGACATTAAATCAGAGGTCTACATTTATATAGAAGGTAGTGTCGAAATTTTCAGGCACCTATGCGGCACAGCAAGCTTTGCGACTGCTACCTAGGCAGATCACCGAATTCACACATTGTAACTAGACTTTGATCCATCATTCACGAAATGTCAGACTCGATTTCCTCTGGTGGCTCTGATAGGTAGCGGTGTAGATCCGTTGTCGATGTTTGCTCCTTGTTCGAAGTACGCGCGCTCTGGTGCAATCTTCCAGAAAGCATGCTTTCCAAGATGAGCTATACACTGTCCCGCGCGAATTCTTTGATGTTGTCGTTGTCACGCCAGGATGCCCAACGAGGAGGGCCCGTCAATGACACGCTTTCATCGAGGGGTAACCTTTATCGAGAAGTAACTCGGCCATTGACTCCAGGCCATTCCTCCTAGCACAATCGAGAGCACCGTTAAGAACAAAATAAGTATTTATACCAGTTGCGTATCTGCACAGGATGCGGACCAAATCAGTATGTTCTGCCTCAACTGCACCCTCGATTGGCAACTGGATTCCTGTGCTAGTGTTCGCACCGTGTTCGAGCAGTGCGCGAGAAATTTCGAAGAATCCACGGCTGGCCGAGATCGCCAAGGCGTTATATGATGGGTCAAACGTTCTATCCCAATATGTTCCGAAGTACGGTTTGGCACCGTGGCGGAGCAGCATCTTTACAACCTCGACATGGCCATATTGCGTTGCTTCTCTCAAAGGCTTTCCCGAACAAGGCTGGCAGTCGTAGAAGACGGTTTGTTGATCCCCGGATTCGAGAGCCCTGAGTACCAGCTTATCCTCTGGGATTTGAGAGACGCCATTTGCCGAAGCGCCTTTCTGGAGCAAGTGTCGAACCATGTCCACATAACCCTTTTGTGTCGCATACGAGAGGAACTCTTCCAATGGGAATTTGCCTTCGGCTGGCCATTGGCTGCACGCTTCTAGGAATGGGAATAAGGCTTGAGCAAGGCGACTGTTTGATCGAAGATGCGCGGGTTACTCGTGCGATACAGTCCTTCTTTCAAGAATGGATAAGTAGCATTTCCAGGGACCATGTGTCCGAAACGAGGACTGAACAGAAGATTGAAGGTGTCAAGGTGACCACCGTTTGCTGCTCCAGAGATGGCAAAGCACCTTTTGCGCAATGTGACGCCAGTGCCGCTGGTCAGTAAAAGTTCGACCACGGAATTGTTGCCCGCAAACGCTGCTGCCCAGACTGGAAGCCCGAAAGGGGTGTTCTTCTCTGGATCATAGCCGTTGGCAAGGAGCTTTTTCGTAAAGTCTTGATAGTTCAAGTAGGCTGCCGCTGCCAGTATAGTGTTATCACGGGAACAGCCCTGAAAGGAGCGATACGTAAAGTGATCAGCGTTCCTGTATAGATGACACAACTGCTCTGCAATATTTCGGATGACGGAGTCGTCATCCGTCTGTCCGATCTTGTTGCAGATTGAATTTGTCACAGCTCTAATAACCCAGGCTCTGTAGGACGAGGGCTCTTTCTGATTGGCCATCATATGTCATGTAGGCGTGCCAAAAGAGATTGTTTGGGCCGATGTTATAATTCTTAATTGTTTTTCTGGGCGGGTAGTGCACGTTTCGTCCGTCCCGGTATGCGTTTCCTTCGTCCTGGCGTACAATACCTGTCCGAAAGATGGCTTGCTGGACCTCGACGGAAAAGAGTGCTGGTTCGATGGTAAGTCAAAGATTCTGACTCAATCAGAAATAAAATGGGGAGCATTACTGTTGATGAGCCTCAGTCGTAACGCCCTTTTTATTCCACGAACTTGAACCGCGTGCTCAAGAATCTGCTGAGAAATCTCCGTGGGTAGTTCAAGAATACTCATGTTGATTTAAGGTGGACAGGTGGGCGCGAATGGGGAGGAACTGGTAGGGTTGGTGGTAGTTAGGAAGCTGAAGAAGAGTGCGGGATGTATGAGCGAGAAGCGATGTGTGCGGCCCGAAGCTTGGCTTTTCGCAGTTCCATGGTTCCAAAGCGCATTGGCCCAATCATCATTCCACCCGCATGCTAAAAATGTGGCTGTAGCCTCATAATAAGTATCTCATTGTCGAGAGCACCCTACGCCGAATTATCATAACCACGCCCTGGGCACTGCCCTCTCGCTCCACGTCCTCTCACTCTCCCACGCCAACCAATCGCTTCTGGTGGTGGGCAGCAATCCCATCTGATTCACTTTCCACAGTCCGAGGCCCAGCATCAACAAATTCATGACAACATATGTAGCTTGTACGGGAAGGAGACGACCGGCGGTGCCGGGTGTAGTGAACGGGGCGAATGTGCGGGGCAGGCCGATGATGGCCATGATGGGCGTCTTGAATAGCGTGAAGACCATGAAGATGGAGAAGATCTGGAGGGTGTTGCCGGTCATGTACATGCCTAGTTAGACATCGTCAGCGATCAATATTCTCCAAGTTTGCGGCCTCACGATCGTGGGAAACATACCGATGGCGTTCATGGGCAGCTGCTTCGCCGGCGCTATGGCAATCTCCCAGGCCTTCTTGACCTTCAGCGTGTCCGTCTCTTCGGTGGTCGGTGGCTTCCGAGCAGTGGGTGCATTCTTCGACTGGGAACGTTGCTTGCTCAGCGCGGAGGTGAAGCCGGGCGGGTCAGGCGCGGAGCTCGACTTGGGCTTCGCGGGCGTGCTGTTGAGGTCGAGGACCCATTGCGGCGGCGGCGGCGGTAATGAGGACATCGTGGGGGTTTCGACAGCGCAGATGAAGGTGAGACTGGGGATAGAAGCGTGGTGTTGAGGTCGACGTCGCTGTCGGATGGCGAGTTCTTCCGTCAGCCTTGGCGCCCCGGTCGCTGCAGGTGCTCCACCAAAACACTCGTCCGCTAAGCTCCGCGCTCAATTCACTCTCAATCGCCTTCCTCGCTGCCTTCATCGCCTCCGCGCACCCGTTCCAGCGTCGAATCTGAAATGTCCGGTCTTATCAGCGCGTCGTGAGAGCCCCACAGCGAATCAGGACCGCCATCCACGTTGGAGGGTGGCTAAGACGGCACCGGAACGCAAGAGAGGGGAGCTGCAAGAGTCTCGTTCCAAGCACATGCATACAGGAGGGGCTGAAGACTAGGCACGCGGACACCAGCCATGAGTGCAGGCGGCCAAGATGCGAAGCTCTTTGCGAGAGTACGTCCATGTCGCCGTTCCTTTGTCCACATCACCGTCCTCTATCACCGCATTTTCCTCGCTGTAGCAACAATCTACGACACTGCGCTCTTGCGCAAGCTGGGACCGGCAGCGCATCATTGCTATGGTTGCGCATAGCCAAACCATATCATGATGTTTATTCCCACCTTCGCATTCGATAACGCAGCGCGCTTACAATACCTCCGGTCTCCACAGGGCAAAGTAGCGGAGCTACGACTCGAACTCAATAGCGGCGGCAAAAAAGACAAGAATTTCTCAGCGAAAAAGACGGCCTTGAAGAAGATCGTCGCGAATATGACAATGAGCAATAATGATATGGTGGCACTATTCCCAGATATCGTGGCTTGCATGCACATTTCGAGCCTGGAAATCAAGAAGATGTTAGTTGCTGTGATGCGATGCTACGGGAAGTCATAATGTCTCGGGAACTGATTGGAACTTAGGTGCTTCTTATACCTGGTCAATTACGCTCGGATAAAACCGGACGTTGCTCTGAAGGCACTGCCTATCATCGTCAATGTATGCGCGTTGCTATCGAGCGAGGGAATTCATTTGCTGACTGGTTGCACAGGATATGGACGACAACAACCCCCTAGTGCGGGCCCTAGCTCTGCGAACCATGTCGTATATCCACGTTCGGGAATTCGTCGAAGCGACCGTTCCTCCCCTGAAGAAACTCCTGAAAGACTCGGACCCCTACGTTCGGAAAACAGCTGCTTTCTGCGTTGCGAAGTTGTACGACCACGATAAACATCTCGTGGAGTCTTCCGATCTCATCGATCGACTGAATACCATGCTAAGGGATGAGAATCCAACAGTGGTTTCGAGTGCACTGGCGGGCCTGATGGATATTTGGGAAAGGAGTGAAAGCATCAAACTCACTATAGACTATGCGAGTGCATCAAAGATCGTCCAGATCTTGCCCGACTGTTCAGAGTAAGTAGACCAATTGCAGTCATGTCTCATTACTAACACCAACCAGATGGGGCCAAACATATATCTTAGAGGCTATGATGAATTACGTCCCACAAGACACGAGCGAAGCAGCGCTTCTTGCTGAGCGTATTTCGCCTCGACTTTCGCATTCAAATTCCGCTGTCGTACTAACCTGCATCCGCGTTATCCTCTACCTCATGAACTACATATCCGATCAGAAAGTAATAGCGTCTCTCTGTAATAAGCTCTCTCCACCGCTCGTCACCCTTCTATCAAAAGGACCCGAAATCCAATACCTCGCCCTCCGAAACGCTCTTCTGATTTTACAACGAAGGCCGGAGGTGCTACGAAACGACATCCGTGTTTTCTTCTGCAAATATAACGATCCGATTTACGTCAAGGTGACCAAGCTGGAACTCATTTTCATGCTTGCTACGGAACGTAACATCAAAGAAGTATTGACGGAATTACGAGAGTACGTTCCTTCTATCCTCTTTTCCCCATCCACGACTAACCCATCCCCAGATACGCCACCGAAATCGACGTCGACTTCGTCCGCAAATCCGTGCGCGCCATCGGCAAACTCGCCATCAAAATCGAGCCTGCCGCCCGCCTGTGCATCAACACTCTTCTCGAGCTCGTCGCCACAAAAGTCTCCTACATCGTGCAAGAAGCCACGGTCGTGATCCGCAACATCTTCCGCAAGTACCCCAACCAATACGAGTCCATCATCAGCACGCTGTGTGAGAACCTCGACTCGCTCGACGAGCCTGAGGCCAAAGCCGCCATGATCTGGGTCATCGGCCAGTACGCCGACCGCATCGACAACTCGGACGTCCTCCTCGACGACTTCCTCTACAGCTTCGCCGACGAGCCGCATGAGGTCCAGCTCGCCCTGCTCACCGCCACCGTCAAACTCTTCATCCAGCGCCCCACAAAGGGCCAAGAGCTCGTCCCCAAGGTCCTCAAGTGGGCCACCGAGGAAACTGACAACCCGGACCTCCGCGACCGCGGCTACATGTACTGGCGGCTGCTCTCCTCGTCGCCGGAGATCGCCAAGCGCGTCGTCATGGGCGACAAGCCCGCCATCACGGCCGAGGAGAGCGAGAAGCTCGACCCCGCCACCCTCGAGGAAATGTGCCTCAGCGTCGGCACCCTCGCCACCGTCTACCTGAAGCCCGTCAACCAGGTCTTCCGCTCCGCGCGCCCGCGCAAACTCATCGAGAGCCCAGCGCTGCAGCGGCACACGCTGCCCACCGTGCGCGCCGCCAAGGCCGCGAGGGAGAAGGCGGCAGCGGAGCGTCCGGCTGTGGACACGTCGGCCCCTTTTAACGTAAACGGGAACGGGAACGGCAACGGCACCCCCGCGCCCCAGAACGGCAACGGGAATTTAGCGGCCGCGGTCAGCGAGGCAGACATGTATTTTGCGAATCTGAACGCAGGCCAGATGCGCGAGAGCGCGTTTGGGGGATCTCCGATTGCGGGGAATAGCGCGAGCATGTACGTGGTGACGCAGAATGCGCCGCAGGGGATTGTGCAGAGTCCCGGTGGGGCAGGAGGTGGGATGGGCGGGGATGGGGGTGGGGATTTGTTGTTGCTTTAGTCTTTGTCGAGTTTCTGGGAAAGGGGGCCGGGGACTTCAGACGGTGGTAAAAGAGTGTACACACATAGCGCTCCCAATTGGCATTTACAGATTTCTGAAAGCATGTTGGAGGACTTTGTGCGGTGAAGTGGTGTACACAGATATAGGTCATTCACATCTCATCCTAATTTCTCAGAATATATGGAGGGACTTCAGACAGTGCTCAACCGGTGTACACAGAACCCAGCACACTACCATCTCATCCCATTTCCTCAAAATGCATCAAGGGTCTTCAGACAGTACGATAACTCACTCAAAACAGTATCAAACACCATCAAATGTGTGTGCACATACTATATTAGCTGTGCTACACTACTACCTAAAGGCCCCATCGCCAAGCATAGTGGTATCATACAATGAACACGGCCAAGGGGCAGTCCGTCCAACCATGCAAATGTCAGAAACAAGGAGAAAGAAGCAAGGAGAATTTTGGCCTTTTGTGCACATTACCAGCAATGTTGACAAAACCCCCAATTATCACCATTTACCTATCCCTCCAGCGCGCACGCACGCACTCTCGCTATCGGTCAATTTGTACCAATTGTATCCATTTGTTGCTCGTGGTCCGACAACTACGTGAAGTAGTGACGCAGCGTGGCGTTTTGGGGGCCTACTCGTCCGCGAGGAGGGGAGCGCGCTCGCGGTCCTCGGCGACGATCTCGCCGCGCTTGAAGGGGTCGCGGCCTAGGAGGCCGGGGACGCCGACGGCGAGGGAGAGCACGAAGAGGAGGGCCATGATGATGAAGGCGAAGATCCACTGGAAGGCGATGATGTGGCCTAGGAACTGGTCGACGCCGATAGCTGTGATTTGTGTTAGTACAGCTGCGTTTAGGGACGTGGAGGTGGGCCGAGAGGGGGATGGGGGTAGGTACCGGCTGCGAGGATGGAGAGCTCAAAGCCAATGGTGTAGTCCTTGAACGCGGCCAGGAAGAACACGCCGTAGGCGAGAATGCCCCAGATGAAGATGTTGGCGACGATGCGAGCCGGCAGCGTGTGTGCGTGCACCGCTACGGCACCGACCCAGTACAAGGCCACGAAATTCCAGGCCAGGGGGCCGCTGACGACCGGGATGTGGATGAACCTAGGCGTAGTGCTGTGGCGGAAGTAGGCGGCGCTGAGGTTTACAAAGTTCACGATGAGGAGGAGTTCCGCGAGCCAAAAGTGCGAGCGCGTCCAGAGGTGAATGAAGCCGAAGATGAGCAGGTTGTGCGCGATGAAGTGGGATCCAACGTTGGCAGCCGCGTTGACGTAGACAGTGTTGGACGCGTAGAGGTGCCAGCTGTAGCCGATCTGGAGGATGAAGAGAACAATCCTGGGTATCGTATTAGCATGCTGCCTGGACTATTGTAACGCTGAAATGCTCTAATTGAGCGAGGTTGTTGGGGCGGCTAGGCTAGGCTGAGGCGCTCTGAGAGCAAGCTATTCACGTACCAGTAGATGCTTACGATGACGGAATTCATGGTGAATGGAGTCCGATGCGCACGGTTCTGGCCCCAGATCGTATGGCGGTGGTACTTGCCCTCATGCGGGTGCTCGAAGGTGTAGTAGACGCTCGTGATGAAGAGAAGCAGCCAAGACACAGTCGTGCCAACCTTGTACGCGATAATGGCCTCGCGAGAGCGGTCCTCGCGGGCTGAGAAGGGATTGACTGCGAATCATTAGCACCCTGAAAAGATCTCGAGCTTCATGGCTTCAGAGGCTGAAGGACGGGGCAGTGAAGCTGTGGCAAAGGCGGGGGAAACGTACTGGCATGGATGCCGCGGTGGGCGCTGCTGGCGACGCCGTTGGTGTCTGGCATGATTGCTATCTACTTCTCTGATTGCGTGCGGTGGAGCTGCAGCAGTATCGAGCCGTCCTCTTTGAAGTTGAAGAAAAGAAGAGAAGCGGAAGAGTGCTGTGGAGTGAAAGGAAAGAGGTGAGTGGAGTGATGGAGCTAAACAAATCAGGAAGTCAGCTGGGCCAACGTCATTGCTCCCGGCCTTGGCACTAGCCGCGAATGCGGGGACGGCTGCAGCCAACCAAGCAGAGCTGCAGAAACGCGTAGAGGCGCTGCAGGCCGCAGGCGACATCCTAGCCGTGTGCGAGGGGGCAGTTCGCTGCAGGCGGGGCGGTCACACGCACCGGAAACGTCTTCGAGGGCGAGTAAGATATCATACAGAGCTGTGAGGGCCGAGCCATACCAGTGAATCACTTCATCACTTCATCGCTTCTCTTTATTCAGAAAGCATACCTTCAAGGAAATCAGTTTTATTACTTATCAGACGGCTAAGCTAGAGCTCGAAGAGCTGTAAGCGCCGGGTATCATAACTATGCTAGCTGGGGGGGTAAGTGGGTATTGTGTCGCAGAAAAAGGAAAAAACCAAGGACGGAGATCAGCAGAAAACAGGGAACCACAATGCTGCAGAACGGCATTGCTACCACCATGCAGAAGCAGGGTAGACGGTTCCACTGTTTCACAATCCCATCATGTTGTGGGTTGTTGATGCCGAAAACCGCAGGGGTTCAAACGCCATTGAACCCAAATTCACCACCAGTACCCCAAAAAGAGACCACCACATTTGACCCCAGCATTGTATCCGTAGCACGCGAGCGATGCTTCGAAAGACGTATGCCGCTTTGCGTCGTGTGTTGGCGTTGTGGACCCGAATTCGCCACTCCACGAAGTCCAAGGTACCACAATCGATGAAACTCCCTGCAAACAAACCCGTCACCTTTTTGATAGTTTGCCCACTGCTCCCCACTACTCCTAGCAGTGCTGCAGCCAAATGAACACTCTCGCATCCCTCACATGATCTCCAGATTGTTGAGATTCATTGAAGGAAGCCACTGTCTCCCCTCACAACCCCACCAAATCCTCAGCACAATCACCCCTTCAGTCGCGCGGAGGCTCAAAAACCGCCCAGACATCCTCCTGCTCCTCGTTGACCTCAACATGCCCGTCCTCATCCTGAGCAGGAGCGAGAGCCGGCACATGTTTATGAGCATTGTAGTTCGTGCCAACAGAGCTCTTCTGCCCGTTTGAATGCTGATGAGAATGGTAGTTGTTATTGCCTGCGACGGGGTGGCCGAGCGTGTTGGTATGATGGCGCTCGATCTTGCCAGTCACGCCTGAAGATCCTTCATTCGACTTCTCCTGCTTCGTATCCTGCACAAACGGGATCGCTCCATTCGCTGAGAGGACCGGCAGCTGTTTCTTGACCACCGCATGGTGTGCTTGAGCCGACAGTTTCGGGAGACCCAGATCCGAGTTCGGGGGCTGCCATTGGAGCTGCTGCGGCTGAGCGTGCGTCAGAGCTGTCTTCAGAGCCTCCTCTGGATGCTGCTGCGACGGGTGCGTGTACGGGATGAACTCGTTGAACTGCGGTAGGCTCGGCGGTGGCGGAGGGGGCGGCGTGTCTGGGCGTGGAGGAGACGTAGTCAGAGAGATCGGCTCGGCGACTGCAGTGAAGTTGTTCTTGGGCAACTGATTGGGCCCGATGTCGAGGTTCATCGGGGCCGTCGGGGGTTGGATCGGGTCACTGATCGACCTTGAAACTGCTGTGATAGAGGGAACGTCTTGGAGCAGGGCAACGGGTTGCGGTAGCTCTGGCGGAGCGAGAGCCTCTGGAGGCGTCGCAGGCACCGCAGCACCCTTCGTAACGGGCTGGCGAGTTGTCGTCGTTTTCACGGATGTAGCCGACTTGGTGCGGATGGTCGCGGGCTTGCGTACAGAGGCCTTCTGTGCTGTCTTTGCCCTTGATTCTTTCAGCTCATCACGCTTCTCCAGATCCGCCTTGTGTTGCTTTTCCTTCGCATCGTGCTCCTCCTTGGTGGGCATCCTCAACTTGACGCGCTGAAGTCCGGACGTGATCTGATCAATATCGTTCTCCTTTTCCGGCGCCTTCAGGTAGCCCGAAGGAACCCTAGGCACTGGCGGCTCGGCTTTCATCGTACGGGACCTCGCAGTCTCAGAGGGCACTTGAGATGGGGCTCTCGCCTTGCGGACTGCCGCTCCACTCGAAGATGGGGCCGGTGTGACACTAGACTTCCGTGGTAGGGCAATCTTACTAGACCCACTAGCAGCCAGATCTCCATTCGCCGAACCAATGCTCGATGCCACACTCAGACGCCTCGATGCAACTCGCGGTAAAGCTACTGTTTGCGCTCGGGCTGGTGTAAAGTCTGCCATCGTCTTCCGGCGATCGGACTTGGACACAGCCTGCGAGGAGTGCTCTGCATCAGAGGAGGCTTCTGCATAAGCCGTGGCCTTGGCCTTTCTGCCTCGCAGTTGTCGACCACTAGCAACCGATTCTGCAGCAAGGGTAGCTGGCGCGATAGACTGTCTCTCTTGCTTGGCGCGAGGATTCTCAAGATCCTCTACAGTACAGCTCTTTGTCTGTCTATCCGTAGGAATGAGCAGCTTGCTCAGTTCGTGAGCAGCAGTGATCCATTCAACTTCCGGCGGTGGCGGAGTAGGAGCACGCGACGGACTAGCAGACATGAATTTGCTGGAGCCAGAAACGCTCCGATGGACTTTCGTAGGGTCGACAACTTTCGCACTGAAAGACGCGGTAGGCGAGTAAAAAGTCGGAGGGGCGCCAGTCCTAGGTTTCCTAGGAGGAATAGGAGGCGGTGGGTTCACCGAAGCTTCGAGCCATTCGAGATTGTCTACATTCCACCAAGACGGATCGTAGTTTGGTTCTGTGCTTAGCATTGGAATGTCCTCCTTTTGCAGGCCCATATTGCCCATCCGCTGGCTCATCTCGTAGCCCAATCCATTGTTGGTCATGCGCTGTCGGGAGGTAGCTGCCTGATTATCGCAGAGTCCGCTAAGATGGCTGAGTACCCCACTGCACAACGCGCGGTCCGAATATCCTCCTTCAAGTACAGAAACGATACGTCCCTCAGTGCCAGTCTCTTCGTCTTGGGCCATCTTGACGACGTCTCGCGTGAAACGAGCATAAAATTCGGTTGGCACATTGACTTTGTGTCGCTGCATACCCTGGCTCTCGTGCTCGCTGGCATCAAATCCGGCAGACAGAAAAATAGCGGCTTTGGGTTGAAGTGCGCTCTTTGGTACACCACGAATACGGGCTGTGTGGTGCTTCAAAAAGACGCGAGCCTTCTCAATAAGAACCTGGTATCGGGCCTCGTACAACTCCCAGAACTCGGCCTGTGTTCGCCAGGGCTGAAGATGAACATTCCAGATGGTCTGATCGTGCGCATTTTCTATGCAAAGACTCGCGTTCTGGACCTTCTCCTCATCTCCGTCCTCGCAAGGATATGAGTTGATGTCGTGCAAACTGAAGTAACCAATGGCGGTCCGCTTGGAGACTGGTGCATTCTTAGGCAACTTCGAGATTTTGGCGTTGCGGGACCAGGTGATGTCTTGGGATCCATCACCATGGTGCAGATCAAAGTCGATAATCGCGGCGTGGGTCAAGCCGTGGGTGATTACGGCGTGCTCGATGCCCACGTGGACATTGTTGAGCCAGCAGAAGCCAGATGGGAAATCCGCAGAGCAGTGATGGCCTGGCGGACGTACAGTGACAAAGGCGCGGGACGGTCCTGTTCCTGACTGAGTGCCTAGGAACACTGCGTCCACTCCCTCGAAGACCCCTCCCAGAGCACCTTGAAGGGCGTTCAGAGACTCGGAGCAGAGATAAAGATCACCAGGATGGAAACTCTGCTTCTTGGCCTTCGAGGTCTTGGGGCCGTCGATTCTAGCCAGCTCCCGATCTTTCCCATTAGCAGCCAACTTTTTCTCGGCAGTGTCGCACATTGCCTTCAACTCTTCCATCCAGTCCGTGCCATGCACATTCTTGACGACAGCTGAGGTAATGTCGACAGAGCGGGCTGTCTTGCGGATCTTGAAGGGGATATTCTCGCTCGGGTCGCGGTCGGGGTGCGGTGGATGTTGTCCCTCTGCATGACGGCCTCCGAGTCTGACATAGGCGACCGAAACTCCCAGTGCCGTAGCTAGCAGTCGCTCTGGACGCTCGACGATAGTCATCAGGTCTTCTTTGCCAGAGCGCGAGAACCTGTGGCCGTAGCACTGATCGTGGAGGATGACCACTGTGTCTGTGTAACCAACTCCTGAAGGTTCATGGTGTAGCTTCAACTCTTTTCTGAAATGCTCCTCTGCGATATTTGACGCCTTGAGAGGGGCCTTTTCCTCCATCTGTGCTGCGAGGGGCGATGGCGCAAATCCAGGAGACGGTTGAGTGGGGTTGAAGGAGGCGCGGCGGGACGACGACATTTGTGAGGGAGCTCGGCGTGGAGTAGCCGGTGAATCGCCGTTGCGCAAGGAAGAGGTCGAGATCTTTCTGCTGAGCGCGGGTGAAGCTGAGCGCCCAGTTAAGCTCATGGTACTAGAGCTCCGGCGCAGGGGGCTTGAGGGTGCTCTCTGCGAACTCGGGGAGGTGCCGAGGCGCTGCTGGTCAGTGACACGCAGAGGAGAGTTGTTGCCTCCAGGTGACGGCGGGAGTGGGGTGTTGGAAGCTGTAGAAAGCGAGAGGCGGTTGTGGAGGTTGTTTGTTGACCGTCCTCGCGGGTTGGTGACAAGGGGGTCGCCCGGCGGGTTCTGCATGGTCGCAGGCAACAGTTGCGTGCCGGCGACAGTCGCAGGGTGAAGGGAGGGTGTCTCGTCTGGTGTCTTGCAGACAGAGACGGTGTGAAGTGGTGGAGTTGTCGTGGTCTGCGCGATGACGCCCGCGCGTTGTCGGGTTAAACAAACTTGGACGCCTGACGGCAGCTGGTCCCTGTCGTTCGACCGTCGGCCAGGAAGCGAGACGCATGCACGCTCCGTTTAGTCCATAATGATATAGGGCTGACGGCCCGACTCTGTGGGGATATCAAAGTAGAATGCTCGAAATACGTCTCACTGTTACGAGACGCTGGAAGCAGTAATTGCAGAACGGCCGCCGGTTGTAGCTGCCACTGTTGTCTATATCACGTGGGAGAGGTCAATTTCCAATGCTTTCTACTTGCAATTGTCTCAGACAGGATCCAGAACTCGTTCTGAAGCTAAGACTGATATTCTGTGCACATGCGTCTTCAGTAGCCTGACACAGCTTCAAAGTGCTTCAACCGCATCGATCGACAAATCATAGATCTATTGTTCAGGCGGCCTCTCATGTCGCCGCATAAGGCGCTCAAGATATCTGTAAATATATCAAAGCATGCTATGCAGCAGCTTCTACTGCACATCTATGGCATCCGATCGCCGCCTCTCAATCCGCAAGCAAGTCCACCCCCACCCCCTTCAACGCCTCAACCGCCCATACCGGGAAATTGGTCTTGTCCGAGTAGACCTTTCCAAAGAAGTCTTTTACAAACGCCGGGTACTTGTCCTCCAGGATCGCGTGCCGAGCTCGCTTCATGAGGTTCAGCTGATATTGGACGTTGTGGATCGTAAGCAGATGTGCGCCCGCGGTTTCCTTCGCGGCGACGTGGTATATGTATGCTCTTGTAATGCCCAGGCCTCCCTTTTCCTTCGGTCTGCAACACACGCATGTGCAGCCCTCCTCCACAGGGTTGAAGTCGTTTTGAAAAGAGGCGTTGCGCAGATTCAGGACACCAGTGGAAGTGATCGCGTTACCAAAGCGCTAGACTCCGTGTCAAGGGGCAGAAGCTAGGAAGAGTCTTTGTAATTGTACTCACTGCTGTTCTTGTGGGCCAGACACAATCAAACATGTCTGCGCCGAGGGCTATGGAGACAACTAGGTCTTCAGGGTAGCCCTACAATCTATGAGCCTAAGGTGCGATCGGAGGTCTCTGGATACACTTACAACACCCATGACATATCTAGGCTTCTTCTCCGGTAGCAGACTGGTACATGTGTCGACTCTAAGTGTAGTGTCAGCAGTAGTCTCTGCCTCAAAAATTCATCCATGGACATCTTACACTTTGCAGTAGGCCGCCTTTTCCTCGCCACCAGAAAGGCCACCGATAGCAATCCCGGGCGTATCTCGCTCGACCATCTCCTTTGTACATCGCTTTCTCAAGTCTAGATCTAGGCCTCCTTGAATAATGCAGAACAGATTCTGCCTCTCCGGGTATTTGTGTGCCTTGATACAGCGATCCAGCCACCGCACCGACCGGTCCATCGCTTCTTCCATCCGCGCGAGATCAGGAGATGTAGTCGCAATCACATCATCCAGTTGCATGATGATATCCGAGCCGATGGAGTTCTGGAGGGAGATGGAGTGTTCGGGGGTCAGAAGCCTGTATCCTCTCTCAATCGCCGCAGATCAAGATAAATTTATGGAACTCACATTGGTGTACCATCGTGCGGACTCAAGAACTTGACCCCTTCCTCCGTAACCTTCGCAAGCTTCAAAAGCGAGACCATTTGGAAGCTGACTTTGGCGTCAGCTGCTGTCCCTTGGTCCACAAAGTTGAGAGGGTCACCGACCCACCACTATCTGCAACAATCAGCTACTGTGCCCAACTTCAAATCTTCAGAATTGAGGGTAGAACACCTGTGAGGATATTATGTGGCCATGACTGGAATTTGTGCGCGCCGCCGATTGCGTCGAGTGTTGCTTGTCCTGGTTTCAACCCGCTTCCACCATTGTCAGAATTGTCTACGGGTACTGCTCGTGCGCTGGAGTGTCTCACAGGTGGTACGTGTTGTTCAGACATAGCCGGCATCCTGTCTCTTCTAGTTGCTCGGGTGTGAGGCCTTTGAGGGAGGCTTGGGTGGCCACGGGCATGAAGATCGGGAGGGGAACAGGCCCGTGGGGGAGGTGGAGGATTGCGGCTCGTGCTTTTGTGACCTGCACTGTGGGTTAGCTACATACAGTTCTACCAAGAAGAGGTGTCTGACCGAGCATTTCGCGAGTAGCTCGTACGAGAGCGCTGGTGGCATGGGTGCCATATTGAGCGGAGAGGTGTCTGAAACGAAATGTGGTGGAGGGACGGTCTTTCCCGTCTCGAGTTTCTCCGCCCGCAACCTCACTTCCTCGCCCTTCAACCACGGAACGTCAGGCTCGACCTCACTATTCATCAAGAGAGGCATATCAACAAATACTACTGGCCTAATCGTGCGCTCTATGCGCAAATAGGAAGTATCGTGTACTTTCTTAGCCCACTCAAGCCTTGCCGCGACTTAGTTCCACTCAAAAACCTGCTCTACTTCTACTTTTAACGCGCGAAACACCCTGTTATCTTCCATTTGCACCCTCATGGAGTTATATAAGTGCTTTAGCAAACCCTAAAAGAGCTAAAAAGATGAAATTGTTGCCCTTACATATGATATTTTTGCCCGTGTTAATGTTTTCGCCCTATAACCTTCTCACTTTCTCACTATTTTACCATAAAACGTCAGGCTCGGCTTCACTTTATTTTGGAAGTGGCCTCCTAGCAAACTTGTAAACCCCAGGGTAGCCCTTCATGTAAAAATCTTTATTTCCTAGAGCTTTTATTTTAAATTCGCGGAAAGACCTATTATAGTTGTAAGTCTAGTCCTTTACCTCTGCGAGAGGTCTCTTAGCACACTATAAAAACTCTATGCAAGATGGAATTTTAATAATTATAACTAATAGTTAACATAGCTAGGCCACTTCAGACAGCGCCAAACGGGTGTACACAGATTCGACTTGCGACCCATCCCCAACTCCCCCAAAGCTCCTCACCACCCCACCGAACCCCACTTAGCCATTATATACCGCCTAAATCGGTCCAATCTCCATCAAAAACAAATGCTCTCTTGGCTTAGTGGTTAGAGCGCGTGGGTTATAGCAGTTTCATCTACTTACACGACTCGTCTCGGCTTCGGCTGGGCGGGGCGTGGTAGCTTGGGCTGACAATTTCACACGAGGTCCTCGGTTCGATCCCGAGAAGGGGCAATATTTTTTGCCTCTCTTATTAGCGGATGGGTCTCTATGCGGCGTTCCTCGTCGCCTTTTTATTTTGGTTGCAGCGGCAGGACCGGCCACCACCGTGTGAGGTGGCTCGGCAAGCTTTTAGCCTGGCCAGAATTGTCTTTTTGCGGCTTTTTGTAACGTGCCAGAGGACCTCAGGTAGTGTTAGGCAAGTGTACATAAGCCAGATTCGTGGACTGCTACTTCCTGTTCGAGGGTGCCAGTCTCCGTTGGCCATGGAGTCACAACAGTCCAGCACCGTCTGGGGTGGCCCGGAGAGCTACCAGGTGTGTTGAATCTGTCATTTTCCGCTCCATCATAATGCACCAGGGGCCCTCAAGCGGTGTCAGGCAGGTGTACGTAAGCCCGAGTGGGTGTGTATCAGAAGTGGCATCATAGAGTCACATATTCGTAGAATGCCACTTTCTGCTCAAGAGCGTTAGTCAGTCTCCGTTGGCTACAGAGGTCCAGCACCGTCTGCGGTGGCCTGGATAGCTACTGGGTGTGTCGAAAGTGCAATTTTCCAGTCCATAATAATGGACCAGGGCCCTTCAGGCGGTGTCAAGCAAGTGTACACAGTCTGGACGGAGTAATGAAGTAGTCTGAAGAAGACAAGAAGAAGGGAAACTAATCATACAAGTACCAACGCTATGCAGACGCAAATTCAAAGGACCACCACAAGACACAAACCCTCCCTCAAATCTGCTGCACAAACTCAGGCCCAAACTCAGCCACCGAGTCCCTAAACTCCTTGATATCAACCTTCGACTCCTCAATCACCGCCAACTTCCCATCCGCATCCCTCTTATACGCCAACAACCCCGTCCCGTTGTTCTGATTCGTAGAGAAGAGAACATCCTCCTTCCCCAACGCCAAACTAAACATCCGCGGCGAAATCCCGAAACTACTAACCGACTCCCCAAACGTCAAGCTCGCCGTTCCCTTCTGCTCATCACGCGCCAACGTGAAATGCACAATACTATCCGCCTCATTCCCGGTCAGCCGATTCGACACATAAATATCCCGCTGGTTGCTCGCAACGATACACTCGCCTGCCGCCGCAAAGGTCTTCGTCGCGTCCGCGGTCGTGTCGGTCGGGTTCTTCGCTGGCATATCCTTGCCGAACGTGCTCTCCGTCTGAACATGCGTGAGCTCCAGCGCCGCATCCGTATACTTGACGCTGTACAGCTGAATCACGTTCTTCAGCTCGCACACAAACACGTAGTGCGTCGCTTTATCCCCCTCGCAGGCCTTGATAAACGCGCCATGGCGCGGCCCACAGCCGGCAGGCTCGACGGGGACTATCGCTACGCTGTTGAACGCGTCGGCCTTGGAGTCGATGACGGAGAGGATGTCGGCGCCGCGCAAGGGCACGACGAAGAAGCGGCCGGAGGGGTCGAGGACGGCTTGGTGGGCCTGCACGCCTGTCTGGTAGAGGGTGTTGGGGCCGAGTTTGTCGTCGAACTTTTTGGATTTGAGGAGCTTGATGGAGCCATCTGCGGCGCTGGTGTCCCACGCGTCGAGCGTGCCGTTGGTGAAGCTTGCGCCGACCATGCGCGACTCGTCTTTGGTGAAGGCGAGGTACACGACGCCGGTGCTGCGGGGGTGTGAGGTGACGTTTTCGAATTTGTTGGTGGTGCGGTCGTAGTTGAAGAGGCTGATGGTGTTGCCGTTCTCATTGACGGTGTAGAGGTGGTTGGGCTTCTTGAAGAGGGCCCAGCTGGGGTTTGTGCCGGCGGTGGCGATCTTGTTGGTTATTCTGAATTTGGAGCCGTCGAAGTCGACGGAGCTAATACGGCCGGGACCGGAGGTCACGATCAGTTTACTCAAGGTGGTGGGAAAGTTGGTGGGTTTAGGGTTTTTGATGGTTGAGAGGGTGGTGGAGGTGGCGGAGGCCATCCCGAGGGAGAGGAGGAATGCAAAAGAGTATTTCATTGTACTTGTGGTTTGGTGGTCTTGAGAGAAAGTGGGTAGTGTGAAATGAAAGAAGTTAGAGGAGAAGAAGAGCAAAGAAAGAAGACGAAAAAATGTCAAGTTTTGTTGCCGGCTATGACTGTAGAGGAAGGGAGTGGGAGCAATGGTTATGTGCTTATATTTATGCGATACGATGGCTCAGCTTGCAGTTTGCTGAGTCTTGCCAATGGAGAACTTGGTCTGTGGCCTGTCGTTCTGACCAGTTCCTGAGCCTATACTAAGAAGGCAACGGTTCACGGAGTTGTAGGACTGGGGTTTAGGATACATATTGAGGAGCGCAGACTCTGCAGGCACCTTCCACAGTTTTAACTGCAAGCTCCTCGCCTCAAAGGATTCGAAGGGGTTGTAGGAAGGGTTTCATGAGTATGCGGCGTAGAAGTTGTGTTTGGGCGGCGGGATCAGCCGTTGGCTGTGCCGTTTCTGTGACTGCGCATAGCTGACGCCACACCCTCAGCCCCCAAGCAGCCGGAGAATTTAGAGAGCGACTGTTGGCTACAGCATGAAACGCCAAGAGTATGTTTAGAGCCTTTTGATTTGCTGATGAGTACATGAAATGCTTGGTGCACTCCGCCTCATGACTAGGCGGCTTGCCACCGTTCGACCGGCCGTGCGTAGTCGCCGTCTACCCAGGTGCAACTTCATACGGCTTTCTTCGTTTGTTTCAGTTTCTACAGCTCATTTCAGTGCCATACCACGCATTTGAGATGTGTCCTCCTCAGTCCTTTCTCTTTCATCCTCCAGAGCGCGTCTGTTGTCGGAAAGAGTCCGCTGCTGGGAAGTTCCTCGACACTGGGGATCAATTTTGAACCTACGCGAGCGCGAGCATGGTAGAATATCTGCAACGAACGACCGAGGCACCGAGCCATCTAATATCCTGGGGGGTAGTATTGAGATAAAAAAAGATATATCCCAAAGGGACCAGCTAAAAAGCAAAGTATTACTCTACCAGATCCGTGCAAAGACAGCATGACTCGACTCAAGCGCATGGCCTTCGAATGTTGTCTGATCGTGGAGCATTTGAGCGTTCGAGCTGGTATCCGTAGCCCGGACTTACAGCCGCCTTGTACACCAAAATCTGGGGAAACTGAGTGTGGCAATTTCCATCCTTGGAACCACTTGTCCCACGAGTTTGGTCTCGACCATCTAGCGCCAGCAGAGACCTGCTTGAGAACGAAGTGCCCCCTTCGACTAGCAAACCGCCGGTTTGCCGAATCTGGGGATCCGTCTTTGGCTCGTTTGGGATTCCTATGATTGTGATTGGCCTAAGTGGTGTGTCAGGTCCGTCTTGATTGAAACTTAACCTTAGGTAGGCACCTTTGAGGAAGAAAAGAGGAACCGAACATGGAAGTTTTGGCAATGCTTTTCTGGGCCCGGGAGGGCGCGTATGAGGATGAGGGACATGTGGAGGAGATGTCTGGACGAATGTGAGAGGGAATCGCTCAAAGAGGACGTCTGACGAAATATCCTTTGATGAGTACTACAGCTTGATGTTCAACTATCATCTCTTTTCGATAGAATAGAATATCTGCGACAAAAAGAAGTGCTGCTCTAGCGATAGTATTTGCCGCAAAATGTACAAGGCATGCAAATACGAATTCTCCATTGGTTATGTCGTAAACTCGGAGGATGTCAAGTGTTTCGGACGAGGTCAAGTCGATTCGGCTAGCTCCAAAAGTCACCGCATTCGCCGAAACGGAAACATCATGCGCAACATGAAGCCTCCTACGTCAACCACGCAAGTCATCAGGAGGCAATTCGGTCGACCTTGGGAAGGTGTGCCGAGTGAAGGATGCCGGAAAGATCACCGCGTTTCGAGATCACCGTGTTTCGAGGTTCGACAAAGCTAGCTCACTGCTCCCCACCAAGCAAATAGATTCTCACCATTCGCCTTTCACCGCCACGAGTCAGCGTATTTGCAAAGACTTCGAGCCACGATTCGAAATCCTACGTTCATTGATGTCTGACGACGTCTTGGAAGGTGTGCCGCGATATTCTTCCCTCGGGTCACCCTTCGGAGCCCCTCGACGAGGCTTCGGCATTCCCAGTTCGGCATAAACTCCAAAATTAAATCCCCGCGAGTCTCTCCGCACTCCACACTCCGCATTTTCAAACCCCGCGTTATTCGCTCAGATGAGATCCGGGGTACTAAGCCGCGTGATTGAGGAGCCGACTTCTGGTGTATGGACACGCCCTTCGGTCTGGGGAATCCCGGTAACCATGATCTTGTCTTATTATATAAACAGACCCTTTCCCTTTCATGAAAGGCATTCCAGCTACTTCCCAATTCAACTGTCTCGTTGCGTTTTCATTTGATATAGCCTATGCTTCTCTCGTTGATTGAATTAGTCAACCTCCCATTCAGTGATCACTCCTGGTGTCCACCATCATGATCGAACTACGGGGCAGAATCCTGATCACAGTGATCCTACTCACCGCGGGATTCGACTTTCTCTTGCTTGGCTATGATCAAGGTACGACCTCCAATTTTATGACCGCGACGTCTTCTGACCTTCGTCTTTACAGGGTTATTCGGCGGCATTCTCGCCGGTGAGCGCTTCACAGAAATGCTGGGCCATCCCTCCGCAACTAAGCAGGGCTTAGTGACCGGAATTTACGACATTGGATGCGCGATGGGTGCTGTTGCAGCCTTCTTCTTCAGTGAAAATTTCGGACGGAAACGCTCCATCATCCTCGCCAACATCATCGTTATTATCGGTGCAGCGATTCAAACTGCCTCGTACTCGTATGGCCAAATGGTCGCATCGCGCATCATTGCAGGCTTCGGGGTGGGTCTCAGCACAGTAGCCGTCCCGATTCTCCAAGCCGAGACTCTGCCTTCGCACAATCGTTGATCTCTACTCGTCGTCCAGTCTGCTCTCATCATCATCGGTGTGGCGGTTGCGTCGTGGCTCTGCTTTGCTACTTTGTATGCTGAAAGCTCGATGCAGTGGCGTTTTCCAGTAAGATCTCCCTCATCCCTGAGCCTTCTAGACTCCACTGACACAGCCTTCTCATAGATCGCATGTCAGATCATCTTCTCTCTCATCGTCCTCATGCTCTGCCCCTTCATCGTGGAAACCCCTCGTTGGCTCGCAAAGCACGACCAAGTCGAGAACGCACGCCACGTAATTGCCCGCCTCCTCGATAAATCCGACAACGACGCCGAAGTCACAGGCCAGCTCAACGAGATCCTCGACACCATCGCCACGGAAGAAGAAGACGGCGAGCCAACCTGGAACGAAGTCTTCACCAATGCCACCAAAACACGCAACCTTCACCGCGTGCTACTCGGCATGGGACCATACATGATGAACCAGTGGAGCGGCATCAATTCCATCTGCTACTACCTCGCCTTCATCCTGCAGCAGTACCTCGGATTCTCAGCGAACATGTCGCTCATCCTCGCCTCGGTGGCGTTCACACAGTACGCAGTGTTCTCCTGGCCGCCGTTCCTCTATATCGACCGCATTGGGCGCCGCAAAAGCATCATGATCTCCTCCGCCGGCTGCGCGGTGTGCATGGTCATCATCGCAGGCTCTCTCGGCATCAAAACTATTAAAGCTAACAGCGCGTGCGCTGTCGCGTTTATCTTCCTTTACATGGACTTCTTCACGTCCGGCATTCTCCCCGTCTCATGGTCCTACTCCGCTGAAGTCCAGCCGCTCCGCGTACGCAACAAATCCACCGCTATCGGGGTTTTCAGCCACTGGGCGTCTAACTTCGTGGTCGTGATGGTCACGCCTATTGGTTTGCAGTCGATTGGTGGGAACTACTTCTGGATCTGGGCGATCATCTGCGCTATTTTCGTGCCGCTGATTTATTTCTTTGGTGTGGAGACCTCCGGCTGAACACTGGAGCAGGTTGACCGCATGTTCTATGAGGATCCGAGGGTGCTAATGGGGTTGAATCCGGACAACAGGGCTGTTGTTAGAGCAAGCAAGGCTGACGAGGAGGAGAGGTTTAGGGCGTTGGGAAAGCTGGAGACGGATGAGAAGGATGGGGTGCAGCATCTTGAGAATGTTCATCATGGGGATTAGAAGGTGTGAGGATAGGAATATGTACCGCCTGAAAAAGGGAAGGAAACTATTATTTAGCATACGGAGGCCTGGTGCCTTGCTCTCTGTATTTCGATGTCTGGCTGTCGTTCACGTCGTCTGATGTGCATCTGAGAAGTGGCACCTAAATATCAGCCAAAGTGGCATTTAGTAAAGTACCATCATCGTCTCCACAACCTCAGCTTCTCTGGCCCATAAATCATCAGTCACCCACTATTCATGAGCAGCAACCTGAAGCCTCAGTGTCTCCATCAAAGTAATAGCTATAGCTACGTTCAGACCCTATCTTATCTTCAGGAGAACACTTGGTGCCTCAAGTTGCTGCGAGACTGGTACTGTAAGTTTTCTTCCTTAGCAATCATTACAATACTTCCATTGGCGACGTTTTTGACCCTGCTCACCGCACGCAAATCGGCCAAGCCAGCCACATCTCTAAGCAAGACGAGTCTTACCGAGGGCTCGACGCACTCTTCACATCGGTTACAGAACGTGGCGTTGTTGTCCTATCATATCAAGTTGTGGCGGCGAACATGCAGCAGCTGAAAAGCAGGCGATTGCCATTAGGCTGAGGCGTAGGTTGCATGGTCCGCAGCCCACGTAACTCTTCATCCCCTTCCTGGCCGTAGGAAAAGGCGATTTCTGTCATTTTCAAAGATCCGTTTCCAACGGCGAACATGGCCGCCGCACTTTCCGCAGAGCTAGAAGGCTTATCTCAACGACTAGTTGCGCTCGAGACCGACCGAGCAAATAAAGAAAGAAGAGACCAGGAGAATGTTACAGAGAAGGCTCGGCAATGCACGGGAGCACTCATCGATCTTGCGAAATTGGTCGTCGCCTGGAAAGAGCCGTTGCGTGGAGAAGATGACACCGATCAAACGATCTCAGAATCCAACCGTGGCCTCCTGCTCGCTGTGGCTAGGGTAGAACAGTCGCTCGTCGGTCTTAGCGATAACATGACGAAACGGCTAGAGGATAATATGCAGAGCTCGTTGCGGTTTGCGGACACTTACGCGTCCGAAGTCGTGGGGCTGCAGAATAGGCTCCAAGAGGCGCAGCAGGATGTCGAAAAGAGGATGAGAGATGCGCAAGATTCGATAGACAGCTTGGAGAAAAGCATTGAGACAGCTACGGTGGCTCAAAAGGGTATGAAAGGGGACTTGTCCGCGTGTGAGAAAAGAGGCGAGATGGTTCAAAAGAGTAATGAGTTCACGGGTGGCGATACGGTAAGTCTGTGGATCCTATTCCGCCTTAGAATTATGTATCTCACTCTCTCTGCAGGCAGCAGTAGTCGCTGCAACCGGTGGTGGAGCGGCCCTCTGGTTTGGTGCTATTGTATTCCCACCGCTTGCTATCGGTGCAATAGCATGTAATCTTGTCCAAGCAGGATATATCGCAGACGATGTTATCAAGACACGCAAAATGTTTGCATCCCTTCCTCCCTTCCTCGCGCTTCATTAGCTTCGAATGCTGCACCTACTGATCATGAACACAGAAAGAAGATAAAAGAAGAGGTCGAAGCCATCAAAACGAAAATATCAAGCAGCAACAGCAGGATCTCGGGACTCAAGAGCCAAGTCCATGACATGGAGAATACACGAGCTAACCTCCTGATACTAAAAGCCGCGGTCGAGCGCACCTCGAAGCGCTCGAATGCTATCTCCGAAAAGGCACAGACTCTCGAACGGCGTTACAATCAAGATCAATCTCGGGTCGCAGAATGCCTTATCAAACTCCGGACCGCTCGTCTCACGTCGCTGGATTTCGCGGTGGCAGACTCAAAAGATGCAGTTCTCGAGACTCTCGTAACTCTTTCACTGGACATGACCGCTTTCATACCCAATGAGCACATGGTCACCGAGTTCTTGCAGGACCTCCTCGCCCAACTGCGACGTGATCATGGAAGTGCGACCGGTATTACTGGTACTAATGCGGTCAGTAAATCGCCCAATTGACCCTCAAGCGTCCGACGGAGTGTTCGTACACGAACCTCTATTCGAAAGACGAGGACGGCGTGGTTCAATTGCTAGTGCCAGATTGGAACGGACTACCTGCTGACCATTGCTGCAGTCTTCACAGCTAACGACCCAGCTTTCGGAGAAACTCCGCGAACAGTTGATCGAGTCTCAAAAGGCTTCTCTAGAGACAACACGTCATGCTAGCACAATTTGGATGCTTCTGATAGTAGCTTATTTTGCTGTCATTTTTTGCCAAATCCTCGCCGCAGTTGGTGTCCTGAAGTGGGCACTGCTCGTACTTGGATGCGGAGCTTTCCTAACGTTCCTATATCATTCCCCAGAAACCGCTCGTCGCTTAGTTAGTGCTGCTAAGACCATCATAGTACCTGCTTGTGTGATCGGGCTCGGCTTGTTTGTAATTTGTCGAGTTCCGGTTGTACTTGGAGCGCTGCTAGTATTGGGCTGGGTTTCATGGTCGATTATAGCAAGCCCGATGAATGGTGTAGCGAAGTTGTTGGGCGTTCTACTTTGCATATTCTACTACTGCTGTTTTGTGTACCTTTGCATGATCTGGTGGATCTCTCGGGGCCTTTACAGAAGCATTGTAGGATAGGACAGTTTCATTATTATCAAATTCAAGCTATCTTAGCCTATTATCACTCCGCTTAGACCCGGCTATCGACGTGGAAACTCCTTCAACTCCGGTCAGTCTCTTAAAACTAGACAACACCATTCCTCTTGATGAGGATGCCTCCAGCGCTTCCTTCGACGATAGTCTTGAGAGTGCCACGCAGCTCAAGCTGTGCCTACAAATCATCGTGTCAGTCTATGCGAAAGACGTGTGTCGAGGAAGTCGTCTAATGCGTACTCTTTGAGAAGTCTCTCGAACGCTTGCAGACGAACGCGACTTATACTCTTTGAGCTGGAGCTCCTTGAGCTTCCTGCTTTCGGTTGTAATGGAAGAGTCAGAAAGCCCCAGCTCCCCAATCTCCTTGAAACCTCCAACGATATGTTTGTCTGAGAGCTCTACATAGGCTCCAGCAATATGCTGAATGGTCGCAAAATGGATCTTGACTTTGACAGCCTCAGCCAAAATTTCCTATAGACGGAGCGATTAGCAGAGAGAAAGTCAAGGGGTTGTCAGAGGCTTTGTATACCTCACGCAACTCTGCAGCCTCTTCCTCGTTCTCCGGCGCAACATCGTCCTCAAGCTTTGGCAAGTAATCCTTCTCATAGTGATTGATGACAATCTCAACTACTTTCACAATGCTGATGAAGAATAGCAGAAGCTTTTGAATCTGGTCCTGCAGGTCCATCAGCCTTCCGATCGCGTCCCCGAGGACCTTCTCCGCGTCAACCTGAAGTAACGTCAGCTGTGACTCCGGATGCAAACGGCTATCAATCTTACCAGCCCAGATCGATCCGACATGAGTATCTCCATATCCTTGGCCAGTTTCGTTTCTGCGAACTCAATGTCTCTCACCCTCTGCATCTGCTCTTCGTAGAGTGCTTCCGCATCGAGAGCATTCTTCTCAACCCCCCACGAGCATAGCATCGTCAAGCCCATTATGCCCCACCCTAAAGTAGGATTGATGAATGAGATCGCAGCACCCGCATGCACTAGCTCCAAATTAGCAGATTGCAAGGACATGAGAAAGGATATGTTCACTGTTTAACGCGCTAACTCCGTCCTCATTGAACTCTTTATGCAATTGGCCGGCCTTGTCGCGCTTCTTCTTTTGTTCCGCTGCTTTATGCTGTGCGTCCTCTTCGGCCTTCTTGGCTTCGGCCTTCTTCCTCTCCAACTCCTCCGCTTCTTCCCTCTTTTTCCTTTGCGCGTCTAGATTCTCCGCTAATAGGAGTCAGCGTTGATCATACACTGTCATGCCAACGGTATTACCTTCTTTGTCATGCACAGCTCTCCACAGAGTATCCGTATCCTTGCTCCACTTCTTGAACGACTCATAGATATTGCTCGCCTCTATTGCGCAATTCAACGCTTTACTCTTCAAACTTTTCAGGTCATTTTTCAGATTCTTCTCATTCAACGCGGTCTTCGGTCTCCCCAAGCGCATAACAATCTTATTGATCTACACACACATTAGTCCGATCCCCCAACTCTTCGTATCTTAGGATTCCTACTACACCATTCGGCGAGCCAACCTGGTTCGCATACGCGCTGATTGTCGCCATCCCCACCTGAGCCTCCAAGAACGCCGAGCGGCCCGTCTGGAAGATATGCAGGAGGTTGGTCGTGAGGCGTTTCGACCTATCCTATCAGCAACCCAACTTGGCAATATTTTAGCGGCCCAACTCACTCAAGATGTGGGTTGTCAATGGTAACCATCTTCGCAGCCTTGACCGACGAGACCAGCATGCATTCTCCAAGGATTCCAATCGCGATAGGCGCAGCGCAAAGCGTGTTCGACCAATCAGACGTTAGAACACCGCGGAACTGCACTTCGGCGTCCTCGACGTGGCTGGCTACGATCATTTCTGCCTCTTCGGAGTCCTTCTCTGGGAGGAGAGGTTGTGTTCCGGTCATGTTTCTGGGTGGCTCGCGCATTTGGCGAGGTTGAGAGGAGCTGCTGTGGTATGCTTAGCAGACAAGGCTGAAGATTGTTCGGATGAGGATTAACAGGTGTCGCAATCCGGCGCGATGTTGACTTTATACATATCGCTCGATAACATGGACGCCATAGTGCTCCAAGAAAGGCAGTGTTTCCTCAGCCTCTCTTCACGTCCGGTGGTCTAGCCCGGCAACTGAGTCGATCCTGGTAAACCGCCTTTCTGGTCTGATATTGGAGCGGCTTGAAGACTGATTGGCCAGGAGACTACTATTCCCCTCTAGAGTTGTTATCTACCTTGTACGATAGTCTGTGGCTTGATTTTAGAGGGTGACCACCAGATCTGAAGAGAGGTTGCATGTGTCTGTCTTCACCGGAAGGCTGAAAGCCGCGTCTTCTTGGCTATATAGCTATCCTAGCTCTGAGTATCCTAGTTGTCCAATCATTGAGCTTGGCCGTTAGAAGAGCGTCTACTTCCGACACGTGGCTAGGCGCCCAAGACTTCAAGAATAGAAGCCAAGGCATGAAGGGAATGATAAAGGTTAAGCGAAGCATGCTAGGAAGGTTTAACCGACAGCCACCAGCGAGGCTGTGTCTAGACAGAGTCGTCGGTAATATATGTGCGTATTGTAATATGCGTTCAGCCTTGTCATAGGCACATATCACACGTGCGCTCATTTGAAAGATTTTGGTGACTGGGCCGCACTAGGATTTCTATATCTCTATCTACCTTGTAAGTTGTCCCCTCCGCATTAAGTAAGAGAGACAGCATTCAATACACGGTACCGCGTCGTCAGTCTGTGTACAGCTCCTCGACACTTTTTGGAGTGCTTGAGCATGTCTTGAAGTAGCCCAGTGAGGCTGTCCCACGCCGAATGCGAGGATTCGAGAACTCACCCAAATGTGGTGGTGACAACCGAAAAGACTCAACCGGTGTCCACAGAACAGCTCCGGCACTGAAACTCTCCCTCTACTTACCACGAAACCCTCGTTTATTCCCCCACAGAGACCTCCTACTCCTCCATCCTATCCTCCACCTCCGCCACTTTCGCTCCTTCCACCACCGGAAACCTCACCAACACCCCACATTCAGTCGTCCAATAGCTCCTCAAGAAACCGATCTTGGAGAAGATGTCCCAGATATGCTGCGTCAGGTGGGAGGGCAAAAAATTATTGTACCTCGCGCCATACCCGCCATCCCGCGGCCAGTTCCACTCACGCCAGCCAGGCATCTCGTACGCCACAGCCTGGAAGCTCGCAACCGTCGTAGCAAGCGCCATGGACACTTCCGCCTCACCTCCAACAGACAGCTGTTGTCGTTCGCGGTCAGTGTAGCCCCAGATCGGCTCGGTGATTGAGTAGGGCAAGAATTGATAGAGCTGGCCCAGGTTGAGTGACGTAAGGGGAATTTGTTGTATCTGTCGCAAGATAAGGGCCCACGAATCTTCGAGTTCTTCCAATATAAGATCCTGGAAGATAAGGGTACGCAACGTAGCCGCATTTCCCTTCAGAATCTGCGTCAGACCATTACCCGAAAACCTCATGCCTCCAAGGCTAAGCTGGGTCAAATGTGTCGGCCAGTCCAGTTGCTGAAAGCCCGAGAAGCCTTGGATGATGCTGGTGTCTTCGGGGTAGCGGTTGCTAATTTCCAAAGATTGGAGGCTTTCGCCGCTCATAACATCTTTGATGACTTCAACGTACCCGAGAGAAAGAGGGTGCGCTTCCCAGAACTTGATGGCGAAGTGGCGAAGATTCTTCGCGTACTTGAGCTAGATAGGGTTCGCGAGTCTGGCTGTGCCGTCTCTGCTGTCGGACGCTGGATAGTGGCGGAACGGGATATGGGCGCCATGCAGGTGTCTCTTTCAGAAATGGAAGGATGATTGAAAGAAGGTCTACAGGGCGGATCATAGTTCTGGTTTGCAATCTGATCTTTTCCAATAAAGACGCAACCGCGTTGTTATTACTGTAGCGAATACACAAGTACAGTAATTCTGCCAAAGCTTTCCCACCCATGGAAGGATTCTGTAGACCTTGTGATGGGTCTATTATTGGTTTTGATTGCAGGTCGAAGTTGGCAAGAATATCCACTTGGAGGTTCCCAAGCACTCTCAGAGGCGTTATGTCGCTTATTTCTCCTCTCTCTGCGACATGGAATAGTGAATTCACGAACGAGACGGCAAATGAGATGTTGTCTCTAAGCACGGGAAGGACTCTAACGAGTCTATTAGCAGACTGGTATACTACTAGACTTTTAGATCTAATAATGTTACCTTTCAAACAAGTAATTTGATAGGTAATCTACCTCGTCCTTGTTCCAGCATACATACCTTGTCAATGCGACACCATCTCTGCTTGAAAGGGTGCGTTTGATTTCGAGGCCGGCTCGTGACAGGGGTATTCAAGTAGAGGTAATGTGAGTCGTCGTATTTTCGCAATCACCCAGGACTTGACTACCTTGTTGAAAGGCATTTCTGAATGAATGTCTATTCCACCTAATATCAAAAGGTGTTGGATGATGGTGTATGTTGGTGAGAGATGCGATATTCGAGATAGAAGCTGATCCCAACTACATTCAGTTAGTCCCAAGATTTTCCCACTAAGATGGCCGACACTTACACTACTCTCACAGAATCAAAAGCAAGAACTTTTGGTAACCCCGCAACAAGTGCCATTATGTCTTGAGGAATTAGACCTATGACTGCGGATACGCATTGGGTGAGAAGAGGGGGAGAGCGGACTAGCTCATTAGCAACACATGTCTGAATTATCTTAGATATCGCTGCGTTAGGGAATGGTGGAGGGACAAGGCCAAGATTTCTGCGTCTCAGTGCAGGGTCCGCTCGCATCTGTATAGCTAACTCAGTTATCTCGACATTTTTCCCGGTGACAAATATGGCAAGCTGACGCACATCGAGCGCTAACTGGCGGTTCTCTTTGTCTGCCGGTAGAGTCTGGTCTAGCGGCGTCTCGATATCTCTCTTGAACTGAAAGCCGGCTTTGAAAGGTCGAAGAAGGAAGGCCATCAGCTTTTGTCGTGGCACTATCACAACAACCTCATCTATTCGTCAGTGCAGTGTTCGGGATTTTTGATAGTTTGAACTCACCGTGTCCCGATACCAGTTTTTCATCAGCATCGACGTCAGTGGCAATATTCTTGCCATCTAGCGTTACAACGCGCTTCAGCTTCATTGAAGTTTGGTCTGTGTTTTGGATCGTATGGAACCTACCGGGCGGGCAGTGAACTCCGCGGCCTTGGCGAGAATGAGCGTATTCCCACTCATAATACTTTGCATACACGGGTTCGCCAGTGATTATTCGTTCTATGCTCGAGAGATAAATTTGGAATCTAGTCCGCTTGCAAACTTCCTCGGAAACTCGTACTTTGAACAGATCCATATGCTTAAGGTTGCCTAGGCTAAGGCTAGCGCCTGTGTATTCATGGTCAAGAAGATAAACAAGACTTTCAAACCCGGCCATCCCTCTGGTAACCTGTTCTTGCCAGAGGGCGAAGGTTTTTCGAAGCTCTTTGGAGTCGCCTTCGATTTGTGCAGCCGAAGGATTAGGTCCGACTGGGATATCATGCACCAAATTATAGGTCAATACCCAACGATATCCATATCGAACCTGCAGAACCTCGTGGGAAACGTCGGAGTACCAGGCAATCTAGGAAGAGGCGTGCTTGGACGAAGAGAATGTTTCGGAATGACCTTTATGTGTGACTTCAACATCACCGCCCTCGTGCTGGGAGGGTAAGACAATCACAAGGGTCCCGAACATGCCCGGCACCTTCTCGGTGTCCTTTTGTTTCCTGAACATTGCGCCTTCTTCGTAAAGAAACATCTTGTATAGTTCCGCATAATTGAGTTCCCGGCCTCCAGTCTCCCCAAGCTTGTCAAAAACCTTTGGGAGAACCACATCATCCGTGAAGAAGCTCCATCTGGGGTTGATGATTTCGAAGTCGTGGGCGTTGATCTCCCATGTGTTTCTAGCGGAGGTGTCCACAATGGTCCTAGTCCCCTGCCCAAACGGCGCTTGGTGGCTGATATTGATGAGACACTGGACGTGATCTCTAGAAAGAGGAAAATCGATGAGCTTGTGCCCTTTGAGCTCGTTCCGTGGGAATGATATTTGTGGATTGGGAATGCTTGTAAATTCTGCCGATGCGGCAATTGAGCCTACGGACTCTATCTAGCTCATGAGATTCTCGATGTCAGCCTTGAGACCTATCGCGAATGCATTTATCTCGCTGAACTCATCGGATTCGTCTTCTTCCTCATTCTCTTCCTCTGACTCTACCTCTTCTAACTCATCCTCGTTCTTCTCCGAATTGGAGCCGGGATCGGTTGAGGGAGGGATAATCATCGGTGCTGGTGGCATACTGTTAGGCGAAATATATAACGTAGGTGGCAAGCGAGCTGCGCACCCTTCAACTTTTTGCAACGCGACACCTTGTAACTACAATGGCTCCACCAAATAAAAATCGTTTGCCGTACAACGAAGGAGACATCTTCCTTGCTATCTCATCTATCGATTCTACACAAAAGCCTAGTGCACGACGCGCTTTATCAATATACAATGTCCCTGAATCCACACTATGTTCCCGACGCGCTGGAACGCGTGCACGACGCAATTGCGAGCCCAACTCGAAGAAACCTACTATGCTTGAAGAGGAGGCGATTGTTAGATATATACTGGACCTGGATGCGCATAGGTTTTCGCCTACGCTAGGCGCTGTACGTGATATGGCAGATTTGCTGCTCGCTGAGCGCGGCGCTGGCAAGGTTGGCCAGAAGTGGCCAAGGAACTTTGTCAACCGGACACCTAGCCTTACAACGCGATTCAATCGACCGTACGACTGGCAAAGGGCCCTATATAAGGATCCTATAACTATTAGGGCCTGGTTTAACCTAGTAGCGCGCACTAAGGCTACGTACGGCATCTTGGACGTGGACACCTGGAACTTTGTTAAAAACACCAAGCAACGCGCACAAGTTAGGGTCTTAATTAATACTAATTCGCGATCGGATACAGAGGCATCAGGATTCTTCTCCTACATTAATTATCCGGTCGCTTGATCAGCTTACAAGGGGCGCTAAGGGGATAAGCCATAAGATAGTGCTACTGCAGGATCGTGTCTGTCGACTTAAGAAGGCAAATAAGGCCGCCACAAGACGCAGACAACGCAAAAAGAAACAGATCCAGGATAAAGGCACCCTGGCAATAACAGAGGGAGAGGAGATTAATGCTCAAAGGGGCATTAGGCAGCAGCTAGAGAGTGAAACGCGTCAAAATAAGGCGCGATCAAGTGCTAGCCGGCAGGCTTCAGCGCGCTGTAAGCTTTGCAGACAGCCTGGGCATAACTCACGAACGTGTGAGAAACGTACTGTAGATACTGCCCAAGCTTAGACAGCTACCCTACTACTAGTATTTTCAAGCGTTGTTAAGATATATAGCTATAAAGGCAGAAGATGTTGGTGGGGTGCGCAGCTCGCTTGCCACCTACGTTATCAACTACCTCCACTGCAAGTGTAAAGTAAGAAGAGCGACGAAAATGATGTGTACGATAGAATTGCTGGTTAAATACGCTCGAAACGATTGAAAAGCGCTTGACGAGTGCTATCAACGAGGAAACACAGGGTCGCATGAAAAGGAGTGATGTAGAAAATGCGGGATCTGTGATGGACTATGAATAAGGACTAGTGATAAGGCTAGGTCTATAGGCGTTAGTCTATCGTCTCGCTTGAAATGACACGTAGCACGCATGACACGAAACCATCACGCTGTCACGAGGCCGCTTTCTTGGGAAATACGACATCCATTCGCAGCCTTGTTATATCACTTGTTGAAGTATCCTCTTTCTATTTCAGTACCTATAATCGTGGTGAAATAGTAGCTGGCAGGCTCCGTTGAGCATGACGTTGCAGTCTGTTTTGCATCCGTCTGAGGTAGCCCCAAGAGCTATTATGCGTGTCAAAACTGTGGTTTTCAAGGTCATTATAAAGCACCAGGGGGCCTCAAGCGGTATCAGAGAAGCGTACATAATCCCAGAGTGGGTATCTGTATGAGCCATCGGAAGTCTAAAACATAATCACAGAGTCGTAGATTGCTACTTTTTGTTCCTGGGACGCTGGCAGGAGTGACTGCTATCAATAACAACACGGACTCAAGTCCAAGGAGGCAAACCCATCGAAGTAACAACTCGAGCATCACGAAATACTCTAATGATGCCTCCGCCAGACAGATTACAAAAGTCTGAACAGTACTACTTCTTTCAGGGAACAAGAATGGCATACTTTCAGGGAAAACGACCGCCTGTTCTTGGACCGCCATATCGAGCTCGCTTTCTCCGACGATGCACAGAAACTTTTATATCCTCAGTAGCCCAAGGACCCGCCAGTTCATGCCAGAACCCCCGCTTCTGCGGAATATGAGACTTGCCAATAGGGAAGAGGTCGAGCTTTCCCTTGGTTCCATTGCGGACATATCTTAGAGATTCTCCTCTATTATGAGAAGCGCGCTTCTTCTCGACGATCTTCGGATCGTCTAGCATGACAAACAAAAGCGCAAGTCGACTAACTTCGGTATGAACGGCGTGGTTTTTCCAGAACTCTGTGAGATATGTTAGTCGATGCTTTCTTTTATGGCTCTAGAGCAACTCCTCGACTAGATCAGAAGACTTACCTTTGCATGATGAGCAATATAGACACCAATTTGTATATTGGTGAACACCTCCAATGCCATCTACAGAAAAGGATGGATCTGAGTAAAGCCGTGGCATGTCGCAGCCGCAGCAATTTGGTGCGAAAGTCCACACGCAGGACAAGGCGCGTTTATGGCGACAAAATCCAGCTCCCAAATTGCGCTTCCACTCACGGAAATCAAACTGTGGCCGATATTTATGTTTGACACAATAGCGGTCCCCGTCGTCGCCATACTTTCGAAACATCACCTTCTTCGCATTCTCATCGAATGCGATAGCTTCAGGAGAGCCATCTTTAATTCTAAAGGCTAGCAGAAGCAGGTCCCGCGACACGGACTTCAAGGGTTCCACCCACGCAAGTATAGCCTCAGCAGTCGGGACTTTGGACAAGTCGGCTTTGGCCATATAAAACTGACGCGAGTAGAGAACAAGTGCGTCTACTCTGAGGACTTTAACGTCTTCCTTGCGGAGACGTAGTGTACGGCGGACATGATGAATCCAACGGCCGAACTCGTCATCCGAGGGAAGGGGAGTGTCGCAGGCCATTTGAAGCTGTGAGTTCATCTCTTCATTTGAAGCCCTAGAGCCTAATGCCACCATGAGAAGCCTCTCGAGAGTGATTCTGTCATCTATGTCGCAGAGCTCCTTGATGTGCGGGATCCTCTTTGGCCTCTTTGTTTTGATCTCACCGCCCAGCAACACAAATAGTAAAGCAAGCCTGTTCAGTTCGAATAGAACAGAATCATCTCCGTCCTCGTCCGCACTATTCTCTTCGGTCGAAACTGGGGAGGGTTTTGGTGAATTTGGTACAATGGAATTAGGAGAAGACAGCATCGAAGTCGGGTTAAGATTGTGGGCTTGTTCCGATGGTTGGATAGCTGCGGTAGGGACTGAAAGGTCTGCTTGAGGTTGAGGTTGAATTCCATCGTCCGCCACGGCTGCGAAAGCTGAAACGCCATCAGATACCGCCTCAACTTCGTCTGCCTCTTTAAACTTCTCCGTAATCTCAATAATCTCCCCAGTCTTCAAATCTTGGACCTTCACCCTCGTGCTCTGATACAGTGCGACATCCCAAACCACCTTTTCATCCACAAAAAACGAGCCGAGCCACTCCCCATCAATCCCATACATGAATTTAGCGGGCATAGGAATCGTTGGAGTCGTTCCCACCTCGAATTGGCCCAAGCCCGGAATCGCATCTCCAACTATCTTTTCAGGCTGTCCAGGGAGCCCAGCCAGCTCTTTTCGCAGCCGCCAAACTCCCCACCTTTTCATCCAATCCCGAATGTCCTTCAGAATCTCCAGCTGGTGCTCATACTTCGCGAACATGCCCCCGATATCCAGGCGCTGAGACATGACGCACGCTGCGTACTGCCTAAGCTGAGACCCTGGCGCTGTCTCCTTATACGCGTTTATCATAGCCATCGTGTCTATGACAGCCGGTGCTTTATTCAACAAGTTGTGCGTAATCGACACTTCGTTCCGCCGGAACGCGATGTCCCATTGCCTAATAGCTATGTTTTGTACTTTGGGCGCACCGAGGATGTGCGCTATGCCGTGGACCCGCGGGAGTTCGTTGTTCACTACATGTTCATGAAGTAACATATTCTCGTCCGTACCATAGAGAGAAAGTAGGAATCTATGCACCGCCTTGGCCTCAAAGTCCGGCATCGTGATGGTGAAGCGTGGCTTCCGTTCCCTCTTCGCCCAGTCTATTGTATAAAAGTCCGACGGTTTGAGGTTGCGCAGTGCGTGCGCAAAGAATGGAAGGTTGAGGAGTAGGGGTAGGTTGACGTCGTAGCGGGTGACGGAGGAGTCGACAAGGAGGGTTATGGCTACGCCTGGCCTGTTGTACGTTATTATTTCATGTTCTTATGATTGAGGGGGAAGAGGATTTGCGGCGCATGAAAAAGGTGGTACTGTAATTCCTAGAGTAAGCCACCGTAAGTGTGTACACCTGTCTGCCACTGTTTGGAGCGCTTCAAAGCGATTTCAGAAACCTGAACGAGATAGAAGCTCTTCACCCTGGGCTCCATCGAAACTCATTGAAGCACTTCAGACAGCGGCAGACAGGTGTACACACAACCGCACGAGACATAGTGGTTGATGGGCGCATCATCTTCTTCATGTCCAGCGTGTTGGATTAGTATTACTTACGTGTTTTTTGAACCCTCTGGCTGCGCTAAAACCATGGGAAAGTGTACGCTCTCATGGTTGGTTTTGCAAGAGACACAAGCGACCTTGCCACAGCAAGGTAGAAACCTGAACTCATGACTTGTGTTTTTGCAGATATGGCAACGATATTGTGGTCCTCCTGGAGGTGGGGCGACGGCGAGCAGTTGCCCTGGTACGGAGCCTTCGCGGCCTGCTTGCATAGTGATAGTGGTTACGACTGTGGTGGTGTGTCGGTGGTGGGTGTTGAGGTTGGTGTGGTAGGGGGGTGTGATGTTGTCGTAGAAAACGCGCAGTCGTCATCAAGTAGGCAGGTTTTCCTGTGTGCTTGGCACCATCGATGGTGAATGTAGCTGCGAACTCTTAGCGCGGAGGATACACTTGTTTGCAAATGTTTGAATTGGCCTGAGGTGGAAACTAACTCATCAAGGGCTTTGAAGCGTCCCGCCTTCAATTCACGGGCCCAGTCTTTTCCATTTCATCCTAGTGTCCAACGCGTCTGGATACTCTCTCTTTTAACTCGCAGGCTCGATAGCTTTGCTTCTCAACTTGTATCTGGAAACCCCGTTGAGGCGCTGCAGACGGTGTTAGACACTACTGTAAACTTCATTCTTCAGTTCACAAGCTCAATACCATTACATCTCAACCCGAATTTGGAAAGCAGGATGAGGAACTTCAGACGGTGCCAGACGTGTCCACAGACGGTGTTAGACAGTACAATGAACTCCTCCTTCGATTCAAGTGCTCGATGCCTTTACATATCAACCCGTTAGAACTCGTCCTGAGGGGCCTCGGACGGTGTCAGCCGTGCCCACGGATATCCTCGTTCGATTCACGGTCTCGTCACCGTTACATCTTGTCCGTGGGTTTGGGGGACAACCAAGGCACCTCAGACGATGTCAGACGTGTCTACAGACGTGCTCTTTCGATTCACAGGCTCGCCACCTTTGCATCTCATCCTGATTCTTGAAAATAAGCTGTAGCACCACAGACGGTGTCACCGACGCGTCCATAGTCCATACTGCCCCTTCTCTTTCACAAGCTCGACACCTTTACATCTCGTCTTACTCCTTAGAGCCGAGTTGGGGCACCTTAGACAATGTTAGCAGTGTGTACATAGTTCCTCTCTCAATCCACAGGCTTGATCCCTTTACGTCTCATCCTACTCTTCAAAACCGAGCTGGAGCACCACAGACAATGTCAAAAGTGTACACACGGCCCCACTTCCATTTCACAGGCTCGATACCTTGACATCTTGTCCTGATTTGAAAAGGCATGCTGAGGCACCACAGACGGCGGCAAAAGTGTGCAAACAGCCCTGCTTCCAATTCACTGTCTCCATACCTTTACATCTCATCCCGATGGCGGAAGACAAATTGAGGCACCACAGACGGTGGCAGAAGTGTGTACACGGCCCCGCTTCCAATTCACGGACTAGATACCTTTGCATTACCTTCTGGTAGCTGTAGACGAGCTGGGGTACCGCAGACGGTGTCACAAGCAGTGAAATTCACATTACCATGGTTGATGCACTTGATTTGCGTTGGAGATGAGAGCTGTGATTGAAGGAAACTGCTACCTACTCATACATACCGGAGGAGCCTCGCACCGTGGTGCAAGCTGTCAAACCGCAAGCCACTCGACGCCCCAAATCAGACCACGTTGACGACACCGCTGCACGATCAGTACCACATGAACGACCCCCCACACAGCCTCATTCCCCAGACACCCACCCCATTCACCCCGGCCGGTTCTGGCATCCACCGCTGGCAGCGGCTTCCGTGCGGCTTCCAGTGCATGTTGAGGTGCATCATGTCCCTAGTTCTCTCCAAAAAAAGCCCTCTCTCTGTCCGCCGCAGACTGCGCCCTCCGCGTCTCCATGTTCTCGTACTTCGAACTCCGTGAAGTTGTTCTGGTTGTTGTGGTGGACCATGATGTCCAAGGGGTGGAGGTTCTGTTGTTTGAAGATGTAGTTGTCCCGGCTGCGGACCCATGCGTTAGTGTCTTCAATGATCGGAAAGCCCGGTTCGGCGGCGATGTTGGCCTCAGTGTCGACGCGCTGGGCATACAGGCAGGCCATAAACTTCCGCAACTTGCAACCAGGCCAGGTGCTCTTGTAGACAAGGTTCATGATGTTAAGGTTAATGCGGGTGTTGTGTGCGCGTGTCCAGACGTAGAGGCGGCGGATAATCTGGTTCTGTAGGGCCGGGAAGCCCAGTTTGTCCGCCAGAAGCCAGACTTTGGCGAGAAGTAGGAACGGGACGTCTGGCGTGTCCTTAGTCTTCTCGAACGGGTCGTGCTTATACAGCCACGCCACAATGACCCTTAGGGTCTGCCATTCTTCGTTCGGAAGCCTCAGTGTAAACCGCCCTTCGCCTAGAACTTGCAGCTTGTTGGGGTCGTTGTCGGGGGCCGCGAACCAGACCCTGAGGGCCTTTGTGATGTAGAAGTGTAGTTCAGGCGACCGGTGTGTAAACTGCTTAAGGTGGACGTGGTAGGTCTTGCCCTGCGCCTCGAAGACGATGACGCTGAATCTATCTCAGTTAGCGTCGCGATTGTGTGACTTGTACCAACAATAGAAGCCCGACTGGTGCCTCAAATGTACGTAGAAGAGGTGATTGACTTACTGTTTCTGCTCGATGTGGTTCGGTGTCCAGCCGGTCCGTGTGTCCGCGTCGTGGCAAACAACGCACTGGACGGAGAGGTGCTGTGGGTAGCCTAGAGGTGGAAGCTCTGTCAGTCAAAAGCTCATCAGTAGCAGTAACGTGAGGGTTGTCTTACATTTCTTGCAGAGGCCGTGGCCACAACATGCGAACCAGAAGCCGCTGTGGTTCAAAACACCACACTTCTCACACATCGTGACGTTCTCCGGAATCGGAGGGCTGAGGGGGACGTGGAGGGTCATAACTGCGGACGAGAAGGTCAGGTTTATCTACGCTTTTGTCAAGAAAAGAGCGGACGTGGTGGTGATGTGGTGAGAGCGACGAAGGACGGAGGAGTGAGGGCGGGGCCGTTTTGTAGGCCACGAAGGCTGCCAAGACGGCCCACGTAATTGAGCGTCTTATGACCACTACACCTTCACCACGAGCAGTACGGGTATCTCGTGCAGTTATTGTGTCCCGTGGCACTGTTGATAGCCAGTTATGTACCCCCAGGACGGATCTAAGAGAATTAAGAGAGCGACAGCAGAGGACCTGATATTGCGGACGAGATCAAATTTTTGAAATGTGGCAATATATGCACCTACAGTAACTTACCTACCTAGCAGCCGCCAAGGGAGCTTCGCGTGCCTGTCACCTATGCCACTGAGACAGAGACTACGGGCCAGTTTACGGGTTGGAACTAACACAACGCAATAGTACCCACACGCAGCTCTCAGAGATCCTTCATTGCCCGTAGAAACTTGGAGCCCGATGTCAAAGACTCAACCCCCCAGATCACGCTTTGATAAACACCCTACCTACCTAGCATCCGCGAAGGGAGCTTCGCGTGTTTGTCACCTATGCCACTCAGATAGAGACCATGGGTCAATTTAGAAGCTGGAACTAACACAGCAGAAAATTACCCGCATGTGAGGTTCCTCATGGCCCGTAGAAACTCGCTGCTCAATGTCAAGGACTCGACCCACTAGATCACGCCTTTAGAAAACCTACCAGCACGCCAACGTGACGAGTCTTCCAGCAGGTTGTGGAAGACCGCGACGTGATGTCAAGAGCTAGAGTCTCGAGATCAAACCCTGTGTTTGCGCACACACTAGGAGAGCTGCAACAACTATCAGCGCCAGCAGTAGCTAGTGCACCGTGGTGAGCTTCAGGGCCTACGGATTTTAAAAGCGGTATGACACACCAGATCAGGCTCTACAACAACATGTTGAACAACTCGACGGCCATGTGGTGGTCTCGAAACAGTTAACAGCATGGTCACGAGCAAGAAGCGCGTAAGTTAATTCACGGTCCGCAGCGTCAGACACAGAGTTTTAGGTCTGAGAACACGTTGGGACTACCTTGAAAGGACACCCAGGAGCCGTTGTCAGGAGGGCTGCGCTTACTGACCACTATGAACAACTGCAACAGGGACGTAGGTAATTTGAAGCTGGTAGACTCAACAAGTCAAAGTCCACTTGTTTCAGGACCACGGGGGCGCATTAAAAGGACTATATGAGCGACTGCTAGGAAGGCTTCAACTAGTCAATGCAGTGGCCATCAGTGATGGAATTCAATGCAAATTCGATGGTTGTTGTAGATGAGTTGCTGATGGTTGAATGCTGATGTTGCTCTCTCCAACTTCGGACCGGAAGATCCTTTCATCCGAACCTGGAAAAGCTTCAAAATATTTCTCCGCCAGATCCACCTCCACGAGAAACCCACCAATACTCCCACAGCCAAAGATGTTCTCCGTACCGGGCTGGAACGTGTCCGCTCAACTCAAAACACAAGCTGATGGTCACAACGCACCCCATACACAAAACACCAACGCTCCTGCGAATGCAGCAGACCCCGCCCCGCCGTCGAAGAAGAGGAAGCGCACGAACCGGAAAGACAAGCAGACCGAGGCCAATGGCATCGCACTGGGACCTCCTGTAAACGGCAATAATATAGTGGACATGTGGGAGAAGCATATCGAGGGGAAGAAACCAGACCAGGACAAGCCCGTAGAAAAAACGGAGCGAATGAAAGAGCGCGAGAAGAAAAGAAAGCGAAAGCTGAAGGACGAGAAAAAGGCGAAGACCAATACACCTGCTCCTGCACCAACCAAAGACACTACCTCGGACGACAAAGTTTCTAAAACATCCTCAAAAAAACAGAAGCGCGACAAATCCTCCAACCCATCTACCAAAGATATGAACACTCCCGCTACAACTACACCAACAATACCACCCCCAACATCCCTCCCCCCAGCTGTCAAACTAACCCCTCTCCAACAATCCATGCGCGCCAAACTCGCCTCAGCCCGCTTCCGCCACCTCAACCAAACCCTCTACACCACCTCCTCCACCTCCTCCCTCACCCTCTTCAAAGACAACCCCGAGATGTTCTCCGAATACCACACCGGCTTCGCGCAGCAAGTCGCCGTCTGGCCCGAAACCCCCGTCGACGGCTACGTCACCTCCATTCTCTCCCGCGGCAAACTCATCGAAAAGCGCGACCCCTGGGCGCAGAAAAACAAAGGCCAAAAGAATCAGAAATCCAAACCCCAGCCCACAAACGCATCTGCGGACGAGAAGCCGCTGAAACCCCTCCCCCGCAACCTCCGCGGCGTCTCCACCATCGCGGATCTGGGCTGCGGCGTCGCCTCCCTCTCGCTCGCCTTGCAACCCCATCTCAAGCCTCTCAGACTCGCCATCCACTCCTTCGACCTCTCCAAACCCGCGGGTCCCGCACACGACCTCGTTACAGTGGCTGATGTAGCGAATCTCCCGCTAAAGGACGCCACCGTGGACGTTGCGATTTTCTGCCTCGCGCTCATGGGCACCAACTGGCTCGATTTCCTCGACGAAGCTTACCGCATCCTGCGCTGGCGGGGTGAGCTATGGGTCGCCGAAATCAAATCGCGGTTCGGGCGGGTGAATCGCGCGGGAAAGGTGCTCGCACACAGCGTCGGTTCACAGCAGAAAAAGCCAATCCCGTTCTCGAAGAAGCCGAAGCCGCCGACGAAAGCGCAGAATCGGCAGCTGGCGGAAGCGGAAGAAAAAGTGAATGACCAGCTGCTGAGCGTGGAGGTGGATGGCGTGGAGGTGGATGCGCAGAAGCAGGAGACGGATGTGTCGGCGTTTGTGGAGGTGCTTAGGAAACGCGGGTTTGTGTTGGATGGGGAGGAGAAGGAGGCGGTGGAGTTGGGGAATCGGATGTTTGTGAAGATGCGGTTTGTCAAGGGGACGCCACCGGTGAGGGGAAAGAATGTTGTGAAAGAAGAGGAGGTGGCGCAGATGGGCGGTAAGAAGAAGATGCGGTATCTGGAGGATCTGGATAAGGAGGAAGACGGGGGAGATGAGGGAGGGGTGTTGAAGCCCTGTGTTTATAAGCTGAGATAGGCGAAAAGGAGGTGAGCGGGTCTGCAGGACACGAGCAAGTTTGACGTCCACAAGTACTTGTAGAACAAATTACCATTTGATTGATGGGGTTTGCTACTGATACATTTTCGTGTTTTTGAAAGCCTCTTTGTGCATCGTGATCGTCATCATCCATCATAACCCCAAACCCGGCCTGTAATGCTGTCGAATCCTATTCCTGAGCCCTAAACTCCATCCCATCCGTTCCATGATGCCATCTGCTAACAATACCCCTACCCAGTCGTCGGTCCAAACTCCAGCACCATATCAAACCACCCTCCACCGCCATAAGTCGCCTTGGACTCTCCCCGATTCTCAAATCCAATGCGCTCGTAGAACGGCACTAGTTTTTCATGCGCCAACCTTTCCAGAATCAGCTCAGCTGAGGACGAGAGGTGGACAACGTGGAATATAATAGGGTGGAAGAGTTTGAAGAGGGCAGAGAGTATACTCACAACGCAACCCTGTCCGCCATCCCCGCACTCTGCATCCGCTGCACAAACGCCAACACAATCGTGCGTCCGAGGCCGAGGTTCTGATACTCGGGCAACACGGCGACCGAGTGCAGACAAATTGTGCGGCCGTGCTCGTTGTGGCCAAGCGGCGGCATAGCCATGTCGTCATCGGTGACGGTGAGATTCGCCGATTTAGTGGCGATGCAGTGGGCTAGCAGGACAGATTTGCGGTCCGGGTAGCTGGAGTCGGCCGGGTGGGAGAAGGGTTCTTTGCTGAGGGTCGAAAGGGTGGGCGAGGTTGATGTTGAGGTTGCGGATGTGACTTGATGGTCTAGTTAGGGATGAGGGGGTTTTGGTGGGGGCGGGACGTACAGAGGCCTAGACAGAGCTCGCCGCAGGCTTTGAGGCGGTAGATGAACTGGGGTCTATTAGATTTGTAGACTTGGGTATTTGGATGGAATGACGAAATGGGAAATTGGGCACGTGAGGGGGGTGAGGGGTTTTTGTGGTGGCAGTGGGGATAACTGGGATGAGGAACAGTCGTACAGTGTTATTCAAATCGTGCTACAGGGTTTGGGATGATTGGGAGAGGGTTGGTTTCAGTTTGTGATTTTGAGGACGGGTTGACAAGATTGTGGGACGGAAGATAGATGCCAAGACGATGGAACGAAGGACTGTTGAAACAAGAGAGGGATAGCAAAGGTGTTGATCATTTCTTGATGATGTCTCGAAGGCAATTGGAGCATGATGGAAGTATGGTGAAGTGATCACAGTGTGAGGTGAGGTGTGAGCAAAGTGGACGAAGTGACATGATGTGTTATTGTTGTAAGTATGAACAGCCTACCTTCTCCCGGCTACAGGCTTCGTGAGGAGGGAATGTCGCGTTCTCCAGATGGATACAGCTCTCGAGATCGCTGCTGGTCAGTGCCTGACAGTATGGATGCAGCTCGTTTATGCCGCCCTCGTCGCGGTACAACTGGAGCTGGGAGTCCGAATCTGGCGACGCAAAGGTTTGTGCCGGGGGCGCGCCATTCTCTGGCTCCTTGGTCAAAGGGGGCATGCCGTCGAGGGTGGCCCTCTCGGACTCGAGGTCGCGCGGCATGATTGCAGTGGTGCGTTGGTGTGTTGAGTAACGGTGGTGGTGAGTGGTGAGAGGCGCGGATGGAATGACGCTGCGTCCGAAATACAACGACGTCGATGGTTCGCCAGGCACGAGACCGCCAGGCACGAGACCGCCTGCCGCTTCGTCGATGGCGGCCTCCCGACGTCTCCCAGTCCATCCCGCTCATTCACGCTTCATTCACTCTGCATCCAGGGGCAATGGGCCCGAATACCTTATTTTGCCTGCCACCTCATCTTGACCAGACGGGAACGTGCCGCGGGATCGACTCCCCGGTCGATGGCTGCCGATTGCTCGCCAGCTGGCAATGCCCGAATCGCAGCACGAAGCTTGCAGCGCCTCCTGGTGTTGACGAGCAAACACGACACAGCATCCAAGAGCCAGCGTCTGCCTCAGATCCCGAACCTTGCGACGGCAGGCGGCCTTGCCGTGCGCCCTCCACGCTGCCCCTCGCGCTGATGTCGCCGGCGCAGGATGATGCGCAACGCCCATGGCCTGCATCGCCCGCGACGACTGACAGTTGGGCTTGCGTCCGGACTGCAGCCAGTGCAGCACGCGGCATGGGCCTTGGCTGGAAGCAGCCTGCCAGCACTCTCCGCTGCTGCTGTGCGCTCCGCAGCCCCGGCCGCCCTCAAACTGCAGCGGCCAGCATGGGCAGGGCGCAGGGCGCATGGGGGCATGGGGCGCGGCGGGGATGCTGGCGCTGAGAGGGTGGTTGAGGCCCAGCACCTTCACCACCAGCGGGCTCTTGGAGATATGTCTGCATGCACACACAGAGCGAGACGGCGGCCATGTAGATAGCCCGCCAGGCACGGCTCCAGACACATGCTCTCAGCCGCCCGCCGCGCCCGCTGCGCCCGCCGCTGCAGAGGCGCCTGCTGCACCCACACCGCCGTGAATCCATCCCACCTCATCTGGGCCACCCGCGGCGGCCACTGCGAGCCCAACCCACCACCATACAGCTATAATACCTCTGCTACGCCCGCCCCCAGGCCTCCGCACCGCCAGTGTTCCGCGCGAGATGAGCGCGGCGTGATTATTAACCGCTGCAACCCGGCCTGCCATCGCCTTCCATCGCCTTCCAACGGAGCTTCGAGGCACCCGCTATACCAAGTGCCCGTACGCTTCACCGTCGACCCCATCCGGCCGGCCTGGCACACGCCCATCCCGGAAACCAGCAACCCATCCTCTCGCCATCGCCAGTGTACAACCCACCGGCACCGATTCAGCGCCGCCTGCATACCAGCCCCAACACCGCGACCATGTGAGCCTGCCGCCCCGCCGTTCCTGTGCGCCGCCTTGAAACCGCAGAGCTTCTGCTAACCCTCCCAGGCCCCGCGTCACCATATCCATCAACGCCCCCGACGAGCAGTCGGACCAGGAGCTGCTTACCCTCGACCTGCCGCCCGGACTCACCGTCCAAGACCTCAAGGTCTTCGTTCAGGGCGAGACCAACTTTTCCCCGCAATCGCAGCAGTTGTACCTGAACGGCCGACCTCTGAACAACGATGCCCAGACACTCGAGGCTGCCGGCATCAACGATGGCGAGATGCTGGCGATGCTCATCCGGCGGCCCGGGCAGCCTGCGCAAGGAGGACGGCCCGCCGCTCGCCCCCAAGGTGGTGCACGGCGGCGGGGAGAGGTGAACTCGGACGAGCTAGAAACTGTGCGACTGCGCTTTGCCGGCGACCCCGCAGCCATTGCAAACCTCCACGAGCAGCAGCCAGAGCTGGCCAGTGCCGTCAACGACCCCACGCGCTGGAGGGAGCTATACACCGCCATGAGACAGCAGGAAGAAGCGCGTGAGCGCGAGCGCCAAAACCAGATCGCCCTACTCAACGAAGACCCCTTCAACATCGAGGCGCAGCGGAAGATCGAGGAGATGATCCGGCAGGATCGGGTCGTGGAGAACCTGCAGCATGCGTATGAGAACAACCCTGAGGGTAAGCACGACGACACCTACGCCATGACTACAGCTAACAGAGCGCAGTCTTTGCGAGAGTCACTATGCTCTACATCAACGCAGAGGTGAACGGCCACCCAGTCAAGGCTTTCGTCGACTCTGGTGCTCAGGCTACGATCATGTCTCCCGACTGCGCCAAGGCTTGTGGCATCATGCGACTGATCGATGTCCGTTACGAAGGTGTAGCCAAGGGCGTCGGAACAGCCAAGATTCTTGGACGTGTACATCACGCCGAGATCAAGATTGGAGACGCGATAATGCCATGCGCGTTCACTGTCATGGAGGGCAAGGACGTTGATCTTCTATTTGGCCTCGATATGCTCAAGCGATACAAGGCCAAAATCGACCTTGAGAAGAACGCTCTCTGCTTCCAGGGCATCGAAGTGCCGTTCCTACCAGAGTCCGAGATCCCTAAGAGCTTCGAAGAGGCTGTGATGAATGAGCCCACGGTGTCTGGTCCGAACGGAACCGAAATCGGTGCCAAATCAGGCGCCGTCAGGCCTGCAGGGGCGACGGCTGCAGGCAGCTCGGCTGTGGCGTCCGGCTCGGGAGCAAACTTCCAAGGCGCAGGTCAGCCAGTAGGCTCCGCACCCGCTCAATCACTTCCACGAGCCGCACTCCAGCAACAATCTTCTCCTACATGGCCTCAGGAAGCTATCGATCAGCTACAGGGCTTAGGGTTCTCAAAGGGCGAAGCTATTCAAGCCCTCAACCAGACGCAGGGGAACGTAGAATTTGCAGCTGGTCTCCTCTTCGCCAAGATGAATGACTGAGAAAAACTTCTATCCTTGATCTACATTGCATGTCTGAACGAACCAGCATGTGCACGACCACGAATAACATCAGCATCATCGGCTTTCCTTCCGGGCTTTCTGGCGTCCGGTGCTCGATTTCATTTCTAATCTCCTCTTGGAATGTTCTACTCTACGGGAAGAATTTGGGAGGCATAAAGCATTTAGGCCATGCATTAGGACGTTGGTGGGAATGGCATGGGACGGGCATTTTTTCAGCGTTTGCTTTCTCAGAGATGACTTCATACTTCTTCCGTGCATTAGGACCATTACGGTGAAGGAGCAATACAACCATTCGAACATAGGCCCCTCCATTCAGGTGAGGCCCGCCTATCGTTGCGAGTGGAACCCAAGGTCACGTGCGCCCCACTTTATCACGTGAGCTAATATAAACTTTATTGTAACTGCCACCACCATCATGGGCCTTTCGGTTCAGGGACTCGACCTCTTTTCTGTCCCATCTCTCCAACTTCCATCTGTACTGACAGGATCAACCTCGAAGCGCCATCTAGAGAACTGACGTAGGCCTCCTCGCCTGATTGATACATGTTCAGCCACACAACAAGCGACAATGCTTCGTGTAAGGGATCTAAATGGGATGATATCCATACCATCACGTCGTATACCATCATCGGCACGAAGGGTACCAAACAGGGTTCCACTGTAGGCAGCCTGGCATAACGACATTCCGCATAAGCGCTAGCCCCGCAATAGCGTGCTCTTAATCCTTGGATAAGTGTTCGACTCATAATGAGGGGGGCGAACTAGATAGTCGGTGGCGGACGCTGGCACATATAGTCCCGAAACATTATTTTATATCAAGCTCTTTCATATTTATTTTGTTGCGACTGTTAGTATCACTTATTTTCTCCTCTCTTCTCCGACAATCTTTTCTTCTCCGAGACCGGAAAAGTCTTCGGCGATTTTTCATAAACACATAAGTTTAGAAACCTCGACTCCGTAACCTCATCGGTACTATAAAAGTAGGCCTACTTGTCCCCAAAGTCCAACTTCTCACTCACGAATTACCTAGTCCACAGAAACAACAGCCACGTCACAACCATCCATACCTAAATCTACTCCATCACAAACCATGACCGACCTCACCGGCCGCAAACCCGAGCTCGATCCAACACCTCCTATACCCCGTCCCGCCGAACCCCCAACCACTCCTCCCCCATCTAACCTCCACTACACCCCCCTCCGCATCCCCAAGTCCCCCACCCACCTCCCCTTCCTCGCCGCCGCTCTCCGCACCGCCCGCCTCGCCGCCCTAACCGCCGAGCCCTCCTCCTTCGCCACCACCTACGCCGCCGAAGCCACCCACCCGCTGTCCGTCTGGTCAGGCCGCCTCTCCGCGCCCGAAGCCAACGACTTCGCCGTCATCACGACCCCTGTCCCTATCACCCCGCTAAAAGATGAGGAGGAAGACGCAGTGGTCGACCTCCTGCTGAACAGCGAATGGGCCGGCATGATCGCCCTCCGCGGCTCGACGCCGTACTCCGACTACTTCATCCCCGAAAGCGGCCAGCACGTCGAGCAGTCGGGCGAGACGCGATGGCACCTCAACGCGCTGTACACGGCGCGGGCGCACCGCGGGCGGGGGCTCGCGAAGGTGCTTATGGGCACCGTTGTGGACTACGCGCGGGCGCGGTCCGGGCCGGGGGAGAAGGCGCGGGTACGGCTGTTCTGCACGGAGAAGATGGTGGGGATGTATGCGCGGGCGGGGTTTGCGCGCGTGGGCGGGTGCACACTCGCGGAGGCGTTTGTGGCGAACGGAGATCCGGGGGGCGTGCCGGGGGATGCGGGGGCGACGGAGGCGGGGAGGGGGCGGTGGCATACGCGGTATGGGGTTGTGATGGAGGTGGTGGTGTGAGGGGGTGGGAGGGGAGCGCTATACTGGTATTAGAGGTTTCTGGAGATGTTTCAGCTTTTCTTTTCTTTAGCCTTTCTTGATATAACACTGGAGCCGAAGCGGTTCGAGCATTGGCTGAACTTCATCCTGCTCATGTTCTTTTGTTGCTCGGTTCCTGCGCCATCTCTCTCGTTCTATTCAAGGGCCCTCCCTCCTCCGAACGCGCGACTCCTCCTCTTACCCACCCTTAGTCATAACTTGCATGAAAACTCATAAACCCCCTACTCAACGCGCCCCTACACCCCCCCCTTATTCCAGTTGATATTATCTATCCAATCATTCCCCGTGCCGCAATTCAGTTTCTGGCACAACCGCGCACACACGTTAGCAGCTACGCCTGATGTTCAAGCATTTACTCACCTCAAAAAACTGCACCGCAACCCTCCCTCTAGGTAGATGCTGTACATCCGCTCCTGCACCCCGTTGCTCCAGTACGTGTAGTACCCCGACGACACGCCGATCCAGATGTAGTAGTCGCCGGTGCAGTCGCGCGTCCAGGGGTAGCCGTGGATGGAGGTGCTGCGGAGCGCTATGTTTGTCGCATTCCTACAGCGGATGAGTTTGGTGGAAGTGGGATGAAGGGAGAGTGGAGGGGGAAGGGGTGCAACGCACGTGATCTCGGCTTCGCCGTCCATCAGCACGCGGACGAGATGGCCGGCATGCTATGGGCTAGAGGGCAGAGCTGCGGCATAGGTGGGGGAGAAGAGGAGGGCGGAGAGCGCCCCTAGCAGTGCTAGGAAGCGCGGGGAGGGAAGCATCGCGACTGAGTTTCCACTGCTTGGTACGAGAGATTGGGAGATTGGGAGATGTTGGTTCTGTGTTGGATGGCTCAGCGGGCTTTATATAGTATATAACTGAGATCCTCGACTTGCTCGGTTGTACATACGATCAAACAGCTCGTCTAGGAGCTGAGATGTGGGGCTGTGGGGACGTGGTCAGCGTTAGAAGAGGTTCCACGATGACATCCGAGGAAGTTGGTAGCGGTGCTCCCAGATTCTCTTCATGGCCATGCTCTCATCGGGACCAATGTGTTGAGAGTCTGTGGGCCGGTTGTCAAATTGTCGTCTAGTGAGTATTCACCATGACTTAGGTTGCAAATTGACGTGAACTCTGTTTGATTTGTGAAGCCGTACGAGCAGACTATATACTACATAGGGAGCGTAGGCATAAGTACTAATTAGAGGCAGCAGTAGGCAGCGGTAGGCAGGGTAGGCCACCGTACCCCAACCCCCCTCTGTAGAAGTTGTAATTGGCTAGGCACGTAGGCCGGAAACCCTGAGTCCATGCCCATCATTCACACCTTGCGCGAATTGCCTTGGTGGTCCACGCCTAGTTTGTGGTCAGCAGTGCGGGTTTGTTTGTGTCTGGGTGCTAATGCGGGACCTATGTAATACTGCAAAGCGCCAAGACAGGTGGGACTGTGGTGCTGGCGTCAGATGCCAAGTATTATAGCAAAACAAAATTGACAAAATGAAGAAATCTGGGTCGCTTAAGAAAGCTGTCAAAAAGGGGCCGGAGGAGACTGGCTATAAGATCCAAATCGGTCTAGTACTTCTCTCGTCAAGTTCTCACTACTGGTTGGTCGGACGGACAATCCGTCGAGCGATAGACTGTCTCGAAGCTTTCCCCTGGGTTTTTGATAGGACAGTAGCCCTAATTTTTTGCAAGTGTAAAATAGGTTAATTTCATGGATTGTCAAATGGCCTTTTAATTTTCGTTTTGCTTTCAAATGTGAATTGATGGGATGTGAGATATCCGTGTGTTTGTAGCTTTCTGGGCAGTGTGTCTGTACGCTGCTGCTTGCATTTACGCATGGTAATCGAAGAGATGGATGAATGTTCAGCTCGCGAACCCTAGGTATCAATCCTCGGTAACGTCTAATACAAATAAATCGGAGCTGCAATGCCACGTCATGGATATCCGTACACTTGTTTACCGCTGCATGAGAAGCCTCATAGTACTTTCAGAATTCCGAATGAGAGGGAAGTTCAGCGTTTTGGACAACTAATAAAAGCATGAGGTTACTCCAGACAGCGTCAGCAGGGTATACGCAGATTAAAAGTGTACCCGCTGCGGCCGGTTTCTATTAGTGCTTTGGGGCTCAACAAATAGAGGCAGGAAAGGGTACGGATATCTATGACAAGACGTTGTAGCTTGAAAAATAACATCTAAGGGAAGAAGATGTACTGATGTAAATGAGACCTGCGGAGAAGTCAAAGGAAGGGTTTACTAAGCCCCGTAAGACCGAATAACAAAGAAATAGTGCACTGTTCCCGAAATAGAACGACTGGGCAAGTAAGGCAGCTGAGAACTCTTGATGCTGAGTACAAACTAAACAAAGATGAAAAACGTTGATAGAAAAGAAGCAGACGGCCCACCCAGAGCCACAGTCACGTGGAAGTCACATGACCCTCTCTCAACCGTCTCTCACCCTATACGGAGTAGCGACATCATGAAATACCCGGTACACAATACCAAACCGAAACTACTAAGTACCTTCTTACACATCTACGTAGCTTCACCCGTAACAAGTTCTAAACCTACCCCCCTCACCTACAGCCCCAGCAACCCTCACCAAGGTCACGATAGTAAACACTTAGCTTCACAAACACACCCATCCGCAGATCACTGTGCCGTCAGCAGCTGAATACGAGAAGCGCGGGGGTGGTGGGTGCAGGTGTGTGGCAGCGGGCCGTCGGGCGGGTGGCTGCGGAGAGGCTGGCGCCCGCGAGATCGCGATGCTAGGCACGATTGAACTGCGATGGAGTTGCAATGCGCAAGACAGACGACATAGACGAGGATTTAGAATGATGGAAGCGATAATGATATGCTTGCAGCCATCCCGTCGCACGCGCGACGATCGCGAGAACCGGGAGAGGGAATTGTCGCGTTGCGCAGGATCGGCAGACACGCGCGCGGGTCGTAGGGCTGGTTACTGGCATGAAGGCGTAAACACCTCGAGAGGGATCCAGGATTGAGTGTTTATGAAACGGGAAGGATGAGTTGAGTGGTAACCCGGGCGCGAAGGAATGATAGGATGGGGGCTGATTTGTTTCTTAAGGTTGCGACCGCCGTGGACGTAGGGGGTCGTGTCTTGAAACGGGGTGACGACGACGACAGACGACACACCACAAACACCCCACGGCACGGCGTCCGGGCGCAGAGGGGGGACGACAGCAGCACGCCACTGGTCGCACTAGAGAGTCACGACGCGGAGGTAGTGAGCCGATTTAAGATTCCCAGAGTCAGGACGCAAGGGGTAGTTAATTCACGCGTTGTAGCGGGAAGAGTGGATAGGACTGTGTATATAATCAAAATCAAATTGATAGGACTGTGTATATAATCAAAATCAAATTGATAGGACTGTGTATATAATCAAAATCAAATTGAAGTCTAAAGCATGTATGTTATCATGCTAACCACCAAGCCTGGCATCGCGAACGAACCCCCGTGCAACGCGTCAAAAGAAGCAGATAAAGCAAGTACAGCCATTCGTTCCAAAAACGAGAGTCCGGAGGTATAACAGTTATCATGACATTCGTGAAAGCCCGGGTTCATAAAAATCCAAAATCCCATTTCCCTCTAAATTGACAGATTGCACATCTTTTGCGAATCGCGTGAAAGTAGCATCGACGAACTTGACAGGCTGCGTCACGGATAAGATATGAATCGAATATAAATGCGTGTGTGCCGACTCAGTCCGCACAAGGACAGTGGACTCTCCGGAACCCCTGTTTGAGCGAGCTTTGAGTTTTGTTTTCTCTAGAACACCGTTGCTTGCCCTCCAACACCCGGCCAGGGGGGCCATCAAAAGTCTTCCCAAAGGGGTATGTGTAGAAGTGAAGAAAGGGCGAAATGAGACAAGTAGGGTGCCCAGAAGAAGTAAAAATGCAAGCCAGGGCAGCATCTACCGCCGCACGTGCGGGTGGCGGATGTGATGCGCGTGGCGGTGGGGAGCATGCTCGAGAACATCGCGCTTAGAGGGCGCGTTGTCGGTGCAGAGGTAGAGGTGGATATCGGACGTGATAGCGCATGAGATGGTGTTGACGTCGTCGTTGTAGGCGATGTATGCGCCGGTGCAGCTGGCGGCGTTGGGCGCACAGCTGCGGGTAGGGCAGCTCGCGCTGCCCATATCCAGATACCAGCCGGTGGACTTGAACGGGCACTCTGATGTTCCGCAGTTGACGTTGGACATGTCGCCAAAGACGAGGCCCATGGACGGGTCCTTGGTGTACTCGAGCTGGGAGATGGGGGTGCCGGCGCAAGTGTCGTTGAAGGTCAGCTTGAGGGAAACGCCGCCGACGGAGGGTGTCTTGTAGGCTTCGCTGTAGACGCCACCGGCGTTGATGGTAACCATGGGGCCTTGACCATCGGCAGAAACGGACCAGAGGTTGACGGGCGCGGAGCACTTGTTGTAGACGTAGGCGGCACCACCTGAAGAGGCTGCGACGCCGGATGCGGCGAAGAGCGCGGCGGCTGCGACAGTGAGGAACTGCATGTTGGGTTGTACGTAAAAAGGTGTACGGTTGAAAGTTGGGATATAGAAGCGTGAGACTTGATAGTTGGTATTGGCGTTAGGTTCAAGGATGGAGTGCTGAAGCTAAGAGAGTGAAGCTTGGAGCAAAAAGAGAGTGTATGTCAAGTCCCAGCTTGGAAAGAGTGTAGGGTGCAGAAATGGGGACGGGGGGTGGGAAGATCTTTAAACGGGCGCTCTCGGGCTGACCCAACACGACGGCGGCACACCCTCCAGCAGGCGCCACGCTCAGGAACTGTTCCGAGAGAGGGACGAATCGGCACTACGAGGGCGTGTTGGCACCAGGGGTGGCATCAAGGGAGACGGACTGAGCCAACAGGAGTCGTGAGGTGCCCCGAGGAGCCAATGCGAGTTGACTCGTCCCTGATCCACATCATCGCCGAAGACCGCTCTGGTTCGGCCCCTACAATACCAGAGATCTTGTTAGCTGGCCACATGGCCGGGAGGAAGAATTTTCACCTCTTCCACTCTTCGGCAGATGCTACGCCAGCCCGTCAACGCCAGACCCGTGACGGCAACCTCTCACGCGGGACGCAAAACAATTCCCGCGACACAGAGACTGCAGTGCGCGGCGGACTCTGCCACAGTCGCAGCACCAGAGGCTCGCCATGGCAATGTGCCGCCTGCGAGGCCAGGCCCGCATGTACTCGTCAGCGTGTGGTCTCAGAAATTGGGCTTACGAGTTCCTCTGATTGGCATCGTCTGCATCTCGCGCACCCCAAACCTGCCGGCGGCCTGGCTGTCCGGGCTGGCTGCGGTGTGTGTTGTCACGACTCACTGCTGGCCTGTGGCTGAAGAGAAGCTTGGAACGAGCCCTGGAGGAGTCTGCATGCTGTCAGGCTGGTTCTCCGCGTCGGTCCGTTGGATTCAGGCCGGCGAATAGGGAAGGTCGTGTCGTCGCCGTCGTGCGACAGGCGACAGTTCCGTTCGACGTGCCGAAGCGTCGACGAGTGAGGCCACAAGGCTTCCCGGCGACCCTGTTCCTGCGCCGTGCGGCACGTCTCGGCCATGTGGGAGAGTCCCGTTTGCCGGTGGCCTAGGGCTGCTAGCAGCCAGTGGCAGCGGCCGCGATCCACAAATCACCAGCCGGCGCCGCGAGTGGGAGGCTGGAACTGCTCCTTGCGCTCCAAACGACGCCAGCGAGGGCCAGGGGCAAGGTGCATGGCCCGTCGTACAGTATCCCCCCTGTACGGACTGGACACGACCGTGCGCAAAACAAGGGTTTTTGTATGTAAAATCCCTTGTTCTACGCACGATCGTGTCCAATCCGTACAGGGGGGACACTGTAGCTTGGCACTGGCTCTGCGGCCAACGAGCTGCAGGAACGCTGCCGATTTTGAAACCTTTCTTTTCAGAGTCCTCTGTTCGCGGTGGGGGTGCACGTGGGGCCCAGTGAAAACAGCGCCAACACAGCGAGTCATGCTTGGAGTCGGCCCGTGGGCCCTTCTGCACAGCGTCAGGGTCTAGAGTGTGCAAGTCCTGCAGCTTGCATTGTCCGAGGGGAGCCGTTATGCATTGTGCAAGGCTGTGAAGGCTCTAGAGCACCAGTCACATGCAGCACGTGACCATGATAAAGTCATGCTTGTGTCATGCTGGAACCGAACAGTCACAGCGTCATGATGCACCACACACTTCGACTCCAATTCCCAATTCCGCGAAACGAAGTCCGTAGCCATCGTCTCCTCCTGACCTAGGATACGGTAGTCATCGATTTGCTCCCTATCGGATTTCGAGTTACAAGTCTTTTTCAGGCCTCTAACTACCTGTCACCTGTTGAAAGAGCACCTACTCTGTGGGATACATCGCCAGATCGAGCACGCACAGTGCCTAGTCTAACGTCTACTACAACTTTCATAAAGACACTTTGCTCCTCTCCTCGATCTGTTGGCACTGCCTCCGTCATCTGCGATCACAGACCCTTGCCATTTCCTACAATTACATCGCTCTTCCCAGAAAGCAGTCCCACCTGACTCAACGCCATGAGGCTCTACAACCCCTTCTCAACTCTCCCTTCCTACAACCCCCTGACTCTCCTAAGCGCAGGCGGCTTTACCACTCACCACAACTCCAAGCATGCAGACACCCCGCACCTCTCGGGCGAGGTCGCCGTCATCACAGGCGGCCAATCCGGTATCGGCCGCGAAATTACCGCGCAACTACTACTCCATGGCATCTCCAAAGTATACATCATCGCGCGCAGCGCCGCAAAATACCAAGATGCAATGTCCGAATGGGTGAACAAGAAAGGCCTGAAGCGGAGCGACGTTGAATCAAGAACCGAGTTTATACCTTGCGACCTCAGTAGCGTCAAAGACGTCGCAAGGGCATCGAACGAGCTACTCAGCAAACTCGATCGATTGGATATTCTCCTCAACAATGCTGGTAAGTTTAAAATTATGCTTCTAATGTGAACCGCGGCGGTTGGGGATGTGGACGCGGCTGACGCGTCAGGTACAGCTGTTCCTCCAACCCCGGATTACTCCTTGTCCCCAGATGGAACCGAGACCGTGTTCGCGATCATCCACGTCGGCCACTTTACTCTCACTAACATCCTCCTGCCACTGATTGAGCGGACGGCAGCGACATTCGGCGGTGCGCGGGTTGTTGATACCAACTCGTCGCTTCACATGGCTTGTCAAGAGCTGGATCTGTCGTTACTGACCTCTCCTAAGCCGACGAAATCGCCCGTACTTTTTGATGCTGTTTGGCGCTATGCCCGAGCCAAGCTTGCTGGCATCATGTTCACTCGAGAACTGGCGAAACGACTCCAGAAGAAGGGCGTAACTAATGTATACGTCAATAGCTTCTTCCCGGGAAACATTCCGACTGATGCATTCGATACGTGGAAGCTGTTCTTCGGCAACTTCGTTGGCTCAGCGTTCAAACCAGTATTCAGTATCATGGGTCAGACTGTCGAAGAAGGTGCTGCTACCGCTTTATTCCTTGCCACCAACAGAGACGTCGAATTGAAAGATATCAAGGGCAAGTACTTCGTCCCAATAGCGACAGAAAGCAAGCCCAGCACGCTGGCGGAGAACAAGGATCTTCAGAAGAATCTTTGGTACTGGACCGACCATCAAGTTACTGAAGTGCTTGGGAAGGGATGGCAGGACGTGGGTGAATCAACTGTCAAGCGACCAATAGGGCACGGCTGAGAATCCATGATCAACGGTTTCTCTAGCTTTTCTATCATACAGTCTAGGACACAAGTTTGGGCACGCCGTTTCTCTCATCTCGTCCTAATTTATAATGAGGTGCTGAAGCACCACAAACAGCGGCAAGTAGGCCGGCTGTCAGCGTGTGAAATTTAGCTTCTTATCATTTCAGAGTGCACTGAAACAACTCCAAATCTGGTAAGCAGGTCGTCAGCGCATCGAACGCTGCACGAGGATTGGTTCGCGGAGTATGTTATGCATTCTGTCCTCGTCGGTCCCCAATTTTTTAATCTTCTGATACCCTCTGTTTTCTTAGCCTTTATCTCTTTTATTCCGCACGACCATCAATATCCTTGCTGTTGACGATTACAGATTGGCGAGTTTTCTCTTCTGCAAAAGGAATTAGCATTAGGCCCAAAGCCCTCTTCAAATAATTGTCCCACAACTGAAACTGAAAACTTCAATGCGATAACTTCATCTATATGCTACTCTCTACTACTTCACTAGCAATCCCCAACCACCCCTTTCCCCGCTCTCTCTCCCTCTCCCATCAACCTCAAGAATGCCCAGCAACCGGCTTCGGCACATACAACTCCTCCAAAAACCTCACCTCCTCCTTAGTCAACTCCTTCCCCCTAATCCCACACGTCTCTTCCAACCTCTCCACACTCGCACTTGCCAGCCCCACAATCGGAATCGCCCCCTTCGCCCTCACCCACGCCAACGCCACTTGCGCCATCTTCCACCCCCTTTTCTCCGCCACCTCCTGCACCCTCTTATTAATCGCCACATCCACCTCCGTCACGCCCCCCATCATCTTCGCCATCTCGCTCCTCCCACTCTCCTGCCCCCACGGCTTCGCCAGCAAACCCCCGCTCAGCGCGCCCCACGGGATCAGCCCGATGCCGGTTTCGGCACAGAATTTGTTCATCTCGCGCTCCTCCTCGCGGTAGGCGAGGTTGTAGCGGTTTTGCATGCTGATGAACTTGGTCCAGTTGTGTTTTTCGGCTGTGAACTGGAGGGTGGCGAATTGGTACGCCCACATGCTGGAGGCGCCGATGTAGCGGACTTTTCCGGACTCGACGAGGTCGTGCAGCGCTTTCATGGTTTCAGCGGGCGGCACGGTGGGGTCGTAGCGGTGGATTTGGAGGAGGTCGATGTAGTCTGTTCCTAGTCTTTTCAGAGAAGCATCGACTGCCTTGAAGATGGCGCCGCGGGAGAGGCCTGGGGTGGGGAAGTGAGTATGAGTACAGCGGTTGGAAGGGAGGAGAGGAGAGGGGGTAGCGTACCGCCTTGGTTCACGTAGTCCTTGCTCTTCCCGAGCTGGGCCTCGTAGAACCAGTTGAAGATGCCGGCTTCTTCGGGGACGGTGCCCATGACTTTCGCGAGGATGGTGACTTTCTCACGGGGAATCTCAAACTTCTTGAGCGCCTTTCCGACGATTTCTTCGTTTACGCCACTGGAGTAGACGTTGGCGGTGTCCCAGGTTGTTAGGCCTATGGACTGTGTTAGTTGACCTTGCGTTTTGAGGTTTGTGGATGGTGGATACCTCTGTCGTATGCTGCTTTGAGGAGTTCGAGTCCCTCGGCTTCCTCGATGGTCCATGGCATCCATTCCTTACTTCCGATCGCCATAGTTCCGAGGATGGGGGCCGAGACACGGAGGCCAGAGGCGCCGAGTTGGACATAGTCGACTTTTGTGGCGTCGAGGCTGGCCTGGAGAGAGGCGGGAACGGGTGGTGGAGGCATGTTTGAACTAGAATGATTTTCTAGAGAAAGGAGTGCTTAGAGTTTCGAATGAAGACGAGAGTTTCGAAGCTGGTGGAGTTATGAGATGGTCTCCACATGGAACAAAGTCCTATATATACGCCAGCGATTCCCCATCGTATGGGGTAAGTGGTAACCGTGATTGATGATTCAAGTCACGGATTTAAGAATTGTTGATCTAAATGATCACCGACCGCTTTGAGGAGGCAGTAATTGCGGCTTAGTGGTCGTGGACGGAGACAATGGATATAGAGGCTCGGCTCGAGAAGTATTTCCTAGGAGGGTAGAGCACGTGATACGCTCCAGTTTCGGCTAAATGCGCTAGGCTTGTTTGAGCAATACTCTGCGAGGAACGAATTAGAGCACTACAGACTCGCCGCGCTACCTCTACGGAGGTACGCAAATTCCATTCTGAGGAGTGTTATGCTAGTATCGCTCAAATAGTTTCGTCAGTCATAGTTCGTTATTCTAAGGCATAGTAGCGTTCGAGTTAGATATACAATGTGCGCCTGTCTTGAAGGCATTGTCCAAAGAAGGCCACTGAACTCGTATCACCACAAGAAGTACTCGCAGACTACTTCCACGCTCTATTCCAAGGCTTAGAAGAGATTGGCCTTGGACAGAGCTCAAGAGAGCTGGGACCTTGGCACTATTCATCACTCTTCCAAACTCCTTTAAAGACTCGGCATGCTTCCACTTCATTGGTGCTCTCGAATCTAGACGACTAACCAGGGCGAAGACGCGACGCTATTCCTTGTCAGACTCCCAGTCTCTCATTGGCTACCCGGAATCGTCTCCCCGACTACCCCATGTACGAAACCATAATGGGACTACCATGAAAAGTAGTCGGCCGAACCATACTTCCGACTACTTCGGGCTCGACTCCCTTCGTCTATTCTCTAGAGATGGACGTTCATCATTAATGGACTAACTCCTATCCCCATCCCTTCGACCTGATATAAGAGCCGGTGCCCGCAGTACTCAACCTTCATCCTCACAATCCAAACCTCAACACACTCACAGCAATCCAACTGTCCAAAAATAATTTGCAAAGCTTCACGATCATGAGCTTCTTCAGTTTTGTGCACTCCCAGCTCTTCGTCACCCCCATCTACCCCAGCGGATCTTACACCGGCAGAACGGTCATCATAACTGGCAGCAACACCGGCCTCGGGAAAGAAGCAGCACGCCACTTCACGCGCCTGGGCGCCAGCACCGTTATCCTCGGCGTCCGCAGCGTCGACAAAGGCAATGCCGCCAAGGCCGACATCGAGCAGTCAACCAAGTGCGCCGCATCCGTCGTCCAGGTCTGGCAACTCGACGTGGCCAGCTACGCCTCCGTCCGCTCCTTCGCAGCACGCGTGGCGGGGCTAGAGCGTGTCGACATCTTCCTTGCTAATGCGGGCATCGCTCCGGCGAACTTTGCGTTGGTTGAGGGCACGGAGTCGATGATTACGGTTAATGTGATCGCCACGTTTTTGCTGACGTTCCTGGTGCTGCCGAAGATGAGGGAGACGGCGAAGACGTACGATACGAAGCCTACTCTTTCCATCACAACTTCAGAGGTCCACGCAAAAACCGCGTTCCAGGAGAAAGCAGCCCCGGACGGCAAGATCTTCGAGGCGTTGAATGACGAGGGGAAGTTTGATGCGATGGATCGATATCCGGTGAGTAAGTTGCTGGAGGTGTTTGGGGTTAGGGCGTTTGCGGGGGAGCATAAGGCTGAGGAGCTGGGAGTCACGGTCAACTGTCTGAACCCGGGGTTGTGTCATTCGTAAGTCCTGCTCAAGTCTACTGGGCCCCAACATACGAGCGCGCTGCTGACGAGACATCTGACAGGGAGCTAATGCGTGAAGCCGGCTTGGGCCTCCGAATTATGAAGTCCTTGCTCGGTCGAACAACGGAAGCTGGTAGTAGGACGCTCGTGCATGCAGCCAGCCAGGGGCCGGAAACGCATGGGAAGTACTTGGGGGACTGCAAGATTAAGCCACCGGGTGGGATTGTGTTGAAGCCGGAGGGGAAAATAGCGCAGGAGAGGGTGTGGACGGAGCTGGTAGGGCGGCTGGAGGCGATTGTGCCGGGGGTTACGAAGAGCCTTTAAAGGCAGAGGGGCAGACTATCTTGAAGGACGATGGATGTATTAAGGAGCGAGACAAGCACGAACGCGAGAAGAAGGAGCGTTGAATTCATTTGAGCCTGTGTTGACATCCTTTGGTGCTTCACACTGTCCACGCTAATCCGCTCGCAGTGGCCGAAATGGCGGTTTGGTGCATGGAGTGACAGCGAGACGAACCCAGATGGAGATCACGGTGCGATTGACGAGCAAAGTCCAGGGTTGAGGCTGATCTGTCTGCACCCGTGGCACCGTGCCGTACTGCGGTGTGCACCCGCAGGTCGCCGTTGCCAAGCAAGGCACACGATTTCAGAAAGTCGGGCCTTCTCTGCTGCACCTCTCCCATTTCGATCGCAACGTCACCCGGCCTGTCCACGATCTTCAAGTGCTTTAATTCGACTACATCTGCCTCTCTCAGCTGTCTCCAGCCCAATTGGCCCTGGCGTCTGTCACAGTAGCTTTTCGCGCGCTCCCACAATGCCCTACTCGCATCATAGCCATTCGGGCCAATTCTGCGCCCATGCGAAGGACACGCTGGAAGAGGTCGTGCGGACAGCGATAGCGAGCGGGTTCCGGACGTATGCGTTGACGGAGCATATGCATCGCGAGAAGGAGGACTTCTACCCTGAGGAAGTGCGCACGGTGCTTGTCACATGCGGCACAAGAGGCACAGCTAACGTCTGGCAATAGCAGGAAGCATCCTACACCGAGGAAGGCCTTGTTCAGTTGGCCGACGCGTTTTACGCCGAAGCTGTGCGACTTAGGGAGATGTATGCCGGACAAATCGATCTGCCCATTGCCTTTGAGACGGAATGGATACGGCCGTCGACTCTCGGACTCATACGGTCGCTCGTCGCAAAGCACCCCTACGACTTCCTCATTGGCTCTGTTCATCATGTCCACACGATACCGATTGACTTCGACAAGCACACATACCAGAGCGCTCGCGAAAAAGCAGGAGGCACAGATGAACGACTTTTTGAAGATTACTTCGATTCGCAGTACGAAATGCTCCAAGCTCTCCAGCCCGCAATCGTGGGGCACTTCGACGTGATAAGACTGATGAGCGACGAGCCCAACACTGGGTTTCAGAAGTTCAAGGGCGTCTGGACAAAGGCATTGCGCAATCTGGAGTACATCATATCGTACGATGGTGTGTTGGAACTGAACTCTGCTGCGCTCCGGAAGGGCCTGGACGAGCCATATCCATGTCTCGAGGTCTGTGAGGTAAGTCGTACTCTGTAGCCCGGCATTGAACTGTTTGCCACTCACGTAATCCAGACATTTCGTCGCATGGGGGGCCGTTTCAGCATGTCCGACGACAGTCACGGCATCGAACAAATCGGCACAAATTACCGCCGCCTGCTACACTTCATAGAGAAAGCCAGCATACCCAATATTTACATCGCCGACTGCAACTCCCAAAGCGGAGCAGATCGGCGATCTCCCACTCCTCGATTCTCCAGCGTGAGCATCTCGCAGCTCAAGAATCATGCGTTTTGGGCAGCAAATCCTTGAGAAGCCGCGAGCCCCGACGGTGCTAATGCAAGCACTGTGCAAGGCTCTCTCGACCGTCGCGCACCACTAAGACGCGTGACGCAAGGGTAAAGCAGTCACGACGGACAGAAACACTGGGTCCGGCGACAAACGCGCGAAGTACAAAAAATAAAAAAGATCAAAGTCGTATTCCTGAGGGCAAGGTTACATATTCTGCGATTCGCCCAAGACATTTCACGCTGCAGCTTCCAGAAGTAGCCTGGCATGGGTCTCTCAGATTTGAAAAATGGGTCAACCCTCAACCGCTGCAAGCGCAGAAAAGGGACCAGTACGAGCGGTTGGCTGGCACCGGCGGGACTGTCGCAGGACCCAGGCCAAGGGTTCGGGGAGCCCAAGAGCAAAGCACGGATAGGATCACGATCGGAGCTCGCTGTGCGTGGGCAGGCTTGGGGTGGGATGGAGTGGCATGATTGCTTTGTAGGGGCTTGGGCTGCATGGCCGTCATAGCGAGACACGTGTGACGGAAAGCCAGGAACGTGCGCTAGTCTCGAGGACAAGGGTGACCTGCGGGGCACTCTCGACGTCGAGCCGCAGTCCGTACCCCTCCAAAGCAGACATTGGGATAGTTGTAGGCCATAGCGCTGGTGTTCACCGATGTACAGCGAGCAGACTCGGGTAGAGTGGCTCGATGCATTCTCCGAGCGCTTCAAAACCTGGACAGGTGTGCAGTAGCCGATAAGCGGAAGCAAGAAGCGGCATCCGTCAGTGGGATGATTGGGCGTGGTGGAGACAGTCCCCCCAGGCTGCAGGAGGAGGCCATTGACACTCGGGGACATGTCGTACTTCGCACCCCGGCTTCGTAGACTTGCGATATCCGTGCCGACACGGCTCTTGGCAGCCTTCCAGACAGCCTGTTGCGAACGTCTTCCTCGAGCGTGTCCCAGCTGACGTGCGATTTAAGTTCGGGCTCGCATGTCCATTATCAGCATGTCGGCACGTCGTCGCTGTCACTGGATCGTGAGTTGTGCAGCTCGGCGCGTATGGCCACCGGCAGCAGGGGCCCGAGGGCGATCGGGACGTGTCTTCTTGTCGATCTGGTCTGGACGCGTCGGCGTGCTGTGGGATGCGGTATCGTGGTCTGAGGTTGTGGATGTACGAAGTGTTGCTGCCTCGCCTAAGATCACGTGCGGTGGTACCTGTGACTTCAGTGACAGCGAACAAGCTAGCCGATTGACTACACCCAACGACATCGGTCGCGTCCACCAGATTGCTGCCAGAAGTGACAGCGCCGTGGGGGCACGACAGAAAACAGCAGGAGCATCGTTTCCCCAGTGCTGGCCTCCGGAGCAGCATCCGACAGTGGAGAATCTATCTGAGATGGACTGGCCGGTCTAGAGTAGAGACCTCGTACAAAGGTAGTCCATACCCTGTGGCCCCACCATGCTCACCGACGTCTCTCCAGCCCGTCCCCGCCGTCGTCACCACGGCGGAGCCCAGCCGACGCGGGGTGGGATGGAGCACGATGGCGGTTCGGTCGGCTGCGGTTTCGGTCGGCTACGGGAGCAAAGCAAGCAAGCAAGCAAGCGCAGCAGTCGTGCACACGGCTGGCGCTGCGATCGGGACGCGGGTGCTGCGATCCTATTCGGCTTGTCTGAGATCTAATCAGCTGTAGCCCGAGTGGTCTGTCGAATGGCATCCCTGAGGCGCCGCGACGAAGGAGCAGAGTTGGGGCTATCGGCGTCTGTCTAACGGTGTCGAGGATCCGGAGCAGCCATCTCGCAGCCCTCAGCCCTCTTCTGTCGTGCCATGCGAGGGGCTACCGGCCGATGCTGCACCTTCGCCCACGTAAAGGGCCCTGCCGATGCCCGCTAGCATACTGGATTCTCACCACTCACGGTGCAGACATGACAGAGCCGCGAGTGCTGCTCAGCGGTGCTCAGAGGGGTGGTGGAGGGCGGAAACGCGGTATTGCTTTAGACCCTTCGTTTTTCTACGCCTTAAAGCTAGACCATCCCCCCGAGCGCTCCGTCTGATCTCGCGCCACCGCAATTGTCCTCTTGCTGCCTTCATATTCTTGTCCAGCTGCGAATTCGCTTGTCAATTGTCGATCCGTAATACCCAATTGAGCCAAGGCCCACCCCACCCCCATATCAAGCACCCCACCCTTCTCCTAACCTCCAAAACTACCACCATGGGAGTCGAGAAAGTCATTCTCAGCGCGGGCAACGGCGTCCACTTCCCCTCCAAGGGTGACAAAGTCACAATGGAGTACACGGGCTGGATTTACGACCCCTCCGTCCCCAACAACAAGGGCAAGCAGTACGTCTCCCAAAAGGTTTTTGAAAAGTAAAACACCTCGGTCTACCCCGATGCTCGAAAGACTCTGCATGGCCAGATCAGACCGCTAACGGCATGTTCCAGATTCGACTCATCAGAGGGCCGGGGAGATCTCGTCACCTCAATTGGCGAGGGCAGGGTCATCAGGGGTAGGCTCTGCGTTCGGACTCTAGAAACCGTTCACTGACCTGCAGTGCGTGCTGCACAGGCTGGGATGAGGGCATCCTAGGCAACGGGAGCAGCGCAGCTATGTCGCTAGGCGAGAAGGCGACTCTGACTATGACTGCGTACGTAAAATCAACCCCCGGATGATCTGATAATGGACTAATGAGAGCTGCAGGGACTATGGGTATGGCCCGCGGTAAGCAAACGCTTTTCTTCAAAATCAAGAAAAAAACCAGAATGGCGACATCACGCATCAGGAGGAGAGATATGATCGCAGATCTCCAGGCCCAACACTACGGTCGACAAACAGCAACCACCCCTTCCACCGACTGGTCGCGGCCTCGCAGATCCGCGGAACCCCAGCCGGGAAGATTATTCATTCCGCCTCTTTTTCTCCCAATCGCGGCGTATTGCGTTGCCAAGGCTTTGTGCAAAACACCAGCTGACCAAGGTTGTTCTAAAGCGGCTTCCCCGGCCATATCCCGCCAAATGCGAGTCTGGTGTTGTAGGTGCCCAACTTCATCCTTTCTCAAATGCCGCGCCCCTCTCACCAATCGCGAGCCCCAACCCAACACCTCCATTTCGTCATTCTCGAGTCAAACGAGCTCATATGACTCGCTCACCGACTCCGTATCGCGTCGATTAATCCCGCATCTACCCGTCTCGCTAACGACCATCCAGCGACGTCGAACTCAAAGCCATCAACGGAAAGACCGCCTGACACGACACGACCTACCACTATCCACCCATCCGAGGCGCCTTGCTGCCTTACGCCTTACGAGCGCAATCTGGGGTACATAACGCACGTCAGACTGCCCTGCAACGCCCGACATATGCGCACCTGCGGGGTTTGGGCCGGCCGCTTTTGAGGCCCAACCTGCTTTTGGACCCTGTGCCAACCTTTCCAACGACACAAAAAAAAGTTAATCATATAATTCTAATCTCATCTAATTTGAGGGGGCCCGGGGAGGGTTCTGGCAGGAGCTTGTTTCATGATTCTAGCTTGGAGTTGCTTCCTTTTTCCCGGTGTTTGGACTCGTTATATTCCCCCTTGGCCGACTTTAGATGAGTCTTCTTTTTCTTCTTTTTTGGATTAGATGAGGGTCTGCTCCTTATTTCGAGATTTCACCGCCTTTTCTTCGGCCTTGGCCTGGCTTTCGGGAGCTTGACGCGTGGCGAAAGAGAGGTGGTCAGAGTTAATACATGCACGGAGTATGGATGGACGAACGGAAGGCTAGAGTTTTGTCTGAGGTTTTCCTTGATTTCCTCAAGCCGCTCAGAGTCACGCTCGCTGGAAGGCGGCCTATAGAGTATATTTTCAGGCCTCCATACCGCGGAGATCTCTACACTAATGAAACCGGTATTGTCCTCACTCACATCAACAGCCAGCCGCTTTTACTACACTTGAACTAGTATTAGCACAAAACGGCATAAGGAGGAGTTAAATATCGGGACTTTGATTTTGCGCGATTTGGAACCCCACAACTTGGTTGTTCATCCTTGACACCATCACATTCTCACTCAGCGCCATAGCGCGAGGAGCTGCTGACGACCACTTGTCTCTAACACCCCCCATTTTTGACGACCAGCTCCTTTCCTTCCTTTTTTTTACCACCTAACTCGTACAACTGATACTCCCCCACGCTCCCCATTTCACCACTATCTCGCACAACATGGCCTCCGCGGAAGTCTCACCATCCCACTATCCCACCATACCCTCTATCTAGCCTCAAAGTCTGCTCCCACAGCACTACTTCCTCACGTCTTAGTAACCACCAAGCTCGCCAAGCTCAGCTAAGACGGGAATCTACACTAGATACCCACCCGTCCGTACCGTAGCGCAAGCGCAAGCTTTGTACTAACTACCCGAGCCGCCCGCACGCCGCGTTCCGTGGCCATAAGCGGCGTCCCGATGCCGATGCCCGCTCCCGATGCCCGCTCCCGCTCTCACTAAGCACGGCTACCTACCTAGCTCTGATCTGCCTCTTGTCTCATAGGAAAGCCGTCCGGATATCTCCGCTCCCTGCTCCTCTACCAGACCCAAAAGGGACCAGTATGCGAACGTGTGGTGGGAATGGGTAGCATGTGACGGGACGGGGACGGGGTGGGAAGAAGGAAGGAACTGGGTGGGAAACCAGGAAGAGACGGCACGGCTGATGCGGGCGAACGCTTTGGGGGTACAAGGCGTCTGTGGGCGTGTTGGAAGAGGGATAGGGCGGACAGGAAAGGGGATGGGGTGCTGGAGCACGCCATGGACTCGGGACCCGAGGGGGTGGGTTGGGGATGAGGGGGGGAGGGGATGGGGAAGGGATCGGCGAGGCACGTGGGAAAGGGGTGAGGGGGGATTGGGGGGATCGGTGAGGGGATTAGGTTAGTGGGTTCGTGCATGGGGTTGGGGAAGAAGCATGTATTTTAGGTACACACAGCTTTGTAAACACCACATGCATGTTCCTAATATATATGTGCACAATGTACCAAGAAAGCTCCACAATACAAGGGGGTCGCCTGAGCGGGCCATCCGCCCTCCCTGCAACTTTTGGTGGCGTTATAGTAATCATCTACAAAAAGAGTATGGATACGACTACAATGCCACCAAAAGTTGCAGGGAGGGCGGTTGGCCCGCTCAGGCGACCCACAACCGACAAACGAGCAACCTGCACCACCACCCTTGCGCGGCCGAGGCGGCTTCTGCCACATCTCTATTCCCGTCTGCCTGTATTCATCTCATGCGCGTGTCTCAACGGCTTTTTCTTAAGATCAAATTCTATGAGCAAGGGTTGGATGGAAGGTATTGGAGAATGAGAGATGAATGAATGAATCCCTTCGTAAGTCAGCTGCTAGCGTCGGCTCGTGCGCATTAGTTAGCCGTAGGCCTGATGCGACTTGTAGCACCAAGCCTCTCGGTGTCCGAGGGTCCAACACCAAATGCTGCTCGTAAAGCTGTGCTTGAAACATGGCAAAACTTCAAAAAATCATACAGAGCTCAATTTTAATGCGATTAAGGGCGGAGTAAGCGCAAACTAAGAGGAGAGACTAGGGCTTCCTCTTCCGCAAACCGGCTGACAGCTTGAAAAAGTGAATATATAGTGTTCTATAGGTTTGTGGTGTGCATAATTATGCATTCAACGTCGGCAGGTCGGAGGTCTTTGATTTTGTAGGGGGGCCCTGCTAAGCGGCGACGCCGGCTACACGCTACCGCAAGCCAAACGCCAAAACTGTTGACTCCCAGAGGGATAGCGCAGATATCTACCCATATAATCCTACTCAACTCGGCGGGTAAAACCCCGGTTTTACCATTAGAATCTGGCAAAAGGCAGATGGATCGCTTAATGATATGGCTGACGTGCTTCCGTTCTCTTGCAGGGCCCGGAGGAAAAGGAGCATTAATAATATCCGTTCGCGACGGGATGAGTGCGGGAGCGGGTATGCGACGGTACGGCACGCGTCTGTGACTCCGGTCGGGGCTGAGAGGTGGGCCGATGGTGGAGAAAGGGTCCAGTGCGATCGGTGTTGGTGTGCTGCCGATCGGTGAACGCGAACCCTGTGGCAATGTGGATGCAGGAGAAGTGGCGAGAGAATCGTGTCAGGGTCGGATGATGGTTTGGGGGTTGTAGCGAAGGGAGTTGGGATTGACGGTGGATGAAGAGTTAGTAGTATTGGTTAGAGGGGTTTGGTTGAAAGTGCGTCATTGGCCAACACCGTGTCGAGTTGTCCTCACCGGAAATATTGGATGCGGCTCTTTCGGGGAATCTGTAAACAGGAGGCTGCTAAGGTGTAGGTGATGATGGAGAGCGCTGAAGCTGCTTTTTTTCTAGTGGTGATGGGTATAGGGAAGGTGTAGCCTTTATTTTGGAATAATGCCTGCGCCATCGACTGGGAACCTACTACGAAATAGCTACTGACTCTAGTTGAACCTGTTTCCCGGTATTACCCTCCCCGCTGACCAAAAACCATAATACACCACTGGCAAAGAAATCGATGCCACAAGGCAAATAAAAGCAGTCGAAGGTAAAACAATCGAAACCGTCACGAACGCAAGCGCTAGTTCATTGAATGTGTAAGTGCAACTTCGAAGCAACAGAGAACATAGCAAACGCAGTAACCCAATAGGTGAGGCTACGTCTCACGAAGCGACCGTACCATATCGTCCCTCGTATGCAACCGATGACGAATACAATGATGAACGGGTTTGATGGTAACTAGGGCAGAGGTTTCATGGTTTGGATCTATAATTCGCGTTACTGATGGCGGTGACGGATGATAAATAGTGGCAAGGAAGTACAGCAGTAAAGAAAAGCCTCCATGAGGTCGGTCCATTGTTTCCAGGACATCAACGCTTTTAAAATTAGACGTTTCTCCTCAGCTATCAAAAAATCCCTTTAATCTTGGATGAGCTAAGAATAGGATAATAATAGCCCACAAGCTCGGGAGTAGAGGTCCTTGTGGCCGCACAGGTGGGTTGTCCATAACTTGCGTTAGCGGTAGGTGCGCGGATGGCCACGTACAGAGGCCAACGATATTGAGAACTCCGACGATATGGAGATTTATAGTGATGTGCCTCAGCCAGCCTTGTATGAAGTAAGTTGAATCGATCATAAGGTTGTGCTGTTATTTACGGGGCTATACGTATAGCTACGTAACAAGGAGTGTAAAGTAGTGAGTATCAGGGAGTATATTGCGTAGGGAGTACGTAGAAGTAAGGGGAAAGGAAGTGTTTGTAGATACTTAGAAAGAAGAAACCAGTGTTGATGTCGTAGATGGAGGAACTCATGACGATGAGGCCGAAATGAGGCTGACAGTACGCGCCGGCAGCCACGTCGTCGGCCGAAGGGTTGTCGCCCTATCGTGGGCTCGGCAAGTTTGTGAGTTCGTGGCTCTCCATCTCAGGGAGGACTTAGAGCCGCTGAATATGATCGAAACACCCCTTGGGTTTTTTGCGATAAGAACAGCAGGAGTTACTCGCTACATATCGGCTTTCGTTTCGTGAGTCGTAGCCTGCCCTGACACTGCGCACCGCTCGTCGCTCGATGCTCATTCGTAGACCACGCATACCATATGCATATGCATGTTGACGAGGCAAAACGGCGCGTAGCGGCATGCGGGTAGCATCCTGTCAAAGTGCAATCAATACATCTCTTCTCAGCCCTTTCTATTCGAAACTTTGCTCATTATGTTCCGCGCTCGCAGTATGACGACTGATAGCCAATCGTCGATGAAACCGCGCAATCATCGCAAACTTATGCTGTGCCACCACTTCCTCATAGATTTGGCTAGAGGCTGAATCTCAAGGCAGAGAACAGGAGGCTTGATTAAGAATGAACCAGCTGTACTGTCACCAGTGACAGTACCTTCTTATATCTACATTTGTAATTTTGCCAGCTGCTTTGACTGGACCAGAAAGCCGAGGCATGTACCGCACTCTGGGTTTCGACCTCATGAAGCTCTGGATTGCTTCGTGTGCACTTCAACTCACATCAGTACCGGCATCACTACCACAGACCTGCTACCGCCTCGACAGCTCACCTTATCCCGACGATCGCGTCCCTTACCTCAACGGCAGCATCCCGCGATGGGTCTCGTGCAACCCGGACCAGGCAATCAGCCACTGCTGCCAGGCCTTCGACTTGTGTCTGGACAACGGGCTCTGCCGAGGGTTCCAAGCCGGCGGCGACCAGGTGCTCGAGCTGGAGGGCTGCACCGACGCGGCCTGGCGTCCCCCGTGTCCCCAGTACTTCGCTGACAGCCGGTACGGCACCCTCGGTGCCGATGTTAGAGTGCTCATCTGGGCGTGTAGCTACGACAGCGACGGCGAGTACTGCGTCGGGTCCACGGATCCGGGCGGCGTCAGCATCTGGGATGCGTCGTGCTGTGCCGATGCCAGCAAGCGCATCAGGACGATCCCGCCGTTCAAAAGCATGCACATGGCTGGAGATGTGACGAAGAGAATCGAGATGTGGCAGGGCAGTCGTGCAAATACCGTCAGCAACGGGGACAACAGCAGCAGTGGCAGTAGCAATGACTGGGGAATGTCGAATAAAATTGCGTTTGGGGCCGGGATTGTGGCGGTAGCTGGTGTCTTGGTAGCGATCTGTCAGTGGCAGTTCCCCAGCATGCGGATGAGACGGCGAAAGGTTGACGAGGAACAGGCTACTGCCGGCGGGGGAACAGGTGTGGCCGGTTCGACGGCGAGGTTGGGAGATAGGGACTGTGATGTGGAGGTACAGGGAGGCGAGGAAGCGCCATACAGAGACTCGCCTTATAAGTTGTACTTGGATACGACTACGCACCCAGTTGAGGCTGAAGATGGATGGAGAGAGCAATAAGTCCTGGCCCAGCTCTGGGAGATGAATATTGTCTCATGGCCAGCCGCGGGATCGAATTCGACTAGAACTATGCCATGGCCGTAGAGCGGAAGGATCAGCGAGTAAGATAACCCAGACTTAATGGTGCGTGAATAGACATTGTATTGCGTTATGTAGGGCATTACTGATGACAGATGAGGTTCCTATTGGAGCATTGGTTGAAGCGAGGAGTAAGAGCTGGAGGGGTATTTTGGTGACGATGAATTAAAGGTCGCTTCTTGAATGTTTTCACTGATGTGGGACCAGCCCCCTCTCAGCGTAGCTCGTAGATGAAACATACCCCCTAGTGAGCGACAATAGGCCATCAGACCCAAGCGAAAGGGCGCTTATGTAGTGTGATCATGTCCGCACCTCCTCAACTATCAGTGCGAATTGACGCACGTTGACGGTAGTGGACGGCTCATTGACCACACTCTAGCACCGGCCACAGCTACGCTTCGTTACGGCGACAATTTTGTCGAGCGTCATCGCATCGTTTCGCACCTCCTGCATTCGGCTAGTGATCACCCGCTGACCACTGATCAGAAGCACTAAAGCGTACAGAGGTAACATCTCCAACTACAACTTTTCTTCGCGACTTTTATCACCCTTCGATATTTCCTCCAACGACACATCGCCCTAATCACGAGCCTTGGATCTTAGGTCCAACATGGCTAGCCGTCAGAGCGTCGAAGCTATCGAATTGCGCAGTATTCAGCCTTACAATAGCATTGAAGACGAGGCTCAAAACGAGTCGCAGGACTCCATCTCCCCAGCGCCTGAAATGGAGTACCCAAGCGGCATCAAGTTCGTCCTCATTACCGTTGGCCTTATGCTGAGTATCTTCCTCTCCGCCCTCGACACAACCATCATTGCGACCGCCATCCCCAGCATCACCGACGAGTTCGGCAGCATCGGCAACATTGCCTGGTACGGCAGCGCCTACATCATCACAAACACAGCCTTTCAGTCCTCGTGGGGAAAGGGGTACACTTATTTCCCTCTCAAGTACACCTTTTTACTAGCAATCGCAATCTTCGAGGTTGGAAACATCATCTGCGCTCTCGCCCCTAATAGCTCTACATTGATTCTTGGTCGCGTGGTTGCTGGAATCGGTGGAGGGGGGATCATGACTGGTGCGTTCATCATCATTGCGCTGACGGTGAAGCCAGACAACAGAGCAGCCTACATGGGTGTTCTAGGCGTCACGTTTGGCGTGTCGAGTGTAGTGGGCCCGTTGATGGGCGGTTTGCTCACCGATGGTCCTGGGTGGAGATGGTGCTTCTGTGCGTCTATAAAACTTTCCTTCTCCCTTTCGAATACAGACTGATATTGTTGCACCCCAAGGGATTAGCCTTCCGCTTGGGTTCTCCGCAGCCGCAACCATGTTCTTCTTCACGCCCCCAATCCCTCCTAGAGAAGCTTCGCTGCGGGAAAGAATCGTTCAAATCGACCTCCTCGGCAGCGTCCTCGTCACCGGCGCGCTCGCCTGCTTCGTCCTCTGCATGCACTGGTCCGGAATCTACCATTGGTCCAGTCCCCGCGCCATCCTCACCATGATCTCCTCCATCATTCTCACGATCGCCTTCGTCTTGAACGAATGGTTCATGGGCCCCAAAGCAATGATCCAACACCACCTCCTCAAAAACGCCCGTGTCCTCCCCAACCTCATATACATCTTCTTCCTCGCGGGCGTCTACTTCCCCCTCCTCTACACCCTCCCCGTGCAACTCCAGTCCGTGCACAACGAATCCGCCTCCCAGAGCGGCGTCCGCCTCATCCCCCTCGTCCTCGGCATTTCAATCTTCACCATGATCTCCAACGGCCTGCTCACCTGGTGGCGCCACTACGCGCTCTTCCTCGCCGCCGGCGCCATCCTCGGCACCGCCGGCCTGGCTAAAATCCACTCGCTGGGCGCCGACGCCACCACCGGCGACTGGATCCGCTACGAAGTCCTCGCCGCCGTTGGCGTCGGGCTCGCGCTGCAGATCCCCATGATCGCCAACCAGACCGTCGTGGCCGCTGCCGACGTCCCCGCCGTCACGTCGCTGACGCTCTTCGTCGAGAACGTCGGGACCGCGTTGTTTGTGGCCGCGGGCGAGGCGGCGTTCGCGCAGGGCTTGATGGCGAGTATTGCGCGGAATGTGCCGTCGGTGGCGCCGCAGAAGGTGCTCGATGTCGGCGCGACGCAGATTCGAAGTGTATTCTACGGGAGCGAGTTGCAAGGGGTGTTGGGGAGTTATCTGGATGGGTGCAAGATCAGTCATATTATTGGGGTTGCGTGTGGGGCGGCGGCGTGTGTGGTTTCGTTTGGGAGCGTGGGATCGGCGGGGATTAGGGGGATTAGGATGAGGTTGAAGAAGGTGCATGCGCCTTGAGCGGAATGGCAGACCGACCTCTGAGGCGTGAGGTTGAGAGAGTAGCCGGGCGCGAAACCGAGGTTGATATTGTAAGTGTTGGGAGATTATCGTCAGCGTATTGAACTCTCCATAGGAATCGGGTTTGGGAGTCTCTGGTACACGTTATATCCTTTGAGGGGCAAGTCGAATGAGCGATCTTTCTCGGCCGTGTTGCTTTGTGAGACACCAGTTTCTACCAGCCTTCTCAGCGTTCCACGCACGTTACATCTTCTTTCAATCGGAACTCCAATGAAGCATCACACACATTTGTTTCCATAAGGTATGAATCACCGGTAAAATGGTACGAAGCGATCAACACATCTAGTTCATCCATGGTATTGTCTTGAGACGACACAAACTTTTGTAGGTTGTCGACTACAGTTTGAAGGTGTCAGCCAAACCTCAGCCTTGCGTCGGCGCTTGCAACCCCTTCGGAAACATACGATTCTCATCTGCAGGCAGACTTCGGCCTAATGTCATCATATCCGCTCTACCCTCAGACTTGAGCTTGATCTCGTCATAACCACTCTGCACGCAGACTTCAGCCTTCCTAGTAAGCAGGTTGACCACTAGCCGAATGCAGGAGGTGCGAAGCGATACGATGAAGCTCGGGAATATTGTCGCTGTAACAACACAGTACAAAGGTATCTCGGTGCTTGAAAGTGGTCAGCTTGGCGGTCTCTTTGATTCAACATGTGTCAATTCGCATTCATGATTGAAGAGATGAGCGGACATTATGACGATAGATAAAACGCCCTTTCGCTTGTGTCTGATGGCCTGTTGTCGCTAGTGGGTTATGTTCCATGTAGGAGCTACGCCGAGAGGAGGCTAGTAGACCTGAAGTTGGTGTGGAGTCGTCTAGTCCCGCACGTTTGACCGAACAATCTTGGTGCAAGGCAATATCAACGTCGTTCGAACCCTGCTTTCCTCCTCGCAGCATCCACACCAGGGAAAACAGTCAAGAAGCGACTGTCTTGCTCACCGCTCCAAGGGGTGCTCTACCAAGAACTTCATCAATCATGTCTTCGATGCCATGAAAAGGTATCTGTACGGTAAGAGTTATCGAACGCTGCCGGAGTTCTTCAAGAAGTGGCTCAAAGTCTGGCCCAAATCCTTGCTGAACTAGCAGGATTGGTTTTCTCCTCAGAAATCTGTTACAGAGAGTCGGAAGTGTACATAAATGCCTCCCGATTACTTGAGCAAGAGTAGTGTATAAAGCGAGTTGAGAGGTCCATAGAAATCAACATCAGTACGTAATGGGTGTATAAATGTATGTGCTCGTATCCTGGCGCAAACCCAACAGTGCGGTACGCTCGTAAGCGGCTGGCTGACCTCGCAGCGCATCTTCTAGGTGACAATCAGTCTTAGACATGAATACTTCCAGATTGGTTCGGAAAGGTCGTGCTCCATGTCTTTTCGTCTGGTAGGCGTCCTGGAAGAGTCACTGAGCATTCGACGCCACTGATCCTATGCAGTGGCGGGCTAGGGAGTATCTCTAGCAGACCTCGAGATGGAATCCTGCTCGATGTCTCAAAATAGAGGAGTTCCTCTCTTCTGAATCAAGTCCGAAGCCGTCAATTCCGGTCCGTTCAGCTCCATGGCTTCGCAAGAACGCTGTGCGTCGTTTTAGATCTTCCACAAAGACCTCCTCGGGACTGAGACCGCAGGCTTTGAGTACTTCGGACCACTGACGTTCGACCCCTCGGGCCTGCGCGAAAACCGTCGGTGTGAGTAGCGGTCCAAATTTGGACACCCATTCGATTCCATCAGCCTCATGGGCTTGGTTGATCGTATACCACTTGACACGGAACACATCAGCTCCAGCGCGGATCAGAGAAATGGCAGTCTCGTTGCTCCGCTTTTCCCACTCTTCAACCCTTACTTTTCTCGACGCTGTCAGTCTGATACTCCTGAGCGCTAGTAGAAGGGGAGCTGAGCACTCGCTATCGTCGCAGGAATATAAATCATTGTTGGGATCGAGGCCGCATGCCAGAAGTATTTCCACACAGGACACATCTGGCCACCAAAGGCAGCCCCAGTCGTACCTCGTACTATAAGCGTGCTGGAGGGTGTCCACGTCACGGCAACGGAGTACCTTCGCCCATTCTTGGAGCTCCATGTACGGAAGATTAGAAGCTTGCACACGGTCACTGACAGCGTGCTTTATATCGAATTTACAATCCTCGGGATCGCAGCCGGCCGATTCGAGAGCTTGAACGATGTGGGACGCTTGGTCTACAGCTCCAGGAAGCCAGTACTCCCTCATGCCGAGAAGTCGTTGGGAGAATACGCGGATAAAGCGGAAGTGGGGTGTCTCTCCGTAACTACTGAACATTAGGATATTGAGAACCTCTCTACAGGAGAAAAGTGGTCGGCTTACACTGTGACTCTATTAGGGTCTGCGCCTTGTTGTAGCAAGAATGTAAGGCTCTCGATGGTAAAGCTACTAGCGGCGATCCGTTACATTGATGAGTTGGTGTTATCCCTGAAAAAATTATCGTGAGTGGATAAGACGGTAGATATTTAACATACGTGCAAGAGGGTATAACCGCCATCGTCCTGATCGTGTGGGCTCGCAAGGCCATTTGAAAAAAGGTGTGACAAGAATGAAACATCTCCATTTTTGACAGCGTTCCACACAGGCGCATCGTCCGCGATGATAGGGTATGTAACGACTACCGGGCATATTTGGTAGTAACCTAGGTTGTTTGGCTCCGTGCTATAGCGCAAAGAGACGCTACGCCGCAGAAGAAACCAAGACGGCCAGAGATGAACAGTGATGTCGTATGTGCGAGTCATTGTCGCACTGTATTTCGCCCTGTCAAAGCTTGTGCGGATCTCGATACGAAGATTGCCAAATAAAGAAGTCGCTCGGAAAGACCATATTATCGGGGAGCTTTTGGGTCGGAGCCGTCGAGGGACTCGAGACACTTGCACCAAGTGGCGCGCTGAACTGGTTTGTATTTTCTCGTCAGTCGAAAGCTTAAAAAAATCCAAAAGGCCTATTTCTCGATTCGTGCTTGTAGTCTCCCTATTGTGCTTTGACTGTGGCGACTCATCATGAGGCCTAGGCTCCGTTTCCCTAGACGTCATGTTGTACGACAATGCCGCGGCGGATTTCTCGATGACTTCTTTGACCTCTTGGAGAAGAAGCTCATTCCAGGATTGGGCGTTCGACAAGCTTCGCTCCACTACAGGCGTCAGCACTCTTTTCAGCTCATATCTAAGGACTCGTGCCAAGATTTCCTCGGAACAGTGCACTGATGAGGCCGTTGTGAGTCTGGAAGGGGATGCTGGTATCTGCGAAACGAACGCCGCAAGTTCGTCTAATTTTGTCTCAATGTTGGTCTCAGCTTCTCTTACGGTGTTTTTGACATCTCCCATACTCTGTTGGTTTTCAAGGAGGGCGGAGGTACTGAGAGTCACGTGCCTTTCAGTCGAGTTGATAGTACCTTGCACTGCTCGAAATGAGGTCGATTGAATTTCTAGTTTATCATGAAGTTGTCCAAGAGAGCTTTCAGATGTTTGCTCGTGTTTTGAAGCTCGAATTGGCTTTTCCTGATACTTCATAAGCTAATTATCGTGGGTAGCGGCGTAGTTCTACCTCTAAGAGCGAGTAGACTCACAGGATCAGAATTTCTAGATGCATCACCAAAGTTACCTTCCGAATCTCCAGTGCTTTGAGATGCATGTCAATGGTCCGCTTCTTGTGAAGAACCCATTTGGTTTTGGCCGAGAGACTTAAAACGTTGCTGGGGTAGTCGTAATCTACCTTCCAAGTACATCTCTCTTCTGTTCCCTAAGCTGCTTTGGCCGCCTGTGATGTTCTGGACTGGAAATCTCCAAGCGAGTCAAGACTGATGATGGCTAATTCTTTGTGAGCTCTAAAGCCTAGCCTTGCAGGTCGCGGAATAAGGGTTGTGGCAAAGATTTATCATTCAACGGGCTGAACATGTTTCCAGGAGATAAGACTGAGCCCACTGAGGATTCTGGGTTGACGTGGGAGCGCCTGGGTGCTGCCAAAGACTCGACACGCAATACTGCATTGGGGTGCAGGGGGTCTGGGGACCCGATGGGTGCGGTGTGGCCTGTTGATGGCCTTACAGTCAGATATCGTGCAGTTGGGCGCCGTAACGCGGTATCGGCCAAGCGATGTAATGTTAATCCTCGTCGTATCCGGGGCTTTTCCCCAGCGGTGTGATGGCGGAGAGGAGGCTGGCACGTTGGGTATGTTCCAAGAATTGAGATGGCGGAGAGCCGCCGCACGGGCCGCATTGGGCGCGAGCTGCAGCGTCGACTCGGCGCGCGATGGGAGAGCCCTCAGTCTACGCAGCGCACTCAGTCTCCGCAGCGCACTCAATTGGCACCAATGCGGCTGTAAACAGCGAGGCCTGCATCTCTCTGCGTCCTCCGTCGCCCACTGCGTCTCTCCAGCGCTGCCGCAGTCGCCGCGCGGCACCATCCTCGATCGTCCCGTCTCCCAACCTCCTCGACACTCCCGTCATCACCGCGATAGCCCCCCCAATTTCTGCCCACCCACAACACCACAGCCCCCAGCCGGCGCCTGTCCAGACCACAGCTCAATCTCCGGCCGCTTCCACCGAGCACATATAACCTCGTCCACTCTCCAACCTCCCGCACCCGCTCTCCTCTCTTCGACATGTTCTTCAAACGCCGCAACTCCCGCTCCCGCGCCAACAGCTACATCGACCAAGACCAGGACCAGTCGCCGCCGCGCTCAAAGGACAACAGCAACTACGACAGCTACGACAAGTACGACAGTCGTCCGGACTCGCAGCATAACCAGCAGACCAACACTAGAGACATTGCCTCGCCGCCCGAGAAGGACATGTACTCCCGCCAGCATCAACAGCAGCCCCAGGAGCCGTACCTGACAAACGGCGGCCACAACGCGCTGCCGCTGCACAACGGGCCGCCGCCGACCATGAACGCAAAGGCAGAGCCGATGCCCGACCTCCTCGCGCAAGCCTTCAACGCCGCCGTGCGCCCCTACACCGAGAAGATCGACAACCTCGAAGCGCAAGTCGCAGACATGCAATCCTGGATCGAGCAGATGGAGCGCGAGCGAGCAGAACTACACGCATGGATCGACAAACGCGGACTGCGACCAGGTAAACACCCCAAAGAATCCCCATCCCTTTACCCATCCCCTAACTAACATATCCGCAGACGTCCCCCCAACCATCGCCAAAATCATGGACGCCACCACCCCCGACGCACCCCTCACCCTCAACGGCCAACTGGACCGAAAAATCACAATCGTGAACTTCGACCTGCACCGCCTGCAAGACGACCTCAACGACTCCATCTCCTCGGCCCACTTCGCCTCGGCTATGCTCAAGTTCCTGCCCGACATCGCCCGCCTTGCCAGCCTCCCTGGCGGCCCCAAGCTCGCCTTCGACCTCATCCTCAAGCTCGGCGGCAACCTCAACTCCCACGGCGGCATCGACCCCGGCGACCCCGAGGACCTGGCCGCGCGCCGCGACTTCTACGGCCGCCTGGACGGCGCCATGGTCGAGTGTGTGGGGCGGCGCTTCCAGGAGGGCGAGGAGTGGGCCGTGGGCCGCGAGATCAAGCGGATCGAGAAGACGGCGGCGTATCTCAAGGCCATGGGCATTGAGCCGTATTTCGCGGCGACGCTGGAGCTGATGCGGCGCGAGGTCGAGATGGGCGGCGGGGGTGCGCTGCCGCAGCAGCAGCAGAACTTGAATGGGTCGAGTCATCGCATCTCGACGCAGGGAGGGGCGGGGACGCCGCCGCGGTATCAGTGAGACCTCCGAGACTAGATGGGACGGCGATCTCTCTCGAGTAACTTTCTTGTATGTCGTAATCAGGTTGGGTGGTTTTTTTTGCTTTGGATGGGAGCCAGCGGAATGGATTGGACCAGCCACGCCATACGGGTTTGGATGGGTCCAGCGGATCGAACCCGACTCCACCAGGCCTTGATTAGGAGCGTAAAGCAGGGGACAATGTGTATGTCTGTTCCAAAGGGACTGGACACCGGGGGTAATGACTTTGTACTGTACTTAATAACGACACGAATCTCCTTGCAGGAACGGGAATGGATCTCCTTTTGGGGATTAAAAGTAGATAGCGAGCTCTGCAAAATACAGCTGGGGCACTTCACTTCACTTCATCGCTTTAACATGCAGGTGATTACGGTATTAAACCGAATTCATACAGACGAACCCCCTTTTTTTGAACCTACCTAAATCCATTTACAACCCCAACACCCTTGGGAATACCTCCCATGCAGGAACACACAACCCTCTCCATGCCATCTATGATTCCTTCTCAGACACCGCATCCACCTTCGCCTTCCCGTTCGCAGCAACCCCATTCCCCTCTCCCCCCTCCCAATCCCCCAACCCCACCCCACTCACCATTCCCCCGCCTACCCCCTCCAACCCCGCCACCCAAAGCCCCAACCCACTCGCAATACAAAACTGACTTATAGACGTCCCTATATCCAACCAACTCCCCTCATCCCGCACCATCCAAAAGAACCTCACCGTCATCACATCGCTCATCGCCGTCACAACCCCATACAGCGCGCTCGGCGCGACCCCGATGCGCTTATTCAAGATCGCGAGGTTCGCTGACATGACGGCGAAGGGGGCGAGGAGCTTAAGGATGAGGAGCGCGCCTTGGGAGAAAGGGTCGAACACGGGAATGAGGCGGTAGACGGCGTCGAGCGAGAAGGAGGAGATGGAGGCGATGTTGCCGGTGCTGAAGAAGGCGGATTGGAGCAGGGCGAGGAAGAAGAGGGCGGTGCGGGCGTCGGCGAGGGTGAGGGAGCGGTATGGCGAGCTTCCGCTATCTCTCTTGGTACCCTTGGTAGGGCCCTTGGTAGGGGGTTGCGGGTCGGCGGTGGTGTGCACGTAGACCTCGCGCTCCAGCCGCACCCAGCAGAACAGCAGGACGCAGAAGGCGAAATAGAACAGCCCTTCGTACGAGATGGTGAGGATGATGAAGGTGGGGCTAAAGGCGAGGAAGATGATGATGAGGCGGTGGATGTAGTGTGAGTTGGGGGCGAGGGAGTGGAGGAAGGGGATGGTCAGGGAGGCGACTGTGCTTTGGTTAGTTCCGAGTTGGTTGTCGTTGAGGGGAAACGGCATGGTGACTTACTGAGGGTGAGCCAGCCGACGATCTGCGTGCCGAGAGGGAGGCCGGTGCGGGCTTGGATGGAAGTCACGCTTGAGCTGGTTACGATCATGGCGAGAAGGACGAGGCCAATCTGGGGGGTTGTGAGCAGGGGGGGTTTAAAAAGTAGGTCGAGAGACTCGCCTGTGCGCCTAGAATAGTTTTAGAGAGCCCGTCGGTTGCCGGTGGAGCTAGTTTGTCCTTATAATTAGGAGTGGAGCCGATGATGCTCTGTTCAAGGAGAAGGTATGCAGCGCCGACCGCGAACATTAAGAAGCCGCCAAGCAATCTGAAAATTGTGTCAGTCTGTGCTCGGAGACATTGATTGCGGAACTTGCATTAGGTTCAAGTTCTCCGTTTTCATCGCCGGAAGTAGAGTGAATATGCTCATCATGAAGCAACAGAGAGCCCACGTAAGCACGAGAAGGGCATTCCGTTTCACAAAATCCAGGCCGTAGAATGCCGGCCAAGTGCTGGCGAGAAGATAGATAACCGTATAAACTTCCCTGTAGAAGTAGCTTTGAACCTATTTCTTGTTAGCTGGTCTTTCTTGTAAGATATTGGGCTAAACTTTACCAAAGCCTCAATAACGCCCAAAAATGCTAGACTTGTAAGCACCAGACTTATCCGATCCCAAGGTGATATAATATGCCCCAATAACACCCCCTTTCCCTTCGCCAAAGATGCCCTCCGAACGAAAACCTCTTCCCAAAACATGACTGGGAAGAAAGCGTATGCATAGTAGACCCATGAAGATTGCTGAATGAATAGTACAGAGTATAGTGCGACAAGAATAGAAGAGAACACGATCACGCTCGGTGTACTCCGTAGGGTATCTACCTCCCCATGAAGAACGTGCGAGTCGATTACTGTCGTAATGGCAAATGCTATCCATCCAAGATAGCCTGTGGTGATAAGTGTTCGTAGGAAGAGCCAGTCGTAAGTTTGTAGATATCGGAGCCCTTCCAGCCCAGTCTTAATCAAGTCATTGCCAAGTTCAATGGCCTTGTCGGCGTCTCCGGTATCAATGGACTGCCTGATCTGAGCGATGCGGTGTTCCACGGAATGTTCGTCGTCCCCTAATCCAGGATACGGCCTGTACCGTAGTTGAGTGGAAATCTTGTGCTCTTCCTTGACATGGTACATCTCCAGGATCTCTTTGGCGTTTACGAGAAGCGCTTCTGCCTTGGTCTTGGCATCCCCGTCAAGATACGTCAGGGGAAGTTCTCCAACGGAGTTGACTGGGAAAGCCAGACCGACCAGATACGCCATGAGAGCAGCAACATCGGCCTGCGCAACGTCATTCCTTTGGATTTGATCGAGGCCCCAATCGGAGGAGAACCCATCCTCGTGTCCCGTAGCCGTCCCCTTCGAATTGACCACCGGCGGAGCGACTCCAGATCCCCAAACAATCAGCGGCGTCCTCGTATTATCTGGATGCCCGTCCCCATGGCTCCCCCAATCACTCATCCCATGATCAGCAGTAAACACAAATGCCGTCTTCCCGTCCGCGTAGAACTCCTCAGCCAGCTGCGAAATCTCCCGCACGCCCTGATCCACCACTTTGATATTATGCAGATACTCCTTCGAATACGGCCGGTACCCATGCCCCGAGGTATCCAGTCCCAGAAGATGGAGGAAGAAGACGTTCTTGTCCCGTCGAAGTTCCGCATCCAGCGTCGCATTCGTCTTCGCATCCGCGAACAGCTGCTTCACCTTATCAAACACCCAGATATCCAGCTGTACAGCATCTGTCAGGAAATCCTCCGCCTCGTGGCCGTAGGTGTCTGCGTCTACTCTGCCAGGAACGGCACCTTGTTGAAACATGGGTAGGATATCCGGGCTTCCCCAGCTCCAGGTATGTCTGCTGCGATTAAAGACGCTATCGAAGTTGACGGGGTTCAGCTTCCACCCGGTTGTCACCGCCGATACATCCTCGTATAATCCAGCAATCAAGGCGACATGCCCGGGGCGAGATTCGGTGGGGACGCGGGTGTGAGACACGCCGAAGGTGCCGTGGGAGAGGACTCGGGAGCGGAGGAATGGCGCCAGCGGGCGAGGCTCTTTGGCGGCTTCGAGGTCGTCGATTGAGGGGGAGGGATCTGGGAAAGATTGAAAGGCTTTGTCGGCGCGAAGGCCATCCCCTATGTCATCTCTCAGCGTACGTCCTCCAGGTATGAGGATGCGGGTTGAGCCCCAATGCTCTTTCTTACTTACCTACGAACAGGAAAAGGCGTTTTGCGGGTGCTTTTGTGTTCTCGACGCTATATTCGCGCATGCCACGCACGATGGGGCTCACGAAGTATATTGAGAAGATGCTGGGCGGAATTAGTAGATGCGGGGACAATTGGACACGGGGGACGTACCTGTAGGCATAAATCAGATGGAAGACCACGGCAATGGCCAGGAAGCCACCGCGACTGAGTCTCGCCATGGTTGAAGAGTCAAAGGAGCGGCTGTCTCATGGAGACGGGGGACTGTAGGGGGGGTGACGCGGTGGGTGGCTTTCGCGATTTGTCCACGACGGAGGCGGGCCCCTGTCCACGCTAAGGAAATATTAACCACTTGCACCCATCAAGGTCCTCAATAGAACATTTGAGACTCCTTGGAAGACGACGCACTGGAGTGAGGGTATGCACATCTTCTCAATGATAACAGCGATAAACTCTTATATTTAATTTCATAGTTCAATTTGGGCATAGAGTCTCTTGACTCCTATTTCGATGACACCATTGCATCTCAGGTATTGTGTCCTGTACTTCAACCTTACGCCAAGTAGTCCGAGCTGAGCTGGGCATATTCATACTAAGCATTACTCCTCCGCAACCAAATTCTGTCCATCCCGTAGGCCCTCAACTACCAGCTCGTGACCCTCCGCTCGCCTGTAGATGTCCTTGATATCGTCTATGAGACGCGTTAGCGACTTGAATCGTTGAGATGCTCTAACAATGATACATACCTGTGGTCGTCTCAAAGTGGCTGGTGGCGTCATAGCTCTTTGAGAGGAAAATGCTGTCGTTGACGCCGCTCTCCAGGGGTTCGTAAAGAGGAATAGGCGGGCCCATGAACTTCTCCTCGATGCGTCCGAGCCTGTCAAGACCGGGCTGGAGCTCGAGATGGTGGTTGCTGTCGCCTTCCGCGATGGTGGAGACAATGGCAATGTAATAGCCCTTGGGGCATACATTGTGGGCCGAGGACACGACAGCAATATAGATGTCTGTGGGCAAATCAGTGAACTGATATCTTGTAGGAAAACGGACTGTCATTACCGTGTTTCCGGCCAACTTGGGATTGTGGGATGATGAGTTGCAGAGAATCGCTATTGTCGGTGCTCGCAACCGGGTGATTGAGAATGCAAATCGCCTTGAGTAGATGGCCAGTGACTGTCGCTTTTCCGGGGAAGTATGACGGGTCTGCAAGGATCTTCTTGCACTTTGTCGTGAACTTCATCCCCTCGCCTTCCTCGCCACGCTCCTTCATGGTGGCTTTGATACCGGCGACCTTGGAGCCGTCGTACAGGATCTCTTCCACTTCGGTGTTGAGCATGTATGTGCCTCCGTAGATAGCAGAAAGACGAGCGAAACCTTGCGGCAGTTCGCCCAAACCGTACAAGGGGTAGATGTACGGAGATTTCCCGTATCTCGCCATCGAGTTGACGTAGAGGCGGATCCTGGAAACAGCATCTTCTGCCATGCCCCTTTCGGTGATGTAGTCGTCGGACTGGTAAAGGGCCATGGAATGGCCGATGAAGTCACGAGTCGTAGCCTCTAACCCGAACTTGTCGAAGACGTCCTTCATCGTGCAGCTTCGGAGGTCCAGCCCTGCTCGGAAATGTTAGATCCTGGGTCTCGAGGAACGAGCTTCCGCCAACCAACCTTTGTGCGTTGCTGGATCATCGTCCTTGTAGCTGCCAACCCATTCGAGAAAGTTGCGGGCGCGACGCTTTTCAAACAGACCCATCAGAGACGACCTGAGAGCCTCGCCGGCGTCCGAGGGCACCTTTGCCACTGTCGCCTTTGCACCACTCCCTTGTTGCACGTAGCTGCCAGCTATTTGCTTGAACTCCAAGTATCTCGTCACATCGGTAGACACCAGAATATTTATCAATTCGCCGTTCGACATGAGGAGCTTTGAGACCAGATCGATGTTCCAGTCGTTCACCCGTCCGTACTTCTTCCATGGCTCCTCGCCCTTGGTGTAGTTCCCGTACTTTTTGAAGAGCTGGGTAGAGTCAGTACACGGTCAGACTCGAGACAGAGGAGAAGTATATACCGATTCTATGTTGATGGAGGCAGATTCGCTGTTGTGAGTTAGCTATGTCTGTAGCCGGGGAGGGGAGCTCTGACCCGCCATAATGGTCGTTTCGGTCAATATGGAGCACCTTCTTTCCCTTGACGCTCAAGACTCTGTGAGATGGGTCAGCTTAGCCTTCCAAGCGGTGGAGTATCACAGGTCGTACCCCGAAAGAACGCATTCGGTGAGACCTGCAACGTCCGGTCAGCTCTCTTTGAGGATGCCTCTGGCGGGGTAGAATCGCACCTGTGCCGAGGACTACAACGTCGTATTCTTGCGCGATCTCGTCAGCCATGGTGAGAGGCAGTCAGATTGAACGGGAGCAGAGAGTGGGCAAAGGTGAGACAGAATGGGACGCAGATCGTGGTGGTTCTTTGATTGTTGCGGTGTGACAAGCAAGCGCGGAGGCTTTGAGAGTTCGCTAGCGGTGGCGCCTGATATCGAAGATCCATGGCTCGACACGGCATTCACCCAATAAATGCTTAAATTGACCCTTCATTTACGTTCTGACTGGGGAACGCGGGGCATAGACAAGGTGGCACACTAAGTCTAGAACAAGCTATCTCGTGTGTACACCTGTCTGCCACTGCTTGGGTTGCTTCAATGTATTTTCAGAAATCTTAAGAAGATAGAAGCTCTTTACCTTGGGCTATATGGAAACTTGTTGAAGCACTTCATGTACACACGGGCAGAGTACTTGATGAGTGTGCCCCTTTTTTCATGCCGTGCGTATGGGGCTAAATTTATTGTAGTGTTTCTATTGTTGGTACATGCATATTCTACAGCTCTACATACAAACCAAAACTCTCTCTCGATTCGACAGACCAACGTCACCGTAGGTTATAATACACTCATTGCCTTGCATGGCTATGAGGCTACTTCTCGAGCTCTGCGATCCTTCCTCGATCGATTCTCGGATGTTTCTGATTCGGGCTGCTCTTCTGCTATCTCAGGCTCAATGGTCTCCGCTTCCGCCTCGGTTTCAGGGGAGTCTGATTCGACCTCGGGCTAAACAGTATTAGCGATGATCAATGATGGAGATTGTACAAGTTGCATACATCATAATCCATCGGAAGATACACTTCCCTGACGGCAGCATTCAAGTCGATCTCTGGATCATTCCGCGCTACCTTCCTCGCCTCCTCCCATGTATACCATCGCTCAGTCAGCGCGTGTCGGATAGCACGCTGGGTAGTCCTGATCTGTGATGATGTGAGCGCGGGCTCCCATAGATTACCAGATGTGACATACCGTCTGGTCTCTCTCGTCCGACTCAAATGCGCCATATCCAATCTTTCTTGTGTCGCGTATGATCTTCTCAGTCGCGAGACGATTACGGTCCTTCACACATACCCACCATAGGCTGTGCAGGTCTTCCCATGACTTTGATCGTAGCTCCTGAACGGTCCACGCTCGCCCTGAAGCATACCATATTAGCATCATTCATTGAACCCAGGTTCAAATCATACCATGCGCCGCATCCTCATCTGGTGTTGCCAAAAGCCGTTTCTCCTTGTTGAAAAAGCCCCAAAGGCCGTGGTTCTCGTCGACAGGTATTTTTGTAGTGAATTTCTCCTTTGGTATTGGAATCGGCAGGTCGTCCACTGTGACGTGCAAAGTCTGTCGCTTCCGGAGTCCAGTAGCCCGCACTTCAGACACCCCACGGTTCTTGTTGTTATCCCGAGCCCATTGCGACGACGAGGTTGAGAATCGGGAGACAGAGGAGCGCGGCGTAGATCGGGCAGTTGGGAGAGAGGGCGCGAGGAAGGAGAGGACCGAATCGGAGCTTGAGAGGCCGCAATTTCGCTTGGGAAAACGGGCCAAAGGCGCGGTGGCCATCTCCGGGATATAGGGTGTTGAATTGGTGGTGATAGACAGCTGGTGTTGACGAGGGCGTTTCACAGAAAAGAGCAGTAGCGCGACCGGCAAATTCCGTGCTTACTCGTTGAAGAACGAAACCGCTCAGCCCCCTCCCTCTCCCCGACTTCCATCTCCAACCCCATCCCAAAAGTGTCCAAACGGGTCGCCAGGCCCGTTATAAACTATACAAAGATGCCGTCCGCCACTGGTTCCAGCGCCGCCGCCTCAAGGAGGGTCATCTGCATCTTCTACTCGCCGCGACTGCACGGTGACACCGCCGACCCTCCATAATTCCTCTTCCTCAAGTTACTCCGCCGAACCCGAGTGCTGGCCCTCGGGAGACAACATCATCACTTCTGGCCAGTTTGTTCCCTCACCTCAAGCGCCGCTCCTTTCATCTCACTCGTTCTCCGCCGCCTCGTCTGCCGCCTTCGACAATCCCACAGACTGGCTCCTCAACCCCACCTCTCAGCCGCCCCCTTTGCCCCCCAATGCCCTTTACGATCTTGATCCAGGATTCAGCCATAGGGCCGACGACTTTTTGCTCGACGACTCCACTTTCTTTAATTTCAGCACTGCCAATACGGGAGATGTGAAAACTATGTCTCAACGTTATGGTGGCTTTTATCCCGATATTAGTCAGGGTAGGTGCATTCTCTCTCCCAAACTAGTCACATTCTAATCATTACGTAGACAGTATATTTGCGCATAACACACAACCCCTCCAACAACCACCTCTCAAGCTCTCGGATAAGCCTGTTACCTCTGGAACCCCCAGTCCCTCGAACTGCGAATCCTCCGCCAATCCCTCCCGCATAGAGAAGCGCAAGCAAAACACACTCGCAGCTCGTCGCTATCGCCAAAAACGGGTTGATCAAATGAAGCAACTCGAGGATGCGCTGAGGGAGACCGAACGCGAGCGCGACGCCCTGAAAGTCCGAGTTGCTAGGCTGGAAGGAGAAACAGAAACTTTGAAGCAGATGCTCGAGAATCGGCGGTAGTTGGAATCACTGCTTTGCGCGTCATTCTTTTGCAACGTGCCTCTTTTGCAATATGCTTCTGTTTCCAATGGTTTGGTCTGGTCGAGCTTTTTTCAAAGACGTCTCGATCTCAGGCAAGTTCTTCATGATTACCACTAGACATCTTAGGGGGATTCACGCGCCTTGGCTCTTTTGTGTTTTTTGATCCTAAATGCGGTCAATCGTTGCCTCAGTTACTCGAATCTATTTTCTTTGTTGATGACCATTTCCAGTCGCATGGCAAATTCCGCTGCATAGCACATCCGTAATGAGTGAGTTCGAGATGCACGTGAACTATGAATGCAGTGTCTAGAAATCCTGACTGAAATGAGAGAGGAGCAAGCCTACAGAAGCGCAAGTATTCACTGGTCATGCACTATAAAGCCGGATAAGTAACCATTAGTTGTACTTGTAGATGCTGCATGGATTTTGTAGTTGATAAGAACTTATATATCTGCTAGAGATACTTTCCACTGTTTTGAGTCCGAGAAAATGGTTGAAACGCGAGGCTAGAGTAGGTAGCTACATAGACGTCCCGAGTGAATGTTACATGCTTTATCAAGGGCACGCCTTAGGCACGTGTGCCAAGCGAGAAAGCGGGCCTGCCCAGCACCCCAGACCAGGGCTCGTCGATCATCCATGGAACCTCACCTGGACAGCTCAACTGCATACTTTCTCGACTACCCCCCCCAGAAAACACCTTTCCTCGCCATTCCTGCGACCTGCAACTGGTGAAGCCCGTTCCTGCATTGGCAGAATATGAATCGTCCAGGTCAGTTCCCCTCAACCTTATATCACGTCGCCAGCCCGCATGGTCCTCCGAAGTCGAAGACACCGTTTCGCCCTGGTCTGTCGAATATTGTGGAAAGGAATGTGCGTAGTCGAACTAGGAGATTGGAAGAGTTGGGATTTGCGATTACGATTTTCGATATTGCAGCCCACCGTAATGCGATCCATCAACCTACGTCAAACGCCCGTCTTTCCCGACATTGACTCCCACGACCGTGCCGCGCAGAAGTTGCCATCGGAATAGCAGGACATAGCTAACGCGGACGTCCGACAGGTCCTGGCCCTCAGTCTCTACGAACAATTCCGTCCGGCATGTTCCAAAACCAGCAAGCACCCGCAGCGCGCGGAACACCACTGGCGACGGGAAGACTGCAGAATGGGAAGATCGGTACGGATGGCTGTCTGAAATGCGTATACTTGTTGTCTGGAGCTGACTGAGGTGTTGTTTCTAGGCAGTGGAACTCAATGGGGGTTTGGAGGACCGATGGGAGGTGCACCGGGCCTTGCGACAGCGCAAGCAAGAACAAACGGCGGTGGCCTGTCCAGCTTCGCGCAGACAATAGGAAGCTCACAACCACACACTCCGTTGGATCCATCGTAAGTTCCGCCGCAGATCCTTGATTGCTTCTATTCCCTTCTGCCTACCCTTCGGCTGCGCTTCACTCGCAAACACAACATTCAGACTACTGTCGTTCCACTTGCGAATACAGCAGCTTTCAAGCCCACCATGCCGTTTGAAGAAGACGTAGACGAGCAACAGTTACTAAATCTGTCTGATTCTAGGGAATTCCCATCGCTCTCCGGTGCCCCACAAGCACAGCAGAACACCTCCGCCCAACAGATCTGGGCTCGCCAGAACATACAAGCGCAGCACTCCACCATCCAACGACCGCAAGGTCAGAACCCACCGCAAGGCCAAGCCGCTCAACCTTCGAATCAGCAGCACCAACAGCTTCAGACCCCGATACACGAAGATGGAGCGGTCTCTGCCCAAGGACAATATCCGAGCGGGGGAGATGATTACCGATTTGGCGGGCAAGCAGGCGTGGGACAACTCTCCGGTACGACGCAGCCCCAGACCGGAAACATTGAGGAGTTCCCTCCACTAGGCGGTGCCGGGGGAGAAGCGGGACCAGACAGACGGACAGGGATGATACAGAATGCGGCGTACGGCAACACAAACACTGGTGCCTTCCCCGGCTTAGGCCAGACTAGGAACGGTCTATCGAGTCCAACAGACGGCCAACAAGACCGGTCAATAGGAACAGCAGTTGGCGATAGAAGCATGCATGCTGGTGGAGCAGGCGGGGGAGGTAAGTCATGCGCTGCAGCAATCTAATGGAAATGTCCTAATTCGATCATCTTTAGTCGCGCGCACTCAGTACAATAGTCTGCAAGGGGCTTTCCAAGATACAGACAGAAACGTAAGCCAAACATCCATTCACCATTTTTGAGGAACGAGCTAAAACTATGCAGGGACTCGCTAGGGGCGCGCAAGGACTAGGCAACAACATGTCCTTGATCGGCTCACAGTTACCCATGAGATCAGGAAGCATTGCAGGACAGGCCCAGCGGACACAGCAGACCCAGTGGGATCAGAGCTTCGGCTCAGACGCCGTTCAGTCTCCGAGCCAGCAGGTACCGCAGCACAAGCGTTTGTCCGAGATGAACGAGAAGGAACGCTTCGGTCTTCCGGGGCTATTAGCCATGATTCCACTCGAAAGCCCCGATCATTCTACCCTTGCCGTTGGACAGGACCTCACAGTCTTGGGCCTCGACCTAAGCCGGCCTGAGTAAGTTTCATGGAAAACGTTATGTCAATATGCTTACGCTATAGCAGCGGCTCTCCTCTACATCCCACATTCGGCTCCCCCTTCGTCGAATCGATGTCCAAGCCGGTCATTCCACCAGACTTCACTCTACCTGCTGCATATACGGTCACGAATGTGCCGGAATTGCACACCAAGATGAGCAGCTTCTCCACGGAGACTCTGCTTGCAATCTTCTACCAGTATCCGAGAGACATCATGCAGGAGATTGCTGCGGGCGAGTTGTATGCGATCCATCTCCTTGCCAACATGTTTTCAAGAAGCTGACCGACATTACAGATACCAACGCGACTGGCGGTGGCACAAGGTCCTGCAGCAGTGGATGATGAAGGACCCTGAGCTGCCGCAGCCAATCCGCATCTCGCAGCGAGAGGAGCGTGGTTGGTACCTCTTCTTCGACGTGATGAACTGGCGACGGGAGCGGGTACGTTCGAAATCCTTACCCACCAAAAAGGGCACTCGTCACTGACCGCGTTAACAGAAGGAATACGACCTCAACTACGACGACCTGGACCAGCGCCACGGCCCGGCGCTGGCTGCCAATCCTCTGTAGACATCTGTCGACGGAAGCTGGATGGGGTGTTATGGGGTGCCTGTTGCTATTACTGCGATGGGAGTAAAAGGTGCGGGTTCTCTCAAATGGGATGTGGCCCCGGGACTTGGCTCGGGACTATCTATGTACACTCTGGGCTGGGCTACTACTTCTGCCGGGCCCTTGATGGCAATGGAAAACGGGCTCCCTTATAGGGAACCCTTTACTTTGACTTTGGATACTGTGTCTGTTTTTGATGTGATTGGTTTTGCGATATGATGTTTGCGATGAGATTGATGGACGGTGGTGCACTACTGAGATGGTCCAAGCGCATGCATCCACAAGACCTTTTCTCCCCGACTACATTTCGTTCATAATCCGCATTCCATCACCTCTACCACAACGACAAACTTTCTTCGTCCAGTTTTTTTTCCCCATTGCACGCTTCATCGCAGCAGCACGTGCTCGAGACGGAGGATGGCAAAGGCAGGTGCCCCGACAGGCGTTTGAAACTCGGAATACGATGCAAAAGTCAACACAGTGAAAGTTAGACTACCCTTTGACTAATTGAAGACATGCTAGTTGGGCTATGTACTCCTTACAGTGATGTCGAGAGAACAGGAGCGAAGCTGGAGCAGTGTTATATCCGTGTGCCCAATTCGATGACCTAGTACTGTAAATGTCAGGTTTATCCATTCATATTCAGCGCTATCCCACGATGTGGAATTGCCCATCACTCTCATCGCGAACCTCTCAGAGGCTTACCTGTCCGTCATTAATTTTATAACTATTGCTCCTAGAGTCCTTGAAAGACTGTTTCTATTTCCTCTTGGGTCTTGAGCCATGGCCGGTCCTTCGTCAAGTGATGAGACTAAAGAGGATGATCACTCTGACAGCGAAGGCCAAGACAGTGGACATCAAGGTAGTATTTATCTAGCCATCGTCACGTCCATGTTCTTAAGTTTCGTACTGCGCTGGTGGCGTTGGTGGCTACTGGCTGCAGATGCGCATCAAGACATAAAAGTTGCCGGATGGATGAATCTGGGTCTTGGATTGAGCATTCCGTGGACTTCAATGTCTCTAATACTCCCTTTCCCCAATCATCCATCACATTTGGACTTTTCTCTACGGACCTAAAATTTGCTGCTCTATCCCACACGATATCTTACCCACTGCTGTAGTCTCATTATCTTTTCCTGTGGTGATGATGCCGTCGAATGGCAGCAAGTATGCAAGCAATTGACGGACAATTGAAGAGGCAATCTTTGTTCCAGAATCACAATCGAGCACCTAAGCCTAAGGATGAGCAGGATGAGTAATATGAGAACCAAAAGCTAGTATAGTGCTCGTCCGTACGTATCGCATGCTCTGATCTGGCAGTCGCCGTCTTCGGTAAGGAGCCAGGTGTACTTTCATACGTCTCAGATATCTAGTGCCCGACCGATAAGCTCTTCCTATTCTCCTCGTAACAGTCACTATTCAGGCTATTGTTCTAAGTGAGGTCTGAGCAGGTAGCCGCCCCGTATCATCCCGTCTCTCGTGGGCCATATAATCCTCATTCATCACCACCCTAATCCCTTCCTCCTCCGCTACGTGACACTTTCTGCACCGTCTTGACCTGATCACATTCAACACCACTGGTAAGCAATCGTACTACCTATCTTCATCGCCAATAGTGGCCCCGTCAATAGTGGCCCTCTTCACCTCCTCACTCACTTTGGAATCTGGTTTCTTCTTTGCCTTGCTCCGACTCTCCCCTCTTCGTCACATCCGTCCTGTTTGCTTTCACACGAGCCTCTCCTTCTGAGCGCTTGAGACTCCGTTGGAACTAAGCCAGCCACTAATCTCTTTCTTTCAGATCTTTCTAAGTGTGCTCACATCACTCCAACCTACCCTAAAACCATAGTCCGCCAGAGCCGATATGCTACCCGCCCATCGTGACCATTCCATCAAAACGCAGAGCGCGATGCCCTCAAGACATCACGGTAGCCTCTGGAGCGCTGGCCCAACGGGTGCTCATGTGGAGGCCTCTCAGCATGGTGGAAACAACTACGTCTCTAAAGCCGACTTTCACGCTTTGCAGCTAAGAGTTTTGGCTCTTGAAGCGAAGATGGGTGTCGGTAAGTCAACTCAAGCCGATTGGACCGGTATTTCAGACAAGCTAACAGTGAGCCAGTGACCGATTCACCGGCCAGCTCTGCTACACTCGACGGTGTCGACGTCGTCGAAGTTATTGAAGCCTTGAACATCAACGGGAAGTCAGAAAAGCCTGATCCAGTCACAGTCAGCGTGCCGCCACACCTGCGAGGTAAACGCGTCGATCCAGAGCCACCTAAAAAGGCGGCGCCTTTGGAGGGAAAGGAGAAGGAAACAGTCATGCCTTCCAAGGAAGACATCTACACCCAATTCTCCCACAAGCTGCCGATGTTCATCCGTAACCTGACTCCGCTACCGGACTCCAACATCAATATCATTCCGCCCACGACCACGACCAAGACCATGACCTTCACCCTTGACTTCATCCGCAGCTTCTTGGGCGGTATCGAATGGTCCCCAGGTCTCTTCTATGTTCCTCCGAGCCACGGTCGTAGCGTGCTTCCAACTCGCACCTTCTACTTGCTCGACGGCACCTATCAACCATACCTTCCTGTTGGTCCAGGCGCTCACGGCGCCATCTTGACGGCCTTCTTCAACGAAAACCCGGAAGAGTACGATGGCGATGAAGCCGGCGCTGCCTACGAGAACGTCCCCGTCTTCATCTGCAACTCCCAGTATACCAAGCAGATCGAGTACCCCTTTCAGCAAGAGCTGAACGGCGCCACCCCTCCTGGCCGCGAGGGAAAACATCTCCAGACACGCTACACGTACTATGGCACCTACTCCCAATCCCGCTGGTCCGACAAGCTGGACTATGATCGCTTGCAGGAAGATGTTCCCCATAGCACGAAGATGCACATCGCAGAGACTCTGTCGGAGGTTGGTCGTCCAGAGTGGGTCACTGAGGCTCTGATGAAGCATTTCTTCCCCAAGCCGGAGTACGAGGTACGTTACTCCCTTCCATTCCTTTGGCTTTCAGCCTCAATCATCCCCCAGAATCTTACTAACACTCCTCCTCCACAGGGCCGTCTCCCGAAAGGCGGCAAAATCGGCGGTGCAGCCGGAAACCTCGGTGCCCGCACCAACATCACCGAAGAAAGCGAGGAGGAGGCCGTGCAGACCCAGATTGAGCACGATATCGCGTCCTACCTGCGCAAGCTAGAGACCTGGGATAAGGACTCGCGGATGAAGATCAAGCTGCTGAAGAAGGAGAACATCCTTGAGGCGTTTGAGAAGGTACGATACTCCACGCTTTTGTGAATCGAGTTGTGGGGATGTATGCTAATGAATATGCAGCCGGACGTTGATGACCCGCCGGGCCTGAGGTTGTTCTGGGAGTACCTCGAGTGCGTGGGCTGGGATAAGGGCTTCTACAATACCATGGTTGAGCAGATGCTCAAGTCGGCTTCGCGCTGATTTGAGACGGCTTGATGGGCTGCGCCTGATGGTGGGTAGTGGATTGGACTTGATTTTGGGGTTGATCTTGATTTCCTATTTATCTTGGCTTTATTGGGAATTTGGAGTTGAAGGCGTTGGGTATTTCACTGGAGAATGGCTACGGGATCTGGTGCTGCGGCCATAGTGGGACTATGCTTTTGGATTTGATTCTGCTGGGGATTACTTGGATATGTCGATGGTACCTAGGCAGATCTTCTTATGGTAGTGGAATCTAAAAGCTAGTTTGCGAGATGTCGCTGTGAATTGCGTGGATGTGTGATGGGGGTTTCTGGCCATCTACCGCTATCGGAGGTGCCTCGTGGCGTCATGGTATATTCGAATAAAATGTACGCTCACGACACCTTGGATCGGAACACTCAGATCATTGCTTTTCCTTCGCGTTCCTCCTGTTTGAGGTTCCCTGACTTGCTATCAAATCTCACGCGAGATATCAGTCTCTGCACCCTCTAAATTAGATTGTCGTCCACCTCAAGGGCTTTCCCAAAGCTACTATCAAGTCCCCCTCGAGGCATCATGAAATCTTGCACTTGAATGTCATATCTCAGGACTTACAAATCGCGTCTTAGTGACTGGTTACTTTTCCCTCGCGCTACCGCCGTCAAGCGTCTACTACCGCACTCTAATGTTCTACGTGCAAATATCACATCCACCCGCCCCATTCTACCCAACCAAACCCACCACCCTCTTCACCACCTCCCTCACCCCTCCCACTTTCTCCTCATTCAACTTTCCCCCTTCACCCTGCGTCTGCCATCCGCTCTCGAATGCTTTGAGAGCGCCCTTTACAGCGGTGTCGTTCCACTTCCCGGCTACCGTCACATACTCAAAAAACACCTCCCACCGCGGGGCATAATACCCGCCCACCAACCCGCCCCAGCCTTTACTTGCATAATCCGCAATCTCCCCACCCGGCCCCCACCACGTGATCTGATTCCTCGCATCGTAATCAAAGAACGCTGCCTCAGCCGTGTCATTGCCGGCCCAGGACTGCGCAGAATTGAGCCAAGTGCTGAGCGAGAACTGGGGCAGGGTAGACAGGAGCGCGTCGAGGGTGTGCAGCACTGTCAGCATTTCGTCTTTCTTCTCGAGCAGGGTGGCGTAGACGGTGGGGCTGTTGGAGGCGTTGAAGGTGTGGTACGCGGTTATGGCGTCGGTGTAGAGAGAGAGGAAGCGGTTCGCGAGGACTTGGCGGGTGATGTCGACTGCGTCGTGTTGGTAGGCTGGGTTTGCCCAAAGGGCGGGGGAGGAGTGGGAGGCGGCGAGGTAGTGCTTCCACGCTACGATGAGGGTGTCAGGGGCGTAGTTCAGCGCCGTGGGGTGGTGACCCACCCGATTCACGAGCCCGGTGATGTTGGGGGAGAGCTCGAGGATGGACTTGGGGACCGCGTTCGAGGTGAGGTTCATGTTGTTGTATACGCTTGTGCGCAGGATATCCCATGCTGTTTCTAGGTCGCGCGGGACTTTGGCGGGACCATAACGTGCCTGTACCCAGTCCTGGAAATACTTTTTCGTGGATATAGGGCTTGCATCCCAGGCTTGAGCGAGCAGGAGATCATACACGATCTCGTTCCCTTCCTGCCCTTCAGGAGTCAGGCCGAAGCCAATCGGCGGCGTCTCTGAGTGCAGTGAGGCAATGGCATCGACGGTGATGTTCTCGACTTGGCCGTACAGTCCCATGTTGGCCCCGTAGTTGTGCAGCTGGCACCAGATCCAGGGTTTGCCGAAATACCCTTTCGTGCGCTGCCACTGGGGCTGGCTCTCGGAAAAGAGGTCCAAGACGAGCATGTCTTCATCTTTTTCGACGCCAGAAAGGTAGGCCTTGACGCGTTCCTCGGTCCAGAAGTCTATGTTGCTGTAGAAGAGCCAGCCTTGCATAACCCAGACCGCACTGGGATCGGCGGCCTTGAGGCCTTTCCAGGTATTCAGCGTCGTGTTTTTGAGGTAAGAGAGGTCGCCAGATTGAGGGTCGTTCTCGTTGTGTTGGTCTAGCGTCCAGAAGCGTGTGATGTTGCCGTAGGCTTCAACTTGCTTGTGGATGTAGAGCTCTTGCATCTTGGCGAAGAGAGGGTCGAAAGGCTCGAGAAAGGTCACATTAGTGTAGTCTGCGTCGAACCCTTCCCACGCGGATCCGTTTATGACGGAGGCGTTGGGGTAGACTGCAGGGAAAGCCCTTGGCACGAAACCGGTGAAGGCGGGAAGGATGGGAACCATTCCGAGATCTGTCATGCGGACTAGGATTTTCTTTTGAAGATCGAATTGGCTAGAGATCCAGGACGACGGCAGCTCGCCGCCCCAAGAATCTTGGACGTTTCCGAAACGGTTCCAGGCCTGGAATGCGGGTCCGCTAAGGAACGAGGTTATTTTAGTGTCGGAGAGGCCCATCTCTTGAAAAACTTCCACGAGGAGCTTTTCAGCGCCTACCCAGGCTAAGGGGAGATTGATGCCGCGTAACGCCATCCAATCGAGTTCGAGTTCCCAGTCTTCCCAGGTCCAGAAGGCGGCGGTGTACGAGAAAGTGACGGTGTTGAAATGATACCGCCACGGAACGATGCTGGAGCCGGAAGTAGTGGTCTTCGGACGGGGGAGATGTTTGGCAGCTTGATCCAGGCGACTGCCAATGAACCAATGGATATCGACACGAGCGAAGTCGGTAAGATAGCGATGCAAGCCTGTGGCAAGTCCACTCAAGGAGTTACCAGTGATTGCAATTGTGCCATTCTCAGTCGTCGAAATACTGTAGGTGTCGTTGAGAAAACGGGTATCATGTCCTCCAGATCGATAGCCATCATCAAGGGAAAATGAGAAGTCGTTTGCATGGCCAGGTAGTCGGCGCTCGATTAGATCATATAATCCCTTGGTGGAAAGCGCCGCGACGGTCCCGACCCATAGGAGAAGAGTACTGAAAAGCATTTTGTCGCTTAAATGCTCGAACCCGGCTTGACGAGAGGAAGGAGAAAAAGGAAACTCGTATATGAGTCTGGGAGAGGTTGTAAGCTGGTGTTGCAGTGTTCCTGTAGATAGGCGGGTTGCAGGGCTGTAGCTTGTTTAGCAGCGTAACGGTACCAATCAGTTGCGGGGCTGGTGTAGATCCTGAATCCTATGAGCTTGAAAACGTGATGAGGTCATTGGCCCTCGATGCTATCAGTGTGACTTTTTACCTGTGCGATATAAAATCATATTACATGCTGCCCTCTACTTACTAATGGCATTCATCGCTAGTGGCATTAGGACATGCGTCACGGCTGTTGTGGACGTGTAGTAGCTACTACCTGTCAAGTCGTGCTACCTTTGTAACGACGCGTTGTTCTATTCGAATGCTGCATGTTTGACAATCGTTGTTTGTACAGGTGTTGTACAGGTAACGAGAAATGAATCGTGTTCGCCGTCGTTAGAATGGTTGTGCGGCCTGTCATCTTTTTCATTTTCAATGTTCAACCCTCGAACCCGGCAAAGTGTCTACCCATAACCTCGAGGCGGATCTGGTCGGGCTAGACTCCGCTGTATGGCGATCTCGCTAGAAGATCGAGGAGCCTGTCGCGGTTGAGGATATGAAAGCGAGGATGGTACCTGGCCAGGGACCCAGTCACCTAGTGGACTGTCCAGAAAACGCAGCTTTTGGATGAGGCGAAGCACGCGGGTGACCAAATGGCCTCATCGAGTCTCTCAAGGGGAGGAAGCAGTGACATATGGAAGTGAATGAACGACATCGAAGATGAAATGGAGCTCGATCCGCTGAAATTCGACGGCGATAGGATCGGGACGAGATCGAGACGGTGACAGGAGACAGTGGCCTCATGAATGCATAAGTAATGATTACTGTATCGAATAGAATAATAGACGCAGACCAGGGGGACAAACCCGGCACAGTTTTCAGTCTTTGGGCTGTCCTGTCGTCTTACCAAATGGATTGCGGTTTTCACGTCGAAAGCCCGTTCAATTGAAGGGGCGGCAGCTTCTGGGTTCGCAAGCGGATCGGGTCTGTATGGCATTCTCAAAGGCGCTTGCACAAGCTTCATCGCTGTATCTCAGGAACTCGACCGGGCCCCGCTACGGTACCTGGGCCATGGCTTCCTTCGACGTCGCCTCGGTCAGCCGGCGGGCGTTGGAGGTCCGGTGGCTGAAGCTGCCCAACACGATGCATCGCGGCCGTCTGGATCCGGTGTCGAGTGCGTGAGGCCCAACTACTCGGGGAATGAGGAGGCAGCAACTGGCACAGGCGGTCCCCAACACGGCGGCGGGCGGTATCGCCAGATGCCGGCGTGGCGGTCCCGTGGTGTTGTCGACGTCTGGGAGACGCCGACTCTTCGTGCTATGTGTGCTCCTTCACCCCTCCACGTGCCCCCTCAATTCACCCGCCTGGCCGTCCCGACTCCCCGGCCATCGTCAACTCCACCTGCCATCGCAGCCCACGCGGTCCAGACCTCCAACCTCAATATCGCTGCACCCGCTGCTGCCTCGACGCGGGCACCGGTCCCATAAATCCCCATCCCGCCGTGCCCAACCGCGGCGTGGTCTTTCTGCGCTGGCTGCGGGCCGGCTAAAGTCGCCCTCCAGCCCGCATCCACTCCCGGAGATTTGGAAACAGACACGCTCTTCCAGTCACGAGTCGCCGGCGCGCTGCCGACAAGAATGTGGATGCGCGTGCGGGACGACACACCTATGTGCCCCAAGCCACCCTCCTCCTAAACACACAACACTGCCACCCTTCACCGCAGCGGATGGCCCTTCACCGCACCCTTCTCCGCACTCCCCAACGTCCTACCCTGGAGCCCATGGTCTTTAACCGCCCTCAACGACACCCAAGCTAGCTCTCTGCCTATCCCAATGGCGTCCTCAGACTCGACCACCTCTGCTGGCTCCCCGCCGACCTCCAGCTACAACCCTCCCTCCCCGCCAAACCCCTCCGCGGACCAAGGCGTCATACCTCATATCCATTCCCCCAACAAAGATGCTCCCTCTCCGCCTGCCGACGGGGACTGGCTTGTCTCGGACATTTCTCCGGAGACGGCCATGAAGATGCTGTGGCGGGCTGTTAATGCGTTGGCGAATGCAACTGGCGAGGTGCCTCCAACTCCCCCCATCAGCCGTCCTGCGACTCCAGGTGGATTTCACCGGGACAGCTTGAAGGAGAATTTCCGCCATCACCACAGACGCACCTCCTCCCGCCCCGCTACCCCAGTCCCGTCGGATGATCTCAAAGGGCCCAAGTTCAAGAATGTCGAGCTTGGGAGCCCAGAGGCCTCCATGGCCGAACCCTCGGCCGCAGATGTCGGGGCGAATGCGGAGCCCTACCATGTGCAGCAAGAGGCCATTGCCCGCAAGTTCTTCTCGAGACGAGCCCCTGGAGTCACTCTCGAAGAGTACCTTAACCGCCTCCAGCGATACTGTCCAATGTCCGCAGCCGTCTACCTTGCTGCCGGCACATACATTCACAAGCTGGCTGTGGAGGATAAGCTAGTCGTTGTGACAGGCAGGACAGTACACCGATTGGTTCTCGGGAGTCTACGTGTCGCGATGAAGGCCCTCGAGGACTTGAGATACCCTCAAAAGCGGTTTGCGGGGGTGGGTGGGGTCAGCGAGAACGAGCTGAAGGCGCTCGAGATCAGTATTTGCTACTTGATCGACTTCGACCTCCAGGTCACTGCGGAGTCGCTTTACCAGAAGACGATGTTGTTCCAGCGGGCCGCAGCTGCTGCCAGTGTATGCACAAAGCTCCCGGCCTCATTCCAACTCCAACCACGCATACCCCTGCGTGCGAGGAACGCCGTGGTGTCGACGTGAATTTTAGTTCCGTCACCGCAACATCCTGGTATCATTCCTTATGCGCATTTCGTTCCCAGCCGGCGAGAATCGAGGAGTTTGGTTCTTGGAGACTGGCGACTACCCCTGGCGTTTTGTCCATGTTTGTTGGATCGAAAAAAAAACAGGCACTTATCAGCCTTTCGGCCTCTCAGCCTATTCTCTTCGCGCGGAGCAGCCTTCGCCATGATTGTACACTACTCAACGACGTGAATTGTATATAGTTAACCCTAATCGAGAACGCTGCTACAGATGTTCTTTTCACGTACTGAGGCTCCGTTGAGACGAACATTTTAGTGATGCTCGGTATCTAGTCACCCCTCTATTCACTAGATTTCTGTCTCAAGTGACCTAGCATTTCCAATATTCCACTGCTCAACGCTAAACACCTTGTGACGCACCTCAGTTATTTATAACCACGTCTGATCGGGAGGGGCGACCGCCACACGACGCTAATGCGCATCCGGCACGGCGGAACTAAATTCCGTCCGCCAAGGCTGCTGGGACTGTGGAATTCACGGCCGACGGACAACTGAAACACCACCTCATCGCTCACCACCACGCTCGTTACTGCCAAGCGCCCGAGTATTCACCCTCATCTCGAACGAAAGATACCATCGCCCTGACATCTTCCCACCCCGCACTCGCTCCGCCATGCAATTCCGGCTACTCGCCCTCCTGGCGGTGCTTGCCCCCTTCACCCTCGCCGACATCCAGTTCACAAGTCCGAAAGCTGGTGATTCCATGCCAGGCGGAGGATCCATAACGGTGGAATGGAAGGATTCTGGCGAATCGCCGGCGATAGCGGATCTCAAGAGCTACCAGCTCTTCCTTTGCGCAGGTGGAAACGACGATGCCACGATTGTAAGGATGAAAGCGGACAAGAAGATGCAAAACTAACGGACACTCTGCTTTAGTTGCAACTCACTGCTATCACAACCTCGGGGACATTTACGGCCGGAAACAAGGCGATTGGAACGGTCGGAATCGGCGTTGGGGCGAGCACCATCAAGAACGCCTAGTACGTCTCTCTACCCCTCGATATGGACTCCTGAAATACCAGCTTTGAGTTCTTTGGACGAACAGAGACTGACCATATGAACAGCTTCTTCAAAATGATCTCTGTCGCCACCGAAGGAGGACAAGTGATTAACTACTCCGACCGCTTTTCCCTCACTGGAATGACAGGCACCTTCCCACCCGCCTACGCCGCCGCTGCCCAAGCTGTGACTGGAACCGATGGTCCACCCACCGTCAACCAAGTCGCTGATGCTGCCAATCCCGCCCAGCCAGCCGATCCTGCCGCATACAATGTCCCTTATACCCTGCAGACTGGCTTGACCAAGTTTGCGCCTATGCAGCCGGTTCCTCCCACGAGCATCACGAAGAAGAGCGCCACGCCGCAATACCCCACGAGCGCTGTGACGTTTGCGAAAACATTCTTGCCTACCCCGAAGCAGGTCACGACGCAAACGTTGAGCCAGACGTTCAGCGTGAAGAGCATGGAGAACTCGGTACGTTTTGCATACTCATCCTCATCTGCACATGTGCTGTTGCGAATGCGGACTAACATGACTTTTACAGGCACCCGCTGCGCCCATGCCCTCAGATGACATGGCCAAGTTCCTCCGCCGATGGAAGGACTAAGTGTCTTTCCATACTTCATTCCGCATTCGTTCCATGGCTTGCTCTCACGTTCGCAAACTTTTATCTGCAATCAATCACTGGGGATTATCTCATCATCTATATACCTTCTTGGGGTTTGGAAGTGATCACGGGCTCCACTCGCATATCGGCGCAGGCGTCTATGACGGCTTTCTGGGTGGCATCATGGTGATAGGTCAGGTTGTTAGAATCCCTGCATGCGAGGGATGGCGCATTCTAGGGTATGTCTAATTGATGTAGAGGAGCATTGAATGGGATTGGAATAATGTCATTTTCTTTCTTTGATGAGTGCGAGTTTGCGTTGGTGTACTGTCAGGATGTAGGATCTCGATAGCTAACGCTGCCTCTGGCTCTGGAAACATTGGCTACCGGCTGAGGCGTTGCTGCGCTGCGGGCGTAAGGACGATTAACCTAGTACGAGTACATGCTTGAGTACCTAGTCGAGGTGGATGAAGTCGCTGCCCAGCATTGGACGACGAAGGCATCGGACTTTAGGAAAGTGTACGAGTTGATCCTGGCCAATCCCGGCGTCTGCAGTTCGGGTTGACAGTCTTGAAGAATTTAAGGAGTTGGAACAACCGAAAAAATTGTAGTCGCACGTCGTCCCACTTGCATGTTTAAAAATGTGGTAGTACTACATCTCACTATCGACGTTTGCATGAGTGATGAGAAGTATCCAATGCAGAATCTGGTAGGTGCAGAATCTTAGGCTATTTGTTCAGGATGGAGTCCCACGAAAGAGCGTTTCTTAAACGGAAAAGAAGTGTGGACGGAAGCGCAACTAATGGACAACTGTATGGAGAGACGATGGGCAGTTTCTGTGACCTTTGTGCTGGTAAATCCCTATCTAAGGAACCACTCGTTGGGGAATTTGGAGTGGGATATGACTCTTTAAGTACCGACCGTCTTTTGCAGCAAAGGAGACTAGATTGTTATAAGTGTATTTCACTGAAGCAGATCCTAGAGAGTTTTCACCCAGATATAGCACTGATAAGAGAGCCACCAGATCTCCAGGTTTTTACACACGGTCGATCTGAGTCAGAGAAAGAATATAAACTTCATTTCAAATTGGAAGAAGAATACCACTTGGGAATGGATTCGATTCTAGTTATTGCAGGCAGAGATTGGGCAGATGCTGGGAGCTACCGGAGGCCCGGACGCTTTCCGGATCGCTAGGTCGTGGTTGAACAGTTGTGTACAGAGTCATTCACGTTGTCGATATCCAGACGGAGATGAGGACACGACACTCCTACCGACCCGTGAGCAGGATATTGGAAACGGAACGTATCATATACAGCTACACGAGGCAACACCCGGTGAGCGCGGCATATATGCTTGCCTTAGCCACTGTTGGGGAGTGACGAAGACTTTGCAAACAACCAAATGTTCGGTCAAGGTCATGATGCAGTCCATCCCTTGGTCGCTTCAAGATGCCATTACTGTAGCTCAGGCTTTGGATATCAGGTACCTCTAGATTGATAGTCTTTGTATCGTTCAATACGATTTGAAAGAGTAGGAGAGAGAAGCAAAACTTATAGCTGGCATTTGACAGGGTAATTTTCTTACAATTGCCGCCACGCGGGCAACGGGAGATGCTAACGGCATGTTTGTATCCACTCGTAACACCTTCGAAGGGTTCGACGAGAATAGATCACGTTTTCGGGTCCAGGTTTAGTGGGATGTCAATCACCGGGAACCAGACTTGAGGTTCGAGCCTTTACTTTCACGAGGATGGGTATATCAGGAAATGGCACTGTCACGGTGCGTTCTACACTTCAGTGCGAATGAACTGCGATGGCAATGTAAGCAAGAGGCGTTTTGTGAGTGTGGCGAGGCTTTCACAGGTAGTCTTTTCAACAACCGGGACCCGATGATAAAAGATACTGGAGGCAACAGCTCATTAGCCAATATCGAGGCTCCATCATCAGAATTGAGCCTCCCACAACAGTCTATGGACTGGGCACTGCTGTGGCACAAAGCAGTCGCCGACTACACCGCACTAGACCTGACAAAGGTTTCAGACCGACAATGGGCCATCCTGGGAATTGCGAGTTATTATGAGAAGAGACGGGATTGCAGGTATCTCGCGGGACTCTGGGAAGGAACATTGGTGTTAGACTTGACCGGGTCACTTCGAAACTCTCCGGTCGAAGTCCCGAGGCGATCGAGTTCAGAAATGCTAGCTCCAACGTGGTCTTGGTTTGCAGTTAATCAAGAGTGTGAATACCGGACTCCCATTTCTCTTAAGGAGCCTCGATGCGAAATAGTAGACCTTTGTGCTCCGTATTTGGACAAAACTGGGGTGGATAGGCAGGCTCTGGGTTGCATTACGATTCGTGGGCCGATGATGAAGATGAATTGGTCCACCGCGGATCTTCAGAGAGGTTTCTTGCCAGTTAAATGCGAGGAGGTTCCCGATTACGAATGGTTTGCAGATCAGGCCTTGTTAGATAGAGAAAGAGGGCCATGGGAGGGACCACCGAGCTTGTGGGAGGGTGTTCTATTGCGATGTATAGAGAAGCACAGGCAGTACTACGAACGGATTGGATATGTCGATTACTCGGGCTTTCAATACATAGTAAGGCCTAGACTTGATCTACTGGTGGTTACGTGGTGTGTTTTGAAAGATTAAATCTATCGCTGAGAAGATAATATAGGGTATCGTAAGGAAATCCCATGATTCGAACCGTATCTACGATATGTCAACCTCTCGGAGCCGCTCCAAACAATTGCGGACTGCACGCATGGATGTCTCGGTTTCGGGGTGGTCTGTGCGGCTCGTTGCCCTTCGCGACGCCTGGCGACAAACACGAACCGCGAGCTGCGCCCCAGGTACAGCTGCGAACTGCGCGCATCCCCACCCCAAAGACATTGTCTTGCTATCATTCCTAGCGCGCATACTTACCGTACTCGACATTCGAGGATTACCATCTCTTCATCGACGAACATTGTTGCGTGCAATCCACTGAATCGACCGACCCTCTTCCACCCCGTCCTCCCCGCCCATCGCGGCACCCATCGCAATGTCGAGGCCATACACACCGAATGGAAATGCGCCGCCTGGCTATGGGGAACCTCCATCATATCATTCGAATGAAGAGGAGGACTCCACAACGCCTACACACCAGCACAGCGGAGGCGCGACCATGCGATTGTTGACACACGCGGAGGAAAGCGGATACAGATCGTATGTAGCTCCAGATTCTTCTCTCGAGGACCCCGTTCCGTCTCCTACTACTTCTCTCCTCTCCGACTTTCCTAGTACTGTAGCGCAGGTTGGCGATCGTACGGTTTCATCCGGGGAGGCGGGTAAACAAGCTGCAGCTGAGGCCGCAATTGTCGATCTCCTCCGTGAGGCGTCCTCGTCACTTACCCAACCGGTAGCAAAACCGCAAAAAATCAAGAGGAAGTCTCTCAAGGACCGTTTCAGACACCGTTTCTCTCCTAAACCCCAAAACAGTCCCGTAGACTCATTAGATAAACACAGTCCGAGTCCCTTGACGCGCTCATACCACCCCTCCACATCTTCACTACACTCCCACTCGCGAGCGCCCTCTGTTGTCGATAATGCGCCTGAGATACTGCCACCTCAGTCGGAGATTCCGCCTTACATTCCTTACCGCGCGGCGTCGCCTGCAAGATCCCCAACTCGGTCATGGAGTCCATCGAGATCTTCAGCAGATTGGCCACGACCTCCTGCTTCGACTGTATCATACGAGCCGGTGGATATCAATGGAAGCCCAAGACCTGGAACACCTTCGTCGCGATATGGTAGTCCGAAGCGGCCACTGCCTCCGGCACCACTTTTCGCTGGCGGACGTCCTGTGTCGAGAGATTCCAACCTGTCCTCGAACCTGACCTCTGCTCAATCGGCATCCATACCTATTGACGACGATGATGTCTTTTCAGATCCTCCCAATGATCGCCCTGACCTGAACCACCGGGATTCGTTCGCATCTCAGTCTACATTCACCGAGGAATACACCGTTACAGATGAAAAGACGGATCACTATGGACCCGTTCCGGAAGGAGCGCAAGCCAGACGTGGTGCCAGGCACGCTCAAATGGCGAAGAAGGAAGTTCGCCTAATCAACGGCGAGCTGATTCTGGAGTGCAAGATCCCGACCATTCTCTACAGTTTTCTGCCACGGCGGGATGATGTCGAATTTACGCATATGCGATACACCGCTGTGACTTGCGACCCTGATGATTTCGTTACACGTGGATATAAGCTTCGACAAAACATCGACTCTCGAGAAACGGAGCTGTTCATCTGTATCACTATGTACAATGAGAACGAGATTGACTTCACGCGGACTATGCACGGCGTCATGCGCAACATTTCCCATTTCTGCTCGCGTACGAAATCGCGAACCTGGGGCAAAGACGGATGGCAGAAGATCGTGGTCTGCATCATCTCTGATGGTCGTCAGAAGGTTCACCCTCGAACGTTGGATGCATTAGCCGCCATGGGATGCTATCAGGATGGTATCGCCAAAAACAACGTCAACCAGAAAGCGGTCACAGGCCATGTTTACGAATACACCACCCAAGTCTCGCTAGACTCTGATCTAAAATTTAAAGGAGCTGAGAAGGGTATTGTACCGTGCCAGATGATATTCTGCCTCAAGGAAAAGAATGAGAAGAAGCTCAACTCACATCGATGGTTCTTCAACGCATTTGGTCGCGCGCTGAATCCGAACGTCTGCATCTTGCTCGATGTCGGCACGAAACCAGGCCCCAAGGCCCTCTACCATCTATGGAAAGCGTTTGATAACGACTCCAACGTTGCCGGTGCCGCCGGTGAGATCAAGGCTGGCAAAGGCAAAGGATGGCTGGGCTTGTTGAACCCCCTCGTTGCTTCCCAGAACTTCGAATATAAAATGTCGAACATCCTCGACAAGCCGCTAGAGTCAGTGTTTGGCTACATCACGGTGCTTCCTGGTGCACTGTCAGCATATCGATACCACGCACTGCAGAATGACCATACTGGTCATGGCCCACTCAGCCAGTATTTCAAGGGTGAGACATTGCATGGCCAAGATGCCGACGTCTTTACTGCAAACATGTACCTGGCCGAGGATCGGATTCTCTGTTGGGAGTTGGTCGCGAAGAGAAGTGAGCGGTGGGTGTTGAAGTATGTAAAGAGCGCTACGGGAGAGACGGATGTGCCAGGTAAGTCACGGACCCAAAATTCCTATCAACATCTTCCAAGTTTCATTGCTGACATCATCTCAGACACTGTTCCAGAATTCATATCCCAGCGTCGTCGTTGGCTCAATGGTGCTTTCTTTGCCGCCGTCTATTCCCTCCTTCACTTCCGACAAGTCTGGAGTACGGACCACACTCTCTGGCGCAAGATCCTCCTCCACATCGAATTCGTCTACCAATTTGTCTCCCTTCTGTTCACCTACTTCTCTCTCGCCAACTTCTACCTCACCTTCTACTTCATCGCGGGCTCGCTGGCAGATCCTAAACTCGATCCCTTCGGTCATTCCATCGGCAAATACATCTTCGCAATCCTTCGCTACACGACCGTCCTCCTCATCTGCATGCAGTTCATCCTCTCCATGGGTAACCGGCCGCAGGGCGCGAAGAAGATGTTCCTTTCCTCTATGATCGTTTACAGCTGCATCATGGCATATACAACCTTTGCATCTATCTACATTGTGGTCATCCAGCTCAAGGACCCCAAATCTGTCAAAACCCTCGGCAATAACGTCTTTACCAACCTGATCATCTCAACCGCTACCACGATCGGATTGTACTTCCTCATGAGCTTCTTGTATCTGGATCCTTGGCACATGTTTACTTCATCTGGGCAATACTTCGCCCTTCTCCCGAGTTATATCTGCACGCTCCAGGTCTACGCCTTTTGTAATGCTCACGACGTCACCTGGGGCACGAAGGGTGACAACATCCAGATGACCGACTTAGGATCTGCGCGCGGTAAGTCTGGTGGCAACATTGTCGAGCTCGAGATGCCCTCAGAGCAACTCGACATCGACTCCGGCTATGACGAAGCGCTTCGAAATCTCCGTGACCGTATCGAAGTCCCCGTCCCTGGCATCTCCGAGTCTCAGGCGCAAGAGGATTACTACCGTGCCGTCCGGACCTACATGGTCGTTATCTGGATGGTAGCCAACGCGATCCTTGCTATGAGTGTGTCAGAAGCGTATTCTGGCACCACGGTCAAGAACAATTTCTACCTCAAGTTCATCCTGTGGTCTGTCGCTGGCCTCGCGTTCTTCCGAGCGATTGGATCGAGTGCATTCGGCATCATCAACATCATTCACAGCGTTGCCGAGGGACGTCTCAAATGGGGTGATAGGATGAAGGGCAAGACTGGTCTTGGCGGTGGACGGAGGAAGTGGGGTAGCTCAGGAAGCTCCTGGTGGAGTGGGAGCTGGTTGGGGAGCAAGTTGAGCAGCCTCGCGCCGAGTAGTATTGGGAGCTCGCTCGGGAAGAAGTAAGAGCCGTGTTGTTGAACGGGAGAGGGAAGTTTAATGCGGAGGGAGGCGTTCTGGAATATGGAAATGAGTGACGAAGACGGTGTTGTATGATATCCCAGGTAAGAGGCTACCGCTCTTGGGGTTTGTTGTCTGCTAGGCTTTGGGTATTGGCGCTAAAGTGCGGCGCACGGTATTAGTATTGGTACTTTTCTGCCCATCTCAGAGGCGGGAAATTTTAGATATGCAAATGGTTTTGTTCAAGTCACTTCGTTCATCGTCACATCGCGCTTGGTCTTCCAATGTCTGATTGCACTCCATTTATTCTCTATGAATATCTCTTGCTCGAGGGTATCTCGAACACTTCTCAAACTCATCAATGTCCCAAAAGTCAATGGATAATCTGAGTAGGGCTATGCTAAACTTGTGCTCTCTGTCTTAAGAGAAAGTTGAAATATTGAACACTTTCGCTTATAACAAGATCTATCTCGAATTGGAATCGTCGACCGCAAAACAAAAGGGAAACCAGTCATCCACCGCCCAGAACCAGTACGGCCCTACAAAGGCCTGGTCCCCGGCACCTTCCACGTCTCCTCTTTCTTGTCCCACTGGCATTGGACATATTTTTCCCCGTTCCACTCCGGGGACTTCTTCCGATTGCGCTCGGCAATCACCTCCTCGTCGCCGTAGGAGCGGGTTCCGGGCAAGGTCTCCCCGCGCCACGGCCCGAACCTGCTGCCCTGATTGTTGAAGAGTGATGGGCGCGCGGGAATGTGGCTCGTGTCGTAAGTTACGAAGCGCCGCGGGATCCCGCCTTCGGCGAGGAGGGTGCGGGCTTCGGCGGCGCCTCCAGCTAGCTCTTCGATCATTGTGCGAGCTGCCGTGGTTGCGACGAGGCCAAGTGTGGGAGTGAGAGGTGGAATGGTAGAGGTTGAGTTGTGGAAGCGCCGCGGAATCCCTCCTCCGGCGACGAGGGCGCGAGCTTCGGCGGCGTCGGCGGCCAGCTCTTCGAGGAAGGTCCTCGCTGCCTTGGTTCGAGAAGTCGCTCGAGGAGGAGTGGTAGTGGGAATGGTAGGGGCTACGGTAGTTACGGCCTTGTTCAATTGTCTGTCGGCGTGGCGAGTGAGGGTTTCTACGGGGACGTGGTCCTCTACAGTGTCCATTACGTCTTCCGCCTCCTCGTCATCGTCGTAGTCCTGGGCTTTGGTGTAGAATGGAGATGTCTTTTCGGCAGAGCCCTCCTCTACATCCTCCATAGCGTCGTCTGCCTCTTCATCATCGGTACGAGGGCCATGACTCTCGGTGCTGGTGGCAGGTTCCTCGTCCGATTCCTCGGTATCTTCGATTACAACAGGGTTCTTCTTCGAAGCCCCCCTCTCGGCTTTTGTTGAAGACTTGCCTTTCTCCCCATTCGATGCCTTCAGTCGACCCGTTTGACCATCTGGCTGATCCTCGGAACCTGAAATCCAACATAGCGTAGCGTCTGTTGGAGAGAGCGGAGTATATGTTAATACTCTCAGGGCCTCGCGGTAAATCTCAAGGCTCGCGTTCTTTTTCGACTCACTGTTCCCTATCTGCATGGATGTATACTCCAGATTGGCCTGTTCACAACGGGCCTTGACACCTGCTAAGAATGGATCCGTCCAATTCATTGAGATCCCCTTCTTGCTCTGAGCTTCACACAGATCAGCTACTTTCCTGAACTGGGCCGTCTGCTGCCGTTCCCTCTGCTCATTCTTCGTCTCCTTTTCTGCATTTCGTCGCTCTGGGGCGGGGCTGGACTCGTCGCCCAGGACAGGTTTGCCAGATGAAGCCTCGGGTTGCTGGTATGTGTTCTTGCCATGATCTAGGCTAGAGGAGCCTCCTTTCGATTGCTTTCCGACATTGTCCTGAACCTGTTGCGAAGAAAGTGAAATCGGACGACGTGCAAGATCTTTTGGAGAGCGAGGAACATATGAAAGTATTTTCAAGGCTTCCCGGCATATTTCGCGGTTCTTGTGTCCTTTCGGCCTCGCTCCCCTCTTCTCCATTGCCTCCAATTGCTTCTCGTAGGATTCGCAATCGCCCTTGACGTGTGCCCAAAATCGCTCTCTCCAGTCAATCTGGACGTTTTGTTTGTGACGATCCTCGCATACCGCAGCCACCCTCCTGAATATTTCGATTCTCTCTTCCAGCATCCGCTCCTTCTCGATGGTACGCTTGGCAGAGGGTTTTCTTTCTGCGACAGGAGGTGGTGGTTGGCCCTTCGCTTTTGCTGGGGAAGAATTGGGATTGTGTTCAGGTGGTGAAGGTTCAGGAGAGGGGATTGGATCCCTTGTAGCACGGGACGGAGCTGGAGCCCTAGTCTCCTGGGTGCGAGAATATGGGGCTTGGCGCCTTTTGTCCTCCTTGACAAGTGTTCGTTGCTTTGGCATCTTGGTAGAAGGTGGAGGATGGGTATCGGAAATAATGTGCGGTGGTGAAGGTTGGTTTGGATTGGACCGGACTTGTGGGGAAAATGTTGTGGGTGGTGGTGTGGAGTGTGGAGTGGGGACTGCAGGTAGATGATCGAGATTACGAGTTAGAGGAGGGGGTTTATATAGGGGCCCCTGTCCCATGGGGAGGCCTCACCACCCAGTGGAAGCAAATATGTCAGCGTTCCGCTGGACAGGCTTCTACATGTGGGTGAATGTTGACCCAGAAATCATTATATAACGAATGCTTTAGTGGGAGCAGGAAAGTCACCGGCTCCAGCTTATAAGTATATGAATGAAACAATGCTGGTAAGGTTTGTTGGCGTTGGCTTGCTCATTGAATGGATGATCCCAGACAAAACGTTTGCTTTTATGTTGGAGGGGAAAACAGAGATGAGCGTTCGTACTAGCTTCCTTTGATTCGATATTTGCTCAATATCATTTCAACACCCACCTTGGCGAATATTGGGTCCTAGTATAAGCAGTATAGAGCTACAGTGCGACGCCTGATGTCCACGTGATCAAATCCTCCAATAGGTCTTCGGGGTAATTATAGAACGTAATTACTCAAATTTTGTAGGGTCAATGCAAAAAATCTCAACAGGCCTTATCAACGGTCTCATTTATTTTGTGTAGTAAGACTTCCAGAATCATTTTAGAATGTAAGGCCGGATGCATTGAGTTGGGAAGAGTAAGTGTCACTAGAAGCAATTTGTTCTGTAACTTCAGTTCGTTTCATATGTTGCTTGCTGTAGAGTAGTAACTTGATTCTGTGTGACGGCAAAAGGCAAAATGGGCATGAAGCCACGACTAAAACGACCGAAGGAGCTCAAAAACTACTAGGACTCTCTCCGCTCCAGACACGCTCCAGAACCAAGCTCATAGCCCCCATCAAAGCCATTTCTCACCATCCCACTGAGACGATATTTGCCATTAGCCTCGACAATTTCCTCAAAGTAACCAGTCTCCAGAATGAGCACTTCATCGTACGGGTTCTCGCCCCGCCACTGCCCGAATCTGCTGTCGAGCATGTTGAGGGTTTGTTGAGGGGGAATATGGCTGGTGTCGTAACTGATGAACTGTCGGGGAACGGTACCCTGTGCGACGAGAATGGCTCTGGCTTCTGTGGCGTCTTCGGCTAGTTCGTGGGCGAATGAGCGCTCAGCGGAGTTAGGAAGGATAGTTGGGGAGGGAAGTGGAATGGAATGTGGAATGGGGGATGTGGTCGCCTAACATGAGCTGAATCGGTACGGTGGTCTGCCCTGGCAGCGGGAGAGGAGACGTGATCGGGAGCATCATCGGCCACGTCCATCGGATCGGTCAGAAATGCGTCTCCGCTGTCATTGTCAGGGATCGTGCAGGTTTCCTCCTCCGAGTTCTCCGCTGAGTCAGTATGGATGGGATCGCTCGTCGCGGCCCCTTTCTTGACCGACTGCGAGGACTTTGGCTGCTCATCTACTACGGGAGCCTCCGCCTCTTCAGACTCTGGGAAAGAAAAATCTTGCCCGCTCTCTTCCGGCTCTCGCGACCGGGTCCTCTCCATCATCATGCGCCTCTTCTTCAGCTCGTGTCCCCCCTCGCGGACCGGCTTCGACGACAAAACTGCCCTGGATTTTAGCGTGCATCAGCGTCGAGAAGCCTGCGCTTCCTCTGCAGCTTCGTCTTCCGTGTTACGTTTTGAGTCCCCGACCACCATCTTGGTCTTCTCCTGAAACCTCGCTTCTTCTGCCTTTCGCCTCCGCCGCGCCATCTTAAGTTCTTCTTTGACCTCACGTCGAGCTCCCTTGTCCGTCTCGGGGCTTAGCCTTGCATGCTCTGGGTATTTCGACGTCGCTTCCGTCCGAAGTTCTTGCTGAGTTTGATACCGCTCGTTCATGTCTTTGAGTTGGTGGGCAAATCCTAACTTGCGCTTCATCGTCTTCCAGCCTTTGACATTGGTAAAATTAGTCCTTCGTCCGAGTCAACGTCAGTCTCTGAAGAATCCGAGGATGGGGAATCGCTGCGGTGAATGATTGCTTGGGATTCCTTCGAAGAAGCCTGAACCTGCTTTGAGAGGGCCTGAGTTGGCTTCAGGGGAGCTTGAGCCTGCGTTGAGGGACTGTCAGATCGCTCCAACGTGTTTTTATCCGCGTTCTGTGCGTGATACTTGGCATGTACCGAGCGGTGGATGAGTAGCGCTTCTTCGTTTTCCTCGTCGGAGTCGTCGGAGTCCTGACCTCGCACTGAAGGAGTGGGACGATTCGCTTGAGGAGCGGCGCGCGAGGATGTGGGGATTTTCGTAGACTCCACTGTATCCTCAGACTCATAGTGGGTAATCTTTTCCGAGTGAGAGTATGATGTCTTGGAGACCTTGTCCGTCTTCGGGAGTTTCTGTTGCTCGGGCATTCTGGCAGCAGAGGGCAGGTGATTGAAGAGTCGGAAAGTGATGAAGCAAGACATGGCTTGAAAGAAGACTTGCAACTTGGAGACGAGGGTAAACATGAATGTCTAGACTGGGGACAAATTCGCTTCCCGACGAAAGTGGAGCGACTAATCTCGAACGCGGTCTGGCAAGACATACCCTCGCTGGTGAATGATGACTTGGAAATCATATTTAGAGTGTAGAAGGCGGTATTACAGTCTCTAAGGGGAAAGCAGCGAATTTGCTCACTGCGCCATATGTGGCTAAGAAGAAAGCATTGCCCCAAGACTAGCAGACACGGGAACTTTCGATCCTGAGAAAAGAAGAAGGCACTTGTGATGAAATTTATGAAAAGAGAACGGCGGACATTAGTGCGGGAAGCAAAAAAGTTTTCTTCTGGCGTTTCGAGTCACTTAGTTTGCCGGTGTTTGAACGTAAAATTTGAATCAATCTGGTTTGAAGATGAAGCCGCTACCAGCCGCTTTGGGAAATAATTGCCGTAAAAATATGGCTTCATCCTCATCGCCCTGGATGAGACAGTCCCCGCGTGGATGCCGCCATCTCACCGTCCCGGTGGCTTTTCCATCGACGTCACCTGGGAGTCGAGAGGCGGAGTGATTCTCTCTTGTAAGTGGCGGTACGATAACGAGAAGCCATTCTAATGGAAACGAGAAATATGGCGAAAGAAAGGCAACGAAAAAGCGAAGAAGCTGGAGGCCTACGATCCCTTTTGCGATGATCAGAATATTCCACCCGTGACATCTATCACCTGTCCATTGACCCAGCTGCTCTTCTTTTCCGCCAAAAAACCCACCACATGCGCAATCTCCGCGACCGTTCCAAGGCGCTTCTCCGCCGTTGGCCTCGACACCATCATTGCCATCCTATCTGCTGGATACTGCAGAACTGTTTCTGGAGAAGCGCATTCGGTTCAGCTTCAGATCGAAATTGAATCAACTCTGAGAAAAACTTACCGGTAGCTGTGAACCCCGGTTGGACCGCGTTCACCGTGATTTTCTTCTCCGCTGCATACTGCACTGCCAGCGTCTTGGTCATGTACTCGAGTCCGGCCTTGGCCATGCCGTATAGCATCGTCGCCGGAATGGGCATCTTAGCTGCCCCAGAACTTATCATGATGATGCGACCGCCGGCATTGATAACTTTGAGAACCGCTTGCGTGACAAAGAGGGGGCCGCTGAGGTTGGAGAACTGGGCGTTGAAATCCGCTAAGGTGGTTGAATCAAAGGAAGTATGAGGCGCGCGATGGACAGCATTGTTGACTTTGGAGGCCGTTAGGACAATTTCATCTAGGCTCACGTAACGGAACGATCGGAAAAGGAGGAATGATGGGGATACCTAGTATATCAATTCCATCAACGCCGAAACCTTCCAGTACCGCCCTTACGATCTTATGTCCCACCTCCGGATCAAGCAAATTCGCCTTGAAAGCCAACGCATCGCTACCCAGGCGCTTGATCTCCTGAACGACAGCCTCCGCCGCTGTGCTCTCTGAGTGATACGTGATTGCAACAGCTTTCGCGCCCTTTTGCGCAAAGTTCAGCGCAATCGCTTCGCCAATCCCGCGCGACCCGCCCGTTACTATCGCGATCTTGCCTGCAAATGGGTTCGCCATGACTTCGAACGCCTCGAATCGGGATGGGGATTATACGTTGGGTTCAACGATGTTAGTAACGGAGTAAGACGACACGGAATTTTTGACTTGTCTAGATGCGACAGAACTGTAGGCAAGGATGCTAGGACGCTCTTAGCTAAGACGTATCTTACTTCGTACAACTATCTAGTTAGATCCTTATTTAGATTATATATATTTATATATAAAACCCTTTTAAACCGCTATTTAAACTGCCTTTTATAGTATAAGTTATATATATTACTTAGGAAAATAGCCTATTATATAGAAAAAATACTATAGAATAGCTTTATAGATTTTCCTAAGCTAGATATTTATTAGTTTCTATTAAATACCTATTTTTATAGTTTTTAAAGGTAGCTATATATATATTACTTAGGAAAATAGCTTAGTATATAGAAAAATTACTACTTTAAACAATTAAACAGCGTTTTAGCCGCTAATTTTAGTGGCTTATAACACTGTTTTCTAAGGCTAACTTACTATAAAACCTTTTTAACTGCGCTAGTATAGGCGTAAATATATATCCCCTTTAGGTTTCCTCTATTAGCTAGTATAGGCGCTAATAGTTAAAGAAATTCTAAAGCCTATTTTATATTCTAAATATAGTAGTACGCCTATAACTTTAGTTTATTTTTAATACCTATATTATATTAACCTAAACTAAGGCTGCTTTACTAGCAGTATACTTAAACTTTTCTACTTTTTATTAGTAATAGATCTGCGCATAAAACCTGCTCCCTTTTATTTTTCCTCTACTCTTTTTTATTTTTCCTCCGCTTCCTTTTATTTTTCCTTTACCTAAAGCCGTAACTTAAAAATATTACACCTATTTTAAATACACACCGCACCGCTTATTAACTAACTTTTAGAACTTTTACTTTTATAGTAAAGTAGTACCTATATTCTAACCTTTAGGTTATAGGCTCTACCTTTATAAGCTTAAAATATATAGCCTTTTTATATAAAAAAGCTATCTAGCCTTCTAATTAGTAGTAGTATAAGTAACTATAAGGCCTTTTTACACGCTATTAAAAAGTAAAAAGTATTTAGATAGTATTTAAAGCTAGAAATACTTAGCTTACTACTATAATAAAAACTTAGTTACTATTTACTAAATTAGCTTTTTCCTTTATTAAGCTCTTTTATTAAGCTTTTAGTTAACCTTTTCCTTTATTAATATCTACTTTTATTAACTTTTACTTTTATTAAAGGGGTTAGTACTAGTACTATAGTAGTATAAAGTAGTATAGTATATATAGAGCACCTAAGTAGAAAAAAAAAGGAAAAGGTATAGTATATATAGTATATATAGTATATATAGGCAGAAGGAGCAAGTATAGTATATATAGGCAGAAGGAGCAAGTATAGTATATATAGGTAGAAAAGATTAATTAAAGCGGCGCCTATAAAAGCGCGTAGTATAGCTATATAGCTAGCTATAAAAAGTAGTAATAGATAGATAATAGAGCTTACTATAGAATAGTTATTACGCTGTTTTTTTAGGTTCTTTTAGTAGTTATTAAGGTTACAGGATATTATATATATAGATATTACGTAATCCCGGGCTAAGGGTTTTTCTAGCGCCTTACGCGCTCTACTATATATATAGCTTATAGCTAGAGCCTTTCTCCTTTCTATATAACCTTATTAATAGCAATATAATTTTTTCTTTAGCTATACTTCTAATACTAGGTTATATTATCTAAGGAAACCTAGAAACCCTAATTTCTTTTTAAATTATATAGCTATACTGCTGTATATATACACCTATACTAGTTGCTAGCTTTAAAATTTAGCTATATAGTTACTAACTACAACTACTAATATACTCTATACTAACTTACCTACTTACTCTATATTAATAAAGCCTAGACCTTATTATATATAGTTAAATATACTGGAGTTTAATAACGCGCTAAGCGGCAGGCAACTCTATAACTCTAATATTCCCTTTAGTGCAGGGGGGTTAGTTATTACTAAGGCGCACCGCACTTTTCTTATATATAAACACAGTATAATAAAAAGGGTAATACTTAAGGTAATATATTTAAAAAAAATAAGGAGCTATAGGTTCTAGTAATTTCTTACTTATTTTTATAAGAAAAAAATCGCACTAATAAAAGGCGCAAGTATATTAGTAAAATACTTAACACCGCTATTACTAGCGCATACTATTATAGTAACCACCTGTAACACCTTACCTACTATAATTTGCCGATTACGTGTCTAGATTATATAGCTTTGTTACCTAATCTCGCATAGAACTCGTAAGCTCGCGCTATGCGCACGTCCCACCGCTATATCTTCTTCGCCGGCGCTTCTAATTTCCTATTCCTTACACAACGTCTTAAACCTCTATATAATACTATATATAGCACTTAATTAATACTTCTATCTAAGCTTTATACCTCTGCTTATAGCATTATTATAATATATACCTACCTAGTAAATTCCTTAATACCTAGAATTCTACTACTATTATAGGCAACTTCTAGAAAATAATTAGGCTAATTAGCTTAGACCTCCTACTTAGTCTATATAATATTAGTGCTCTAGTTAAGTAAATAGAAGGCAGCTACTTTAAAACCCCTAATAAATTCTATAGCTAGATTAATAAAAAACCTATTATAGCTTTCTACCTGCTAAGGTTTTTAGTAGAAAGCACTATAATCTATATAAGTAAGTATAGAATTGCTATTAAGGAATAGAAGGAAGAAAAGAATAAAATAGAAAATAAGTATAATAATATAGATAAATAGATTACTTAGCTAAAAATAAATCTTAATTAAACTAAAATTAACCTTTAAGCTACTAAGTTATATATATATAACCTTTAATAACAATAGTCTAAGCCTACTACTAAGGCGTTTAAAGGCCCTATTTACTTTAATAATAAGGGATAATAGGATAATAATATTAACTATAGACCTAACTACTATAGTTAAAAGAATAATTATAGTATATACTATAAACTAGGCTATACTCTACTAGAAACCACTATATATAGCAATAGTAAGTATAACTAGCGCTTACCCTTTCTATACTAAGATTATTGCTGTAATAATAGCAGTAACTACTATAATAGACGCACTTTTCTATACTTTTAGACTACCTTATCTTTATAACTAGCCTATTACTAGCCGGATCTAGCTCTGTTTAATAGAATAGATAGTAAATACTACTCTATCTAGCGCAGTAAGGTCTTAGTAAAGATCTACTATACTTTTCCTAATAAAATAGATAACTTTAAGCTAAACTATATTAAAAGCGTTCTAGCTAAGAAACCTTTTAAGCGGATCTAGGCTTATTATCGCCAGAATATTATTTATAATAATATTAACGCCCTTTAGTTTTTAGATAAAGGCTTTAGTAAATATAATATTAAGGCTAAAGCCGTTATATAACTTAAAACCCTAAAAATAGGTACTAATATATTTACTACCTTCTATAACTATTTCCTTAATATTATAGGTAAGCTAAACTATAGCGCTGCTAAGCTTATCTACTAGTTCTATATTTAATTTATATTTTACCTATAGTCTAAGCTAGTAAATAGACAGGTTTAGTACTATTTTAATAACTTTATAAAGTATATATATATACTAAATTAGCAGGACTAGGCCTTTTAATAGTCTAAAACTTATAATACTTTTATTTTTTAACTCTAATAGACTGCTATACTATCTATAATAACCTAATATATATATAGCTATAGCTATAGCTAGAGTAGCTATATACTATTACTGCTATTATAAGGAACTATAGCTGTAGGTATAGCTATAACCCTAAACACGCTACGCCCCTATATAGTTATAGCCGCAGCTAGTATAGAACAACGCCTGCGCACTATAAAAGTAGAAAATAAGTTAGTGTTAGGTTCGTGGCTGGAAAAGGGTTGTATTGCTATTAACAAAGTTGCGTGGAGAAGAAAAAGGCTCCGGCCACGGGCCTACTATATAGTTAAGCGCGCGCCAGCAGAACCCCGGGCGCCGGCAGAACTCCAGGCGCCGGAAGAACCCTCGGCCCGGGATCACGTGACGTCCATGCACGTAATGATCCGAGGCCTCGATAACTACTAAGAGAATGCTAAGGAATAATATAATATATGCCCCTTTTTTAAAAACTAAGCTTTTATAAAAATATAAATATAAAAAAAGACTTACTATATAAACTTATATAGTAGACAGCTAATATAGGCGTATTATAATAATATAGTAATATTCTAGTAGTTCTAAGTAGGTAGTATTTAGTTCTTTAGTTTAATAAAGTAAGTAGGTGGTTTAGGTTTCTATAGGTTGCAGTAGTAGAAATTAAAGACTTTATAAAGGCAGCCTTTAATATTTTTAGATAGTTGCCAGTATCTATATAGCCTTATATTACCGATATAGTAGACCTTATACTATATATTATTATTTTAAATTTATAAGTTAACTATTTAGGTAACTATCTATTTCTTAACAGGCTTATTATTATTATCGCGCTGTATTAGCTTAGGCGGTGGTGTAGGTTTAGGCCGGTTCTAGCCCTTAATTAGCTTAGAAGTATTAAGCTAGAGTAGTAATAGGTAGAAAACGTTGTATATCTTAGTGTCGGACGGCAGGTCTAATTAGAAAGCTGCGCCGCGATTAATAACCTTATTAACGCGGAAAGGGCCGATAACTTATTATTAAGCGCCTTTTTAGCGCGGTCTAGCTTAATATTCTTTGCGTTAAGCTAGACTATATTATTAACGCGTATATCTGCCGCAGTATTATAGTAGCGGTTAACTTAGTAAGCTTATTCCTTCTAAGCCTATATAATACAGTTCTATAGGTAGACCTTAATATTTTTAAAGTATTAAGTAAAGTTATTAGCTAGTTCGCGTTTAACCTCCCTATTTTTAGAAATCTTCTTACTATTAGCTAGAGGCAGTTCTAACTCTAAGCGTGGATTATAGCTATAATTAGCGAAGAAAAAGGACAGGCCTATTATAGCTAAAACGTGGGTATTAGCAACTAGTTCCGCAAAGGGTAGTAAGTTATACTAGTTATCTTATATATACTATATATAA